GAAGCGGAATATGTTTGTTTGTCCAAGGCTGCAAATAACCTTGTATGGTTCAATGATCTGATCACTGATGTTTGGAAGAAACCCACTTTACCATTTATTATGCATGAAGACAATAAAGCGGCCATTGAAATATCCAGATCCGATGCAATTGGACAAAGGTCCAGGCATATTGATATAAAGTTTAAGCATGTGAGACAACTGTCCCAAGACGGATTCATTAAAGCAATACATTGCGATACTTCTGAACAATTAGCTGACATATTAACAAAACCCTTACCTTCTAAACAACACAAATATTTAACTTCTAAATTATATGTATTATATTGTCCTGAATCAGAATGTAATTGGTGTTGTGTAACGAACCGGCATTTAGAGGGGGATTTGTCAGATGTAAATGCCTTATTCTCCAATGTGTAAATAATGTATATATGGAACATCAGAGGTTAACTTATTCTTTGGACTTTAATGTATTCATAACTTACCACTCCCATTCCTAGCTCCACCCCTTGTATATATAAGGAGCCACCCTCACCATTCTCACTGCTTCTACCTTGAATATTCAGTGAATATAGAATGCCTATCATAATTAAAAAGAAATATATTTAAAGCTCTAACTCCTATTATCTTTATTGAGTCTGATCCTGAAAATATTGCAACATATACATCTGTAGAAAATAGGCTGGGGTTTAAACATGAGCTTGATTTATTATGCTGTTTGGGGTTAGGGTTAGGGTTTGTGTACCTTTCCTGTTTCATCTGGTTAGCGTCCTTACAGCAAACAGCCTGCCTCCTCCCTGTCTGCTGCCTCTGCCGGGGAATGCTGGAGCCTTCACCTCCAAGCAGCTGATTGGCAGTTGGATTGACCTCCCGGAATACTACCAATCAGCTGTTCAAGGCGGCGGGGATCACTGCCACCATTCTCCACTGCTGTCTATCTCCCATATTTGCTCCATAAGACTCCACTTTTGGGAGGAAAAAAGTGCATTTTATGGAGCAAAAAATACAGTATATACCACTTCATAGTGCTTTACAGCCCCCTCTAAGCAGTTCACAGATTGCATACCTTAGAAAGATGGAAGGCTGAGTCATCTTGAGCCAGTCAGAATCAAACTCCTGGTCGTGAGCAGTGAGTTATCCTGCGATACTACATTCTAACCACTGCATCACCATGGCTAGATGAAGTGAGCTGCCATATAATTATAGCAATAGCACATAGATTTATATACTGCTTCATAGTGCTTTACAGCTCTAAGTAGTTTACAGAATCAGTATATTGCCCCGAAACAATCTTGGTCCTCATTTACAGACCTTGGAAGGATGGAAGCAGGGGTGAAATCTAAAAATTTTCGCTACCGGTTCTGTGGGCGTGGCTTAAGTAGTGGGCATGGCTTGGTGGTCAGATGACTGGGTGGGCGTGGCTTGGTGATCAGGTGGGCGTGGCCAAGTCGATGTCACTTCTTTGCCCTTTTTTAACCTACAAAACACAACACAACACAACTGGCTCACCCACAATGTAAAGCAGCTGTGCCAGACCCAAAATGGCCCCTGCAACAAGCAGGAACCTGACACAGGCACAAAAAGTCCAAAAAACCAACTTTCACACTTTACACACACACAACAACTGGCTCACCCACAATGTAAAAGCAGGGGCAAAATGGCCCCTGCAACAAGCAGGAACCTCACACAGCCACAAAAAGCTCAAAAAACCAACTTTCACATTTTACACACACAAAATTCCATATACAGCTTTGTGAGATTTTGTGTGTTTGTGTAGTTAGAGTGAAACACCACAGAAACACACAAAATCTCAGAAAGCTGCACAAATATTATATTATATTATATTATTTTTATATAAAAGCAGCTAAATTTAAAACTTCCTAAACTTTAAATGGCTAGGTCTAAAAAAAAACGACTAAAAAAACCCCCAATTAACTATTTTTTTTAAAGCTCCCAAAGGGGAAAAAAACTTACAGGCAAGCAGGCAGGCAGGCAGAAAGAGCTGCTCACCGATGAGCTTGATTGCAGGCAGGGAGATTCAGTTGCTTGCTGATGCAATGGATTGCAGGGATTACAGCAAGGCAGGCGTGCGAAGGTAAGAAAGCTGGAGGCTGGGAGGGAAGGGATTTTTGCAACCGGTTCTCCGAACTGCCTGCCGCCATTGCTATCTACTCGCCCAAGCCGGTCCTAACCGGGAGCATTTCACCCCTGGATGGAAGGCTGAGTCAACCTTGAGCCGGTGAGATTCATGTCAGCAGAATTAGCCTGCAATACTGCATTCTAACCACTGTGCCACCACAGCTCTTATCTGTGAAAAGATGCAGTAGTTGTTTTAAAGATTTGCAAAGTATTTTTATATTGATATTCCTATGAGCTCTGAACCATTATTTTGGCATCAAATATGAAAAATTACACAAATTAGCTAGTTTATTTTTCCTGGGCTCAAGGATAAAGATAGACAGTTTACTGGAGAACTGAAGAAGGGAGGAAGAAAGGAAGAGAATTTTGCTCCATTACTTTTCTTGCTACAGTTGTTAAGTGAATCACTACAGCTGTTAAGTTAATAACATGGTTGTTAAGTGAATTTGGCTTCCTCATTGACTTTGATGTCAGAAAGTCAGATCAATGAACCCGGGACACAATTATACACGATCACTTCACATTCACTTGGTTTTACTTAATAAACCACAGTGACTGAACCTGATAATATCTTATCAGAAATGCAAGAAACACCTTTGTAGTATAATAAAATATAGGAAAAATAGGAAGGAATAATTTTACATAATTTTGTATTGAAGTGAAGCCTTCATCTTGAGAATTATCTCCAGGTTTAGGCACCACAATTAAAAAAGAAAATTCCAATCAACTGGAACATGTTCAGAGAAAGACAGAAACGACTAGCAGACTATAAATTAAAACAATAGAAGAAAAAGATGAACAGATAAGATTAGAGGAGGATGAGTGTGATAGCAATTTTCAAATACCTGAAAGAACTTCACAGGGAGACCAAGTCCTGTTCTCCAACATCCCTGAGTGTAGGACACAGAACATGGATTCATGTTCTGAGAAGGCAGATTCTGGTTAAATGTTAGAAAAAATTTCCAATTGCTAGATCAGTTGGGCAGTAGAACCTGAGACATAATATTCTCCTATTCATCTGGGTACGTTCAAACATAATAGTTACCTTCATGAATGTTTTTATTTATATTTGGATTTTATATAAAATAGGAGGTTGGATTCAGTGGCTAAATGGTAACTCCCATGAACCCAAATTTCAATATCTGAATTTGCTTAATTTTTTTGGCCTTTGCTCTATTCCTTTGTATTTGTTTCATGCGCTTTATGAATTGTAAGATTGTAAGTCATAATTATATAATATAAACTGCCTTGCATATTTGGTATAACAGTTGTATACAAATATAGAAAATAATTATATATTTTATAGAATACTCCAGGAAAAAAAATGTAGAATCAAGGCTGTTATTAATCTATTAAATTGCCTGGAAAGTAAAGGCAGATGTTCCTGGCAATTTGCATAAAAATAACAGATTGCTGTATTACACAAAGGATTGATATCAGCGTTTATTATGCTTCGCTATGAAAATGTCAGTCTAAAAAAAACAATGTGCAGAGATCCTTGGTTTGTTATGATCAGAATACTTTTTTTTCCTTTCTAGAGAAAAGCATATGCCTAGTTATTATGGTTCAGTCTTTGTTCATTATTGTTAATATATTTTCCATAAAGCTAATTGATTTTATGGCTAGCAATTTGAAAGCAAAGTGTGGGCTAATAAAAATATTAATGATTTCACATTAAAACTAAACTACACATAATTAGGCAATTGTGAATGAAACAATTAGTTTTTCCAATCATACCAATATTAGAATTTTTAAAATGAGCTGGTGGGGCCACATTGCTGATTGCAACTATTCTTTAATACTCAGTTTTGTGGTTTCTGCAAACTTCTTTATTTTAACTTAATTTGTAAAAGCAAAGCCAGCTAACTTAGAACTCCTATTACAACTAAAGAAACAAAAAAGTCAGAACATGTGGTCTTTGCTATTAGGACTCCAAGGCAACCAGCAAGAAAAACAGGTCAAGACCATAATGTGGAAATTATTTTATCTATTTTGCTAGAACTTGGGAAGTCCATGTGTTTGTCCTTGTGAGGAAACACAAAGCAAAACAGACACCTCTATATTTTTGGATGTGATAGGCAGCACATTTAAAATATTAAATCAGTTAGCTATTTAGCTAAAGCTAAAAACCAAATAAAATCCTAAGACTACGATTCTAAATGAGCAGAGGAGGTACATCTGAAAAGGAAAAGAATAATAGGAATGCGGGTACGGTATTTGACAAAAATGCTTTTTAAGGAAGCAACTGAACTTTGTTTTTTTCTTTGAAGAGGTTTTGCTTCTCATCCAATAAGCTTCTTCAGCTCTGACTGGATGGCGGGGAATGGAAGGATTTATATTCCTTGCATTCCCCATCATCCAGTCAGAGCTGGAGAAGCTTCTTGGATGAGAAGAGAACCGTCTTCAAATTAAAACTAAAAAATCCAGTTGCCTCTTGGAAAAAAAGCACCTTTGGGACAACCGTGACGTGTATGACTGAGAATCTCCATAGATATTTGACATTTTGTTTTGTTTTTGGAAGCGCCGACAATGCTGACAATTTGATCACTCATGAACACCTATAACGACATTTTGCCTCTTAAGGATCGGGAGCTTTTTCAAGCGGAGAATAATAAGCATGAGGTGGGGATTTTTCGAAAGACCTTCGTGATGGCAGCGCGATGGCGGGGTGGGACGGTTATTGCAGAAGGAAGCGGGGCAAACAGCAAGTTTTGCACACAGCGCCAGGCCATGCGAACCCCCCCCCTTTTTACAAAAATGTCAGCGCATGCGCAGGCGTTGCGTCGTCCCCCCCCCCCCCGGTCTCGGCTACTCGCGAGAGGCCACCAGCTAAACGCTCTAGCGGACGCGGTCCTCGGGTTAGAAAGCTCGGGTTTTCGCTGAGGAAACGGTGGGATGTGGGCTTTGCTGGCCTTGATTGGGTTGTGGCAAATGCAGTGGGTTGAAACTTGGGAAGATGAAGGTAAAAACAGCCTGAAAGTGTCACTCGGGTTCTGTGGATGTCTGTATAAAGAGCAACCAGCTGAGTCTGTGTCCCTTTCCCAAAAAGGAAGCCTTGCTGGAGAGAGTAAAATCTACCTCTGAGAAAACAGGAGTAATTAATATTTGAAGGATTAAGTCAGGTGTCAACTGGAATCTCAGTAACACTCCCCCTTTCTCTCCCCCCCCCAATATCTATAAATCTTTACAGGGCAATATTCAATACAATTTTACTTTGGGGGAAATAGGTCATCAAAAAATCTCTTTACAGCTGCTTCAAAATTTAAATGAATGACAATCATAGGTGCTTATTTTTTGTGAGTAGATTATTAATCAATGATGTGTCATCCGGTCATTTTTGACTCCTGTGTGTTTATGATTCCTGTTTATGTGTCCACACAAATTTTCTCCATGACATACAAATATGCTTTTAGACAAGTAAAAAAATACAGTAGGAAAAATAACAGAATAAAGTATATACATCATTCTAGCAATTAACTGTTACAATTCTATTTATATATTTACTTAATGTAAATTACATCCAAGCATGTATATTTTAATTTCTAACCCATTTATAGAACCCAACTACCATTTCAATCACTTTTTATATGTAGTTTGTTTTGAAAATGTATTTTCATTATAATTAATGTAAACACAAAACTTTGTATTTTGTTTCTTGTTTTGGTTATTATTTTTAAAGAATAAATAAGTTTTTCTCTATCGTGATCTACCCCTAACCTGGTCTTTCAAGTCTCCCAAGAGTGCACTCATTGCCACTGAAACTGAGTTGTGAGTAGAAATCACATATTTTTTTAAAATACACCCCACATATATTTGAAAATGATATACTGTATGGACTTTAGTAACCAGTTTTCAGCAACAATGGTAAAAGGGGCCTTTAAAGATAGAAGAAAAAGAATTGAGCAGCCATAAGGCAGTTCAAGAGAGCAGATTGCCCTCTACTTTTGTCCAGGTACAATAAATGGTCTCCCATACCTCTCCTTCTATAACTGCTTCTAACATTTTAAAATGCTACAATGTATTGTGATGATATTCACCTGTGCATATTTGAAAATCTCAGGAGAAATTCTGACTATTTAAGTACATCAGTACAATCAGTGTGTATGAATCCAGGATTGGATATAAGTCTTCTGATTTCTGCAGATTTCTGTGCCATAATGTTAATGAGGAAGACAATATTTAAGCATTCTCAAAACAATTTTTCAGACAAAATCAAAGCAACAAGATGAACACAGTTATGTATAGAAAAAGGGATATAGGCATCTTGTCTCTGCATATTCCGCACACAATACCTGGTTCCAGCATAAAGGGAATGATGGGAACTCCATGGTTGCTATTTTCAATCTTACAATTGTCATCAGTATGAATCAAGGTACCTCTGGTATTAAATATTGAGACGTGTTCAAGGAACCTAATTATATTTATTCCCCACTGAGGTACAGTGGGGAATAAATGTATTCATGTGTGTAGTCATGACTACATTTAGTCATGACTAAATTAAATTGCATGGGTTTTAGATGTAATTTTATTTATTACCGTATTTGAATTTCTAGGGCCAGCTATCTCATCACTGATTCTGGCTAGCATGAAAAAAACAATGATCCAATATATTATGCTTAAAAACAGAACAAAAGATGGTTATAATGGGGAATAAACATAAACATAAGTTTACAAAAACTATTCCACTGTGGATATATACCCTGGCCTAGATCAAAATATTTGGAAAAAGCCAAGTCTTCAAGCTTGCATGAAGAAAAGTCCAATAAAGTTTAAAACTGCAATATTGTAGTTCACATACAAAGTGATCAGGGCATGAGTGACATGGAAAATGCTGCTCAGTCCAGGAAAGGACACAATTGTGATATAAGACAATTATTCAGTTACAACTAGGAAAACTATCCCCTATCTATTGAATCAGTGTTGACTCCTGACAATGTCTTCATTAGTCTCTGCAGTTTTCTTGGCAGGTTTTGAGAAATTGTTTGCCATTGCTTGCTTCCTCGATCTAAGAGAGAATGAAGGATCCACGGTTTCTCAGCTGGCTTTGTGGCTAAGGTGGGAATAGAAATTTTGGTCTGCCAGTTTCTAGTATGATGCTTTAACCACTCCACAAACTGGCTCTCTTTAAAACCATTTAGGAACAAGAAAACCCAATGCAAGGTCTTCTAGTCTCATTGAATTTTAAAGAATGCTGGTTTTCTTCCATTTCTGCAATACTTTTAAAAGAGATATTTCTATGTTTTGTTGTTGTAAGTCACAATTATGTTTTGCCAAAAAGGTATGTAAATTAAGAGGCAAACATCTACAAAGTGTTAAACACAATATTTTTAATTCATTTTCTTCTTGTCTGAAATGTTAAGTAAAAAAATCTGGTTAGAGGAGTTAAACATTTGGTGTTTCAGGGGAATAAAGATTGTAGAAATGCAAGAGATTTTCAGTTTAGCTAAAATATTATAATTATACAAGTTCCTGTATCTTTATTTTCTCACTTAAAGCCAGATTTAGACTGACTTGTCCAGATGCCTCATACTGGCACTATTGGAATGGGACTTGTTATTGTCTAGAAGAAAATCAAGAGGGGACTTGGACTGAAGCATTAAAGTTTTGCAAGAGATATACATCTACAGAGTTAGTGACGTTTAACAGTGTTCAGGAAAAAGTAAGTTGAAAAAATATTATTTGTGTGCCACTCTGTAATAATGTTTTATTTATTTTTTAATTTTTTATTAAATTTGTTCGCCACCCATCTCGTTTTTGGCTTGGGTTTTAAAAGAACTTATATGTCTGGCTTTGTCAGAGTAGACTGGGTAGTTTCATCTTTTACTCATCTGCTGATCTTCCTACTACTATCCTTTCCTTAGTTCTTCTGGGCTGTTGCTAGACATTGCTGTCCTTGAATTCAAGTGTGGTGTATCCATCTGATGCATCTGATCCTCATGTTATTGCAGGCAAGCAGGCTGGCTAGATATATTGTGCTTGAATTCCTGGGTAGCCATAAGGGAAAGTAAGCAGAGCAAGATGCAGTGAAGGGAAAGGAAACGGGGTGATTGCTTATATCATTCTTGAATTCAAGGATGGCATGAAAATGTAACAACTGTAGTGAATCTACTGAGTTCTCACTTTATGATGTTGCCAATACCTCCCTTTCCATACCTGAGCCCAAATGCTCAAGGCACCATTTCTGATACCCTTGATTCCATACACACACACACATACCATGTTTCTGTTCCTAATACATTTCTATCTAGAACTTAAGTGTTCTGGGTCTGGGCCAAGACAAAACATATGTATTTTGGTCCAAACATAGACTACACCAAAGTAGCTGTTCTGGTTCACTTCAGTTCAGATCAGTTGATTCAGCTGTTCAGTTAGCAACCTCAAATATATCCAGATTATATGCAAGTACAAATTAATATGCAAGCTCCTTATTAATGTTGGAAACCACCCAGAGTTACCTTGTGGTAAGATGGATGGTCAATACATTTAATAAAATAAAGTAAACAAATAAAAGAAAGAGAGATGTATGATGTAAACGAAGTAGTAGTTAAATGTGATATTTCAAATATAAATTTATTAAATATTTGTAGAACTGGATTTTAGATTTACCTTTGGACAACTTTTGGATTGGATTGAATAATTTGGAAGAAACTCAAAGCTTTTCGTGGTCAGAAGGCACACGAGCAAATGCAACTTCTTGGTAAAGATTAACTGTGAAAAGCAGTCTTATTTAATTTTTCTGAAACATTTTTTTCAATGTGAATATAACATCTTTTATGTATTCTAGTCTTTTGATCATTGTCTTGATATTACTCAAACAAAAAGAAAACTAAAATATGCAGAAATACCTCAACTGTTTGTATTGGCAAGCAATTTCAAAATATTTTTAATTATTTATTAAAAAATAAAAATAATCACATAATAAAGATTTCCTTATCGAGAACATTTTATTTGTTTCTGAGTTACATGGCTTCGAAAGAGCCAAAATAAATTAGGCTGCCCAAATGGCTAGATTTTTGAATCAGGGTTACAGATGGTTACATTGGTTGGTTACATTCTCTGTGTGACTAATTTCCAAGAGAGACCAATTTGGTTTCTCTTTTGTTTAATTTCGGTTTAATTGGAAAGGTTTCAGCTATCAAATCCAGTTCAGCCAAATACTTGTGTGAAAGTTTCCAAACACAGCTTGGTTGCTGTCAATTGTGATACGAAAGCCCATTGGATTTGTCAACGATCTGCAGGTAAGTTTTTATCTGTTCTCTAGGATGTTAAATTATTGACGGGAAAAGAATGGTTTGAACTTTAGCTCTGTTAAATTTGATCTGGTGAACTAATAGTATAACTGGAAATGACTAGAATCAGGAAATAAATCAGAATAAATAATAATACAATAATAATAATATGCTGATTCTGCATTGAGAAATGAGAGCAGTAGATAAGAGCAGTAGTTGGTAATGAGCATGTAAAATAAACTTTAAACATAAAAATAATTGAAAATTTAGTAAATATGTAAGATACCCAATGTGGATATAACAGCCATTTAATTAAGAATTATGGATGGAATCAAATATCAAGCATATTATAGAGTATTCTTTGTAACCTTCTAAAACTTCTATATATGCCTACATCATGCTGTTCTTTTTTTTCCAGGATAAGCAAAATTAAAATATAGAAGAAGTAAGAAATAATAGGCCATAGAAATTTAGGCATGAGAAAGGAAAGAAAATATAGCTAAATTTATTTTACACCTACATCAATTACTATTTAACTGTCTATCTTCCTATCTTTGCAAACCATACTTGCTTCTATCATGTTCACCGAGTATATGATTTATATATTGACTTTTGGTTTAAATGTCTTACTGTTTACTTCTTGACAGTCTCATCAAATCCACCCAGCCATGACTTTATCAGTCTCCCCTTTCATCTCAGTCTGTTCACTCATCTTTCATAGATGTACAGTTTGTAGGCGGAAAGCCATGTTAGTCTGTGATAGCAAAACTTCAGAGGGGGACTGGTAGCACCTTTTTTGACTATTATATGTTTTACAATTTAGTTTTGGCTAATCTCTTCTATATAAACAAACATCTTAACAAACATTTTTCATACATTACTCTTGCATTCAGTCCAATTCATCCAGCAACTATTTATTCTTGACTCTATAAGAGGGGCTTCCTAGTTTAAAGCTCCTGGTATTATTTTTTTTAAAAGAAAAATTATGGTTCACTTTTGATATTTCATAAAACAGGAAAGAAACAAAAATACAAGACAGTATCCAAAAACAGTATATTTCAAAATTTAGTAACAGTTCCCAAAATCATCCATGTTATCATAATTAGCTGTGATTGTTAATTTTAACATATAAACTTTCAGTAAAACATATAATCTTTCAGTAAAAATTTGTGAATTTAATATATGGATTTTATTAGTGAATTTTCAAGAAGAGCAATGAATTATGCCAACTGCTCAGTGTTAAATTATCTAAACATTCCCATTTTTGAGTAATTGCTGAATTAGCACCTAGAAATATAACTATAATAACTTTCCTTTTGCTTAATTTAAAATTATATCCCACAAGGGCATAAGGCCACTGCCGGACTACAAAAATAACTTTTTGTTTAATTATCATTCTGAATTCTTCAAATATTTTCTTCCAGAAAGCTGAAACTTTTTTTCAGCTTTGGACACATATGAAAAAAGTCCTTTCTCGTTGCAATTTTTCCAATATTTTTATAAGTAATTATGCAATATTTGTATTATTTTAATTGAACATCAATATGCCAATTTGATCATGTGGAAACCAGATTTATATGCTCTTTGGCACTTTATCTGTATTCATGTATTCATTTCCTAATTCTGCTTCCCCCACTTTGTATTTCAAAATCGAGGTGGGTCCAATAAATCCAATTCAAATAGTAGTCTATTAATTTTGATACTGTTCCTGTAATTAGTTCGTTTAATTATTGATTTTTCAAAGGCTATTAGACAACAAAATGCTGACTCATTTACATATATCTTATTCCAAAAGGATTTAGGTTGAAGCCATGGTAGCCAAGACAAATGGCAATCTATTTATAACTCCACTACATTTTTTTTTACATAGTGAAATGATCTTTGGACAGATCCCCTTCTTATCCCCAACATGCCATTGTTCCCAACCCTGCACACTTTTAGAATGGTGGTCAAAACCTGGCTCTTGACCCAACATGCTGCTTGATAATATAATTTTAGAAAGACATGCCTCATCTACTCTGTTTCTGGGTCGATATGTATTCCCTCTGGAAAGTTTAAATTTTTTAGTATGGAAAAAAGAAATTTCCCATTTTTGTTGTCCTAGCATTAATATTTTATTTGCTACTTATGCTAGAATAATTTGAAGTAACAAAAAATGAAAGACTTTGTTTTAACTGTTGCAATTGAACCTAGTGTCTTTAAGTATCACTTATTTCAGATTTTCATCCCTTGTTTTTAAAAAAAATCTTCCTCACTAGAGTCAAGTTATTATTAAACAATTTGTTAATTTTTGTAATATTAATTCTTAGATAGTTGAAAGGATTGGAACTCTTCCAATATATTTTAAATATTAAATTACTGTTTGTAATCTAAGAAAAATACGAAAAATCCTATTTGACTTTTAAAACTCTTGATAGTATATTTTATTATACTTTATCATGATGCAAATTCTCCCAATTCCATCCTAATGTATTTAGTTAATTTGTTTAGTTATGGGAATATTATGTTGAATTCTTAGCTCCCTCTTCCCAGAAATCTTGTCTTTATATTAATATCTATATACTACACTACCATTCTTTGCATTTGGTCTTCTTTCTCAATGAATATGAAACATGTTTAAGCATCTATTTTATAACCATCTCATAATTCTCAAATGCCAAATGATCCTACAACTTACCTTGTTTTTATAAAGTTATATCTATTTTTTAAATGTATACATTTTTCTCACTTAGAATTTAATGAAAATTTTATTTGGTTTCTAATACTCTGTTGGGATTAAGATTAATAGTTTTCCTTGTGGCTGAAAGAAAATTCATTTGAAATGGAACTCTCATTTAAACTATATTCTTGAATATAGTTTTTCTTCTCTATAATATGGCCAGATTACTGTCTTCAAAAAAAAAGAAAAGAAAGAAAGAAACGTTATCTTTGTCCTGATTTATTACTTCAGCACATGAGGTTTTTGCAAACATTTAAATATTTTATTATTATATTTCTTGGTATATGCATCCAAGCCATAAGAATAAATATTTTATGGTCCACATTCTTATTTGAAAGATAAGAAATTGAAATATCCAGTTTCAGTATTTTCTGCATTTTCTCTAATTCTTCTAATTCTTAAACTATTTTTTTTAATTCTGTACATCACCCAGATTTACTCTGATTTAATGTCATTTTTAACTTCCAAAATCCAGCTCATTTCTCCTACCGGTAGTAATGTCATATCCTTTGATAGCAGTCTGGGTGACCTCTGAAACTTGAGAATACAATTCTATTAATTGTTATTAACTTCTTTAAATATACCTGTCAAGTCCTGTAAAATCATATTAATGTATCTCATTTTGACTTTAGTTCTTATTTGATTTGCTTAATTATATTTTTAGCTCTGTTGGAACATACTCCTCCACAATTTCTTCTTCATTACTAGACTGGGATGACACTTCAGTCATGTTTGGTTCATCCACTAAACCTTAATTGCTCTATGTTATTACTAAATTTATAAATTCAATACATACTTAGATGAACCTAGTGTATATTCCAGTAAATATAGTGATATAGCAGTGCACCTCAGGCTATCTGCAAATTCAGAAGATGCTTTAATTGAATATATTGTCATTTTAAATTTTTAGTTTAAGTTTCTCTTGTAATAGCATAATTAGCTTAAGAATTAGCTTCATTTCCAATAATTAAATTATTTAAAATTAATGTGATTAGTAGCTCATGTCTTCCCTATTCCAAATTTTCAAGCTGTAATTATCCCATAATACACTGTAATTTTATTGTGTAAACACAGCTGAAAATATACTAGAGATCCAACATTTTCCAAAGACTCTAGTAGCCTTTAATTCAGGAAATAAAATAAAACAATGCATCATTTCATTGGTTCTAATTTAACTGATAATGCAGTTATAATTATTATAAAAGTAGACAATTTATTTTTGACTGATTTATTCTCCTGGGAAAAACTCAGTGTTCCATTTTTATAAATTCTGAAGAAGAATGATATAACACCCCTAAGCTTGTACATGTTTGCCATGCAGTGTAGAAATAAAATTTCATTTATGATTGCTTTTTATTTATTGAGAATTAAACTTGGTGCAAATGTGAAGACTTCAAGAATAATATTTTTGTTTGTATTAATAAATGGATTCCTTTTTCTATTTTAGTTGCTGAGAGATATCAAGAACATAAAGGAAAGGTGCTTTTATCACCAAAAGGTTCTATGTCTCAAGTCCACACAGATTTGATTTCTGCAAAAATAGCATGTTTGGAGCTTAGAGAGCAGTGTACAGGAATAACAACCTGGAATAATGCCTATGCACTTGCCAGAGGAAGAGTTTTGCTAAAAAGCAAGGAAAAACAGTCTGTAGCATATGTCAAATCAGGTGTGCTAAGTAATCCAGATATTTCCTATGTCTGTTTACAGTCATGTATCATATTAAAAAGCAAAAAACAACAACAGCAGCCCTAAATCATTTGGGGTTAATAGAAGTTAGACTGAATATTTTAAAATGTAACGTTAGAGTTTTTTTATATTCTAAAGGAAACAGAGGAAGATTTTCTGCTGAAATGAATACAAATGATAAACCAAAATGTATCCTTTTAGTAAATAGTAATAAAAATGTGTTTGGATAATTTGCAGTGTTTATTCTGTTTTAAAAGTCTTAAGTTTTATGACTTCTAATGTATAAAAAGGAAAGAATTTGGTAGTGATAGAGAAAGTAAGTATTTTATTTGCTTGCAGTGGAACAGATTTCTGAAGGATAAATAGAAGTTGCTACCTAACTGTTAGCCTGTTTACCTTTGAATCGATAATGAGAAGATCATTGGTTTCATGTGTTCTCATTCATGAGAAGATCATTGGACTTTTAAACTTAGTACATTCATGAATATATGATCTAATAGTTATTCTTAAGTATTTATATACCTCTGAGTTTTGTTATGCAATTTTTCAATTAAAATATTTATATTATGAATTGTACATAAACGTGGATAGAATGAAAATAATATAAAAACATGGAAGGGGCATTTTAACATTGAGAAAAATTGGCATAGAAAATGTATATGAAAATGTATATAACAGATGAGATACTTATCAAAATATGTCAGTGATATTGTTTGTACACTAAATAAATATGGACACATATTGAAATTACTTCACAGAAAAATAATAAAATGCATTAATTTCCATAGATTATTCCAATTATTCTAATTCTTCTGTACTTATTTTTACTGCTGGTACGCAAAGTCCCTCAGTATATCCTTAAGATAACAGAAGAACATAAGCAGTGCAGTGGTGGGTTGCTCCCGGTTCGCACCGGTTCACAAGAACCGGTAGTAAAAATGTTTAGTAGTTCGGAGAACCAGTAATAATTGACCAGTCCCGGCCCGGTCGCCGCTCGCCCACCTCATCAGAGGCTTTTTTTTTTTTACTTTTAAAAGCATTTTTTCTACAACGTCCTGGTCTGAAAAAATGCTTTTAAAAGTTAAAAAAAAAGCCTCTGATGATCGCACGGCTCACCTAGGATCGTCAGAGGCTTCTGAAAGCATTTTTTCTACAACCTCTTTAGCCGAAGAGGTTGTAGGAAAAAAAATCCCTTTAAAAGCCTCTGGCGATCCCAGCAGATTTGCCTGATCATCAGAAGCTTCTAAAAGCATTATTTTCTGCAACTTTTTCAGCCGAAGAGGTTGTAGGAAAAAAAATCCCTTTAAAAGTCTCTGGGGATCCCAGGAGATTTGCCTGATCGTCAGAGGCTTCTAAAATCATTATTTTCTGCAACCTCTCCAGCCGAAGAGGTTATAGGAAAAAAAATCCCTTTAAAAGCCTCTGGTGATCCCAGCTGACTTGCTTGATCGTCAGAGGCTTCTAAAAGCATTTTTTTTTTGCAACCTCTTAAGGTTGTAGAAAAAATGCTTTTAAAAGTAAAAAAAAAAAAAGTTGGCCACGCCCACCCAGTCACATTACCCCTCCAAAGTCATGCCCACAAAATAAGCCACGCCCACAGAACCGGTAGTAAAAAAATTTAGAACCCACCCCTGAAGCAGTGCCCTGCTGAATTATACCCCTGGCCAGTGTAATCCAGCAGTTTAAATATTGAATGAAGCCCACTTGTCTTCCATCAGATGGACATAGTGCCATCAAGGCTAGTAGCCATGCTAGTATCCCTATCATAAAGATATTGAATGCTGCTTGATGGAAGTTATTACAGTAGTAGTGAATATTCATCCTCTTATTACAATTGTTATTTTCACAGATTGTTCCTTGGGTTACTTTGGAATAAACTGTTCCTCTGTTTGCAATAGATGCTATGGTGATGAATTGTGTAATCCCTATACAGGAGATTGTGATATTTTCCATTCTTGCAGATCTCAAGATTCTCCTGCTGTTTGTGAACAAGGTACCTTAATAAGGCTTTGAAACATGAAAATGAAAGATCGAAAATGGAAGATGGGAAGCAAAAAGAAGTTGTTTTGAATAAAAAAAATATATAATTTATTTAATTAATTTTGATGTCACTGAAACAATAGATTACTGTTATACCCATATTATGGGTTGCTGTTAGCCCCAGTAGGTAGACCAGCACATGAAATCAATTCCAGAAGATGGCTAAAACTATTTTTATTGAAATTGGCTATAATAACAGCCAGTACAATCATGTTATATTTTCCCCATTTTATAAGCTAGTAAATTAAAGAGGCATCTGCCTGAGCTTCTTGCAATTGTCTTGGAAAGTTACCCTGATTTAAATAATATTTCAACCCCTTTTGCCTAGACAACTGTTCTTGCATATTTCTATCAAGGTCATCTTCCTCAATCTGAATTTCTGAATTGATTTTAAATGTAGCCACTTATCTACATTGTTGCATGTGGCCCCAAACAATTAAAGTTTTCATTATTTTTCACCTGTTCTTCACTCTATCTTGCTATTAAATAGCAGAAACAGACTGGTACTTCCTGCAACAAGTATAGTACAAGTAGTCCTTGCTTATTGATCACTTGTTCAGTGACTATTTGAACTGGGACAGTGCTGAATGAATGTATTTTTTACCAATCCACAAATTTCATGACACTCCATGGTCATGTGATTGCAATTCAGGCAATTGGCAACCATTTCACCCTATCAACAGTTTCAGCGTTCTGCGGTCATATGATTGCTATTTGCGACCTTTCTTGCTAGCTTCCCACAAAAAAAGTCAATGGGGAACCTGGCAGCCAAGGTTGCAACTTGCTGTGTCCACTCCCCAAATTCCTGCAGTATACTGCTCTCTCCTTTACACTTGTGCCAACCTGTGCCCTCATTCTTCAGCCTTCCTGTGTTCACACCAACTCATATCCTGTACTCTCCCCAATTTGCAGGCAGACTGTGCCAGACCACCCAGAGCCTGCCCCACCCCTCTACAGCCTCCCTGCGCTCCTTACCTGGACTCCCACTGTTTCTCGCTTAACAACCCGCATCCATTGGGATTACAGCAGAAATTGTGACTGCTGTCACTAAGAAATGTGGTCACATGATACTGGGCTTTAAAATCACATCACTTAGTGGGAGCAATCCCAGTCCCATTTGACGTCGGAACCTGAGCCCTACCTGTATATAAAGTGTAGATGGTGTAACTATGTATTGAATCAAATTATGCCCATCTGCCTTTCGAAAGGATACTGCTGGTGCTAGTGCAATAGTTTTCCTCTCTTCACGGCCAACCCCTTTGTGCTCCTTCACCAACATTTGCAGTGGAAGGTTGGGAGATCCATTTTACAACAATGAAGGGAATATATATTTCCAGTAAACAAGTATGTGATGTAAAGAATTAAGCAATCCTAAATGTTGGTTCTTGTGTCATTCACTTTCTTATAAGCTCTCTTCCTTATTATTCACAATTATTAGAAATGGATAGTGTCCCCAGTTACATTTGTTGTTTGTTGGATAGCTTGATATTGACATTTATTTAAAAAACCAGGTCCATGTGCTGTTTGCTACAACCATCTGTATTGACTAATTACTTTGCTTAGTTAGCACCTTCTTTGTCCTTGTTGACTATTGCAGAAATCAGGGATAGTGACAAATCAAGATAGATATAAACCACCTCTTGTTGGGGCAATGTTGTTTAATTATGAAAATGCAAGGTATAAAAGTATATTTTGCTAGATATTAAACAGTGATTTGACATCTTTTTCTATGTGGTCCTCCAGCTGTGGTTCTTTATCCTTATCCTTTGTTCTGGTTTGTTTTGTTCTGCTCTTGTTTTATATTATTCTCAGTGATAATGTTTTTATAGACTTTTATTTTCTTATTCTTTTTTTCTAATAATGATCTGCTTCACCTATTTCAAGTGTCCTCCCTCCCTCCCTTCTGTTTAACTCTAGTGTGTGTGTGTGTGTGTGTGTGTGTGTGTGTGTGTGCATGTCTGTATGTGTACTCTCTCTCTCTCACACACACACACACTACTTCTTTCTTTTGGGTCAAAGTCCCAGATTTTTTTCCCTCCATCCAAACACATACACTGTTAAACTATTTCCTTTCTTCTGTGTCAAAGTCCCAGATTTTTTCTTCTGCCTTCTCTTATACCACGACTCTTATACTATGGCTTTTAAAGCTAGTTCAACAAACATGAGAAGGATGAGAGCTTCTAAAGTTACATATGTGAGAGGTATTCTTTAAATAAAATATTTTTAAAAAACATATTTTTACTGCTGTGATAGCCTTGCATTCTTCCTCATTATTTCAAATGCAGAAATTTCTGTAGTTCTGCTTTTATACACAGAAAAAAAAGTTGAAGTTCCTCCACATATATAGGAAACAAAAAACTGAAGCTTCTCCACTTAAGTAAAAGAGATAATTATCTTTCTCCAAAATGCTCAAGCAAATTCAAAAGGCTTGGAAGTTAAAGTATTTTTACTCATACCTTTTCCACAATTAAGAAAATACTGTGTTGCTTTTTAAAACCTCTTCATAGTCTGTTGAAAATGTAATTTGCAAAAAGTTCATGACAACTTTATGATGACAAATTAAGAAAAGACATAAAGACTACTTTTTGAAAAAGGAAAAGATTGTTACTCTACTATGGCATCATTATTTTTGCAGTGTTTTAATCATAATATAAAGGCACTGACTAAAAAAACCTATAATACAGTGGTTTAGTATAGCTTGAACAAAATAACAGACTTTTTTTATAAGAAGTTGCAGATGATATTTCAGATGTAAAAGGAATATACAATTAAACAAAAGAAATTTGGAAAGAAATTTGAATTGTAGAATTTTTCATTCCATTATTGGGATGAACCAATTTTAGAAGATGTTTTTAGTGGAATGTTTCATGTTGCATGCTTGCAATACATTTATTTATTGTATTTGTATATTATCTTTCAAGGTATTCTGAAAGCTATTGTTACAGAAATATCTACATAAGAAACATTGGAAATTATTTAATAGAGGAGAATATTTGTAGCTCAGGGTTTAATGTGCAGTCCTTGGTGCTATTCAAGTGGTTGTAATGATATTACCTAGTTTGGTAATGAAATGTCTGCAAGTAAACCACCAAGCTCAGAGAACACAAAGAACACCCAAAATATTTAAGCTTAAAAGTGATGTGTGATGATTATATTATTATCTTCAGCACATATATTTTAAAATTAACTCTTTACTTTCATTTGCGGTAGCTTTGAACAGTGTATGGTGCCCTCAGTTTTCTGGCTGGAGATACTGGGAGAATAACTGCTATTATTTTAGTGCTGAAAAGGCAGCCAATTGGACACTTGCTCGTAAGCAGTGTAGAAGATTCAGAAGTACAGACTTGATTTGGATCGACAAGAAAAATGAAATGGTATTGATGTATTTTGTGAAGAATTGGAAATCAGTTCAAAGCTGGCATATATTTTTTAAAGTTTGAATGTCTGTGAATATGTGAGAGTGATTTGTTAGATTTTATTGCAAATTATTTTGAAATACATTAGTTGCATATCAGTATTTATGTAGTATTTTCTTTTATCACTTCACCAAAGTGTTTTCTAAGATTCTGTATATTTATGGTTTCAGACTTTTAAGGTCCAGAGGACATTGACCCATTCCATCAGTAAGCCACACCCACATCTGATGTGTCCTCCCTGGAGATCTGTATAAGGCTCTCACTAGGCAGCATAGGGCCTGCTGGCTGCCAGAAGAAAAAAAAAAGCCCAGAATCGAGTGGATGTGACTCCACTGAGCTAGGGCTGCAGAAAAAATCTTTGTTACGTAGGAAAAACCTGGCTAAAAGAAAAACATATACATATATATATGCAAAAAATTAAAATCTCTGGTGTTTTCCCGCGTCATTATAAATTAGTTGGTTAAAATATTTAAAATCCTGGTTAAAATCCCAGTTTAAAATCTTCTAAAAATCCTTACAGAGCACTCTGCAAGGTCTTTTAAAACCTCAGCTAAAATCCTACCAGTGACTTTAAAAGTTTTTCTTAAAGCAATGTTTCGACAGGCTCACAACCCTGTCATCTTCAGGCTCTGTTTCATGTAGAAGCTATGGGTTCTCTGTTGCGGGGCCAGAGCTGTCGCTTATCTATATTTGCTGCTGCTGACGTATGCTGGCTAGCCTGCAACTCTGTGTTCCGATTGTAGGACAACAGTTTTTCTTCCTGCTTCCTCCTCCTAGCTGCTTGGCTTCATGTTACAGGCCCAGCTTTCTCAGATTCTCTATTATTATCTGTCTGCTGTAGAGGGGAAAGGATTCTGGTAGGCATCACAGCACCCTTGATTGTTAATTGAGATCTCAGCCGATCTTCTGGCTCAATCCTCTCTCTCTCCCTATTGCTAGCCACCCTCTGCAAAGAAGGAAGAATTCTGGCAGGCCTTACAACACCACTGGTTGCTTGTTGGAATCTCTGCCTCTCTTCTGATGTTAACACTCGAGTTTCTCTCAGTGCAGGTCCCCAAATACTTGATAACCTAGAGGCGTCGTCTCGTCTGTTCATATTCTGCGGCCTCTTTTCAATTTCGATGGCCTCCCTGATTATTCTTTTGTTGAGATGTTCCTCTTTCACCACTGTTCTGGTTTTATTAAAATCAATATTGTGTCCCGTGGCTTTCATGTGTTGTACCAAAGAAGAAGTTTGCTCTTCTTTCCTCACTGCATTTTTATGTTCTTCTAAACGCACACTTATTAGTCTATTTGTCTGTCCAATATAAGATGACTGACAGGAGGCACATGGCACTTCGTATATCCCCTGGTTTTCCAACTCAATTTTATCCTTAGGGTTTCTCACCATCATCAATATTTTTCTATCTGTACGGAACACTGTTTTTATTTTTTGTTTCCGTAATATCTTACTAAATTTATCGAGAATCTGAGAAAGCTGGGCCTGTAACACGAAACCAAGCAGCTAGGAGGAGGAAGCAGGAAGAAAAACTGTTGTCCTACAATCGGAACACAGAGTTGCAGGCTAGCCAGCATACGTCAGCAGCAGCAAATATAGATAAGCGACAGCTCCGGCCCCGCAACAGAGAACCCGTAGCTTCTACATGAAACAGAGCCTGAAGATGACAGGGTTGTGAGCCTGTCGAAACGTTGCTTTAAGAAAAACTTTTAAAGTCACTGGTAGGATTTTAGCTGAGGTTTTAAAGGACCTTGCAGAGTGCTCTGTAAGGATTTTTCGAAGATTTTAAGCTGGGATTTTAACCAGGATTTTAAATATTTTAACCAATTTATTTATAATGACGTGGGAAAACACCCGAGATTTTAATTTTTTGCGTATGCACACCTGCGAAAACTTAAGAAGACATACATACATACATACATACATACATACATACATACATACATACAAAGATACAAAGATACATATATATAATATATATATCTAAGTCTCAGAGATTCTATCAATGTTTTGAACATCTTTTTGAAGCTTTTTTTAAATTTTATGCCTCTAATCTTTCTACCAGCATAATTTTCTTTTTCTTGGATATAATAATGTTTGAATGTATATGATTATTACCACATATAGGACAAATTAAAGAGCAACCATGTGCCTTCTAAATATTTAGTAATTAAAAAAAACAGGAATGACTAATTGACCTATAGTGTTTTTGAGGTTTCAGCTCTCTTAAGGGCATCTCATATTATCGCAAATATAAGGCATTTTATTAAGCAATTCAGTCTTCACAAGCATTTGTTCCTCTGATTCGCTACTGTACTATATAGTTATATAGTGGCTAGGTAATTAACAAGTGTTTGCATTCTTCAAAAGTGATTGTAAAGTACTACTTGAGCAAAACAGCTTTCAGTTTTCAGACTGCTATACAAGCCTGAAAAAAGAAATAGCTACTTTAAAAGTCTTTTTAATTTTTCATAATTTTCTGAAAAAGATCAGCCACTTTAATGAATGGCAGAGAAGTGTTGCATGATATATGATATTGTATTGAATCATTTTTGAAATATATAAGGTCCACTTAATTAACTAGCAGTAATTTGGACTATATGTAATATACATTTGGGTGTTTTTTGTGTATTGCACTTAGGGTGATTACAGTTCATGAGCTTTTTAAAAACTATTTTGCTTAGAAATAAATTGAGATACATTAGGTGATTATGAATGGTAGTAAATCCAATTCACAAAGTGAATACAAATCACCTTTCTGAGTATTTCAGTAAATTTAATTTTCATTTAAGAATACATATGTTATTCAAAAAGTTCTCAATTTGTGTTGAACTAGAAAAATAAAAAGATCTATTTTACCTCTGCATGGTATATGCTGCCCTCTTGTGTTAGAGATAAATACCTATAATCACTAACAGAAAAAATGAATTTTTGAATTATAATACATCTGTATAGTATTTATTTATTTTTATTCCGCCTTTAATATTTTTTAACAAATAATACAAGGTGGGAAACCTGGCCTAAATTGTAAGATATGACTACTCATAAGCATGTTTTTAATAGGATAAAGGAGTGACAGAAATAACAATAAGAACAGAATTTACTTAACCTAAACATATCTCAGTAAAATAACTTCCATTTAAATTTGAAGACAGTGGCACCGCATGCTTCCACATATTATATAGGAAAGAATATTTCTGATCTTGTCTAGAAATGCGTAAGCCTTGGGAAGAAACAATAAAAACAGCAAAACTATTTTAAAAAACTTTAAAAACATTCAAATAGGCACACACAAGAGCAAGATTATGGCCCGTTAGTAATATAGCCAGGAAATGGGGCCCTTAAAACATTCAGCATCCCAGACAGGAGTGCAGCAAGGATTTTAGAACCTTATGAAAGTCTTAACGGGGTTGGGGCCATTCTGAATTCCGATGGGAGGCTGTTCCATACAGCAGAGGCTACTGCAGAAAAAGTTTGATATCTGGTCACCACAAGTTGATGCTCTTTGGCTGACGGGATCTGGGATTGGCCTGGGAACCAAATGGGGGAGTTCCACGCTGAAGTGAATGCTGGATTGATAGCAGATTCCACTCCCCACCCTTGCTCTCTGATCTCCACCTGTCCATCTTTTTGGTTATCATAGTGATGTATTGTGGTTATGTTCCTTTTTCATTATGTATACGATTGTTCTATTATTTTCCTTCTCATATGTTTAGACTCTTTTCATTTTCTTCCTTTTTATTATTGTAAGCCACTAGAATAGCCCCATGGCGAGATAGGTGGGAAATTAATTAATTTGCATGCCATGGGGTGAGCTCCCATCCTCGCTCCAGCTCCTGCCAACCTAGCAGTTGAAAAGAATGCAAATGCAAGTAGATAAATAGGTACCATTTTGGTGGGAAGGTAACAGCACTCGGTGACGTCATGCTGGCAACGTGACCGCAGAAATGTTTTCAGACAATGCTGGCTCAATGGCCTTGAAACGGAGATGAGCACCTCCCCCTCTAATTGGCATTGACTACTGGAATAAAATCTGTAGGGACACACACACACACACACACACACACACACACACAAACACACGGTATATGAACAATTGTTTACGTTAAGGTCACATGTAGATTTGTTTTGAGTATTTTCCAGCATAACCTAATTTATTTTATATATTAACAATTTTATATTTAATTTAAAATAGAAATATAAGTGTTTCTTAATCTATACTTTTGGTATTTTCCACTTCTGGAAACATCATAATAATGTGGCAAAAGAAGAAATTCCAAATTTTCATTCTTCTTCTCTATTGGAGATTATCCTAATACAAGAATAAAGTCTTTTTTCTATAACATTTTGACAGGATTGGATATCATCTGCAGTGTCACGTGAGATTTTGTGGACTGGATTAAATAGTAGGAAGAAAACAGCTATATGGGTTTGGTCAGATTCAAGATCGGCAGCTAAAGAAATACGGTGGTAAAGTTAATTGTTTATATTAATTTTAGGCTGGGATGGAATTATGTTTTTGTGAAAACAAAAAAAATGTGATTTAGCATTTTCAAATGTATGTATGTATTTGTGTATATATACATATATATATATAGTCTCCCTTTATTTCTTTATCAGCGAAATATAAATTTTATATACATACATACATACATACATACATACATACATACATACATACATACATGTATATATATATATTCCTTTATTTTCACCCATTTCTCTTAGATAACTTTTAAATCCCTTGTTAATGATATAAACATGAATATCAATGGAGAAAATCACTGCTTTTAGAACTACACATGAGAGACATAACATAAGGCATATAAAGTTTCTCAGCATTTAGATTAAAGAAACCAAGCGGAGAAAATAGGCATAAGATATGTAGAACCTTATCTGAAATAACAAGATGGGATTTGGGACTAGCAACAGAAATAACTTATGAATATATAGCTCATCCATTTTTCTTTTACCTAAAGGAATGTTTGTATACATATGAATATGTTAATATACATATGAATTCTAAAAATTCTAATGCTAATTTTTTTTTATTTGCACAAAATGTCTGTTTTGGATGCCAAAGTTTTACAAAACTTACAGGAAGGTTGGTTTTATAATACTAGAGCTTTACACTAATGTTTTTATTTGTTGTACTCTGGTGGTTTCCATTTTTTTGTTCTCGTGTTGATATTTCTTTTTAAAATTTATTGTTATCTCTCTGTTCCTCAGAAACCAATAATCCAAAATAAAAATGCACAATGAAATATTTCATCGGTTTTTCTTTTTCATCCAGGTTAAAATTGGAAGGGAATCCTTCTGGAAGATGTGTAGGTTTATATCCTGCTAATAAAACAGCCCTAAAGATACATTGTTCTGAAGACCATAGGTGGATTTGTAAGAGAAAGGAAAGTAAGTCGAGTATTGGAGCTTTGAATATGACAAAGATACATTCAGGTTATAATATTTCATTTATATTATGCATGATTCTTTCTTTTTCTCTTTCAGTTATGTTCTTTATGCATGATATGGCACAACAATATTTGTGCATCCTTCCTTGTGTTCATGAAGCAATGTGTGTATGTGTGTGCGTGTGTGTCAGAGGTGGGTTTCAGCAGGTTCTGACCAGTTCTGGAGAACCGGTAGCGGAAATTTTGAGTAGTTCGGAGAACCGGTAGTAAACATTCTGACTGGCCCTGCCCCCATCTATTCTCTGCCTCCCAAGTCCCAAGTGGGAGGAAATGGGGATTTTTCAATAACCTTCCCCTGGAGTGGGGTGGGAATGGAGATTTTACAGTATCTTTCCCCTGCCATGCCCACCAAGCCACACCCACTAAGCCATGCCATGCCCACCAAGCCACACCCACAGAATTGGTAGCAAAAAATTTTGAAACCCACCACTGGTACGTGTGCATGCATGTGCACAAAAATATCACTGATGCATGTTTTTGGAGCTTTTTCTTGTTAAAAATATAATAATATTGCAGAATTAAAGCTTTGTCAAAAGCAATAACCAATACACTTGTATTATTTCTTCTAGTTTCAGTTTTGTGAGTGTTTTATTATTTCCGCTATCAGACATGAGGTTTTAGTCCCTCACTGGACAGGGTTCTTTACCCATACTGAATTATATTTCAGTTCTCAAATGGTGACAGATGTAAGAGGTATGGAAGATACCAAAGATGTTTTCAAGTGTTTCCCAATTTTTCTCATGTTCTGGTGGCTACATTATTGGTAGACGAAAATATCTCATCTAAGGGAGATGGCTTCTTCTCATTTTAAAAAATAGAAGAAGCCATGCAATTCAAAATGCTAACCAATACTAACCCTAATCCTAACCAAACAAGACTATCTATATATTCTTTACCTTCACTTCTAGATCATTGACAGGATAGCTTTAGCAGGTACCTCTGAGAATTGGTTAAACTATTATTTATGTATTTATTTAAATAAACCCTGTGTTTTAGAACAAACTATTTGTTGAAGTAGGTCCTCCCTATTACACTCACCCTCACTCTCTGCTCTGTTGGATCACCGGCCGTTCGCTTACCCCGCCCACTCCCAATCTATTGCTGCCTCCGGAGTCCCAGCTGATGGCTAGAGGAAAAAAAACTTCAAATTCTTGCCACAGGGCTTCAAAGGGCCGTCCTATAGCCAGTGGTGCAGCCGAACCGTTTGTTAAATTGCTGGCTTGCCCCGCCCCTCGCCCGCCCTGCCTCCCACCCGCGCAGCGCCAGCCTACCCTAGCCAGGGGTAGGCAATTGTGGCTCTTTTACAACCTGTGGACTTCAACTTCCAGAATTCCTGAGACAGCTTGGCTGTCTCAGGAATTCTGGGAGTTGAAGGCCACAGGTTGTAAAAGAGCCATAATTGCCCACCCCTTCCCTAGCCTGAGTTCCGCTGCCTGGGATCCACGTGGGCTGCCACGTGGTTCCCCACCGGCTCCGGACACAGGAGAGCAGGATGGAGAAAGCAGCTTCCACGCCTTCACTCACCCTCACTCTCTGCTCTGTTGGATCGCCGGCCGTTCGCTTACCCCACCCACTCCCAATCTATTGCTGCCTCCGGAGTCCCAGCTGATGGCTAGAGGAAAAAAAACTTCAAATTTCTGCCGCGGGGCTTCAAAGGGCTGCCCTATAGCCAGTGGTGCAGCCGAACCGTTTGTTAAATTGCTGGCTTGCCCCGCCCCTCCGCACCACTATTTATTGCCAATAAATAGTGGTGGGTGAGGGGCGGGCAAGCCAGCAATTTGACAAAGGGTTCGGTGTTTTTTTGTAATTTTATTGGCCCACGGAGCTTCAGCATAGGCTGAAGCCCTTGATTCTATCGGCCTCCCGACTCTCAGCTGATTTGTCTCAGCTGTTTTGCTCAGGGCTCTGCTGCTTCCTTGCAAAGAGTCCTGGAGCAATTTTTTTTCCCCCTAGCTATGCTGAAACACGAAACTGAAACAGCTTTGCTGTTGCGGCAACGTTGGAAAATTAGGCAGGCAGAATTCTTTTCTTTTTCCTCACCAAAAAAGGTAAGTGCAAACAATGGGAAATTTAGGGAAAAAGAGGAGAGTTCAAGATTTTAAAACACAAAACAAAAAAAGCTCTATTTAACTAGGGAATTGTAATAATTGAGATACTATTAATTGTATATTTCTGAAAGCAGAAATGGTTAAGTTGTGGTTTGGAGGAATATATGGGGGAAATTATTTGGTTTATTATTATTGGTAAATATAATTAATTGATTTGTAAGAAATTGGATTGCATGGAAATAATTGGAATATTCATGTTCATATTGATTAATATACAAAAAAGATAGCTATATAACTAATTGATTTATATTAAAATGTTGAATTTATATTAAACAACTAATATTATATAATTAACCAATGTGAGGATGGATATAAAAATAGATGACAATGGGAAGGGGTATAATATAGAATAGAAGGGAAAAATTGAATTTGATTAAGATTAGAGATGAGGATGAAGGGTAATATTGGTTTTTTACAAAAATAGATGAGGAATAAATATGGCAAAAAGGAAATATAGAAATTGTAAATTTAATTGAAATGACTAAACACTTTTAAATTTGTGAACCGGCCAAATACTCTGTTCAAAGAAAATACATTGTATGTTTGTATGTGTGTTTCTAATTATTGTTATTTATTCATATTTGTTCTCTTTTATTCTTTAAAGTTTAACAATTCATTCTTTATCTTAATATCTTTATATTTGTTTGTGGTTGGCTTTCTTCCCTTTCATCTTTTTTATTGTACAATCTTTCTCCTCAAACCTACCACCTCTCTCTTTTCTTTCCTTCTTACTTTCTCTTCCTCCCGCTCTTCTTCTCCTCCCTACTTCCTCTTCCTTTCTCCTTCTCCTCCTCTCTTCCTCCCTCTCTTACCCTCCCTCCTACTCTAATTTCCCTTCCCTTCCTTCATCCCTCTCTATTGCTGTATCCTTTTATGCATATGGACTACTCAGAGGGCTGAAAAAGTTATTTCTGACTGGTCCTCACACTTTTGACCAGTCCTCGAACTTACGACTGTCCTCACATTTTACGTTTTTGCCCTATCTTGTCACCATGGTGAAGAGAAGCAGTTGTGAAATGAGTGACATGGTTGTTAAGAAAGCTGCACGGGCATAAATGTGAGGATGGTCATAAGTGTGAGGACCGGTCAAAAGTGTGATGTCCAGTCAGAAATGACTTTTTTCAGCCCTCTGAGTAGTCCCTATGCACATAGCCACGCCCACCCGGTCACATGATGAGCTAGCCACGCCTACACACTCACGTGACCAGCTAGCCATGCCCACCCAGTCACATGATTGCCAAGCCACACCCCCAACTAAGCCACGCCCACAGAACCTGTTGTTAAAAAAATTGAATCCCACCACTGTAAATAATAAATGCAAGACATTTGAAAAACCACTCAAACATTTTTTCTTTTTCTCACTAGGGGTAGATCTTTTTGATCTCTACACTGATAACTTTCTGTCAGGACCATTAGACCCAACAATTTATACAACTCTTTCCACTGCTGTAGTAGACTGCTTAAGTGATTCCAACTGCTCAGGGATAGTGCAAGATAGCCGATTCTTTAGAAGAACAAGAGGTATAGATGAAATTGCTGCATCTGATGAAAATGTATTTACATATAAAAGACGAGGTATGTTTATTTGTCTGAAATAAAAAACAAAAATAGGCATAGAAATTTATTACCATTCTAAAAGTATTTGCAAATGTGAATTTTAAGGAATCCTTTATTTTCTTTTGATATGCAAGAAAAATGGGAGGTAATTTAAAATGACTGCTCCATTCTTATTTACTTTTATTTTTTATAAAGTCAAATTCTGAAATTATTTCTAGATTATTCTCTAGATTATTCTTTTATAATTTGATAAAATCTGTTATTTAAGAGGTAAGATCTTCATTCTCAGCAGATGGCAGCATCAAGCCAAGTTGGCTGATTTCATATAATTAAGCAGGCTTGGATCTTATTAATACCTGGAAGGAAGACCACCATGAAATCTAAGCACTGAAGCTTAAACTATGAAATTGTGGTGGGGGAAAGGCAATGGCAAGCCATTTCTCTATGGAAACAAAGAAAATTTCTGGATCTGCCATTTTAGCTGTCAGGCTAGGCTTTTTGCTATAACACTGTGGAGAATTTGTGTTTCCCCTCACATAGATGAGGTAAAAGGACAAGCAAGTCATCAAGGAAACATGTTCAAAGCCTGGAATTACTGTATATAGGGAGCACTGGAACAGCTGAAATTCAGGATAAGTCAAGATTGGTGAACAGATTGGTTAAAAAAAGTTGTTTGCAGGCAATATACATATATTCACAATAAAAGGAAAGGAAGAGAAAAAACATTATATAGCAGCTGTTCAGCAAAGGTTCTAAAATGATAACAAAACGTACTTCTATACCAAACTATTTCTATTTCTTAATCCCAGAGATATTTGAAGCCAACATGGTATTGTTCTTTTTTATGTCAGCCTCCAGATGAGAGCACATAGGGGACAATCATGTGCTTATCCTTCAGCTGACTAGTAGAAGAATACAAAAACAATAACTCATTGCTGGGGCAACAAGAATCCTTTTACTCTCATTCCACACAAAAATAAATTACAAGTATCCTCCTTCCCTCATGTTTATAATTCATCAAATGTGCACTTGTTTATTGTTGTCTATCTAGAAATTCCTATTATGTGTAGTCATATCAAATGTTTAAAGCTATGTTTGAACTATTCCAAAGCTGTCAGTAGGCTCAGGCTCAGTCTTCTTCAGACAGTAAATGTGTGTTATCCTGGGTACAATGGATGAAAAGGAAGATTTTAATTTGAGATTTATAGAGACATTGTCAGGGGATACTTAAGTACCTTGAATAAATTCTGCTATTCAAAGCTAGGGTAATTGTGTTCTAGTTTTCTGAAGGAACATGACAATGATCTGTCTGGACCCTTGTGTATTGTTTTTAAGTTAACTCTGAACAATAGGTGAACAGGAGTTGCTCCTTCCTTAAAAAAAAGGAAAACAAAGATCTGGAAACTATAGAACTGTTAGTCTGATACTGATTGAATGCCTTGATCACTAGAAAATGTAGATATGAAAGGATCAAGTCTTACTGCACTACCCCTCAAGTTTGGGAGGTAATTTCATTTACAGATTGTGCAAATGCTGGGTATATAATATAACTTGAATTCAGCACAGCATTTGACAAAGTACGCTATAACATTCTGGTCACAGTCTAGTTTATCATCCAGATGGCATATTATTAGGTGGATCTGCAGCCATACTCAGTGAGTACCCATCAACAGTTCTTCATCAGCCTAAGGAAAAGTGTCAGATAGAATGATATAAGGCACAGATCTAGGTCCAGTATTTTTCAACATTCATGATTTAGATCAAAAGGTTATATTTATTAAACTTGCACATTATGCAAGAGAGTGATAACTAATGAAGAATATAACATCAAAACTCAAAATGATTGTGGCAGGATAAGAAACGGGTGTAAATTACAGAATGATATGTAACAAATAGGTGTAAAAAATTATGTAGAAAAAATATTGACTGTAAAGATGTAGACTGCGAGTATCTGGCTTGATAATAGTACAAGTAGTCCTCGGATAACAACTAATTGGGACTTGGAACTCCATTGCTAAGCAAAAAATCAGGCAACCATGCCGGATTTAAGACATCAGTTCTTCTGTGACTGTTAAATGAATCACCCATGGTTATTAAGCATAACATCATGTGACTGCAACTTGCAACTTTCTGCCATAAGAACTGTCCATATTTGCCACAGAGCAGTCATAACCACAGACTCTACATGGAAAACTAAATCTTCAAATTCCCTTCCATTAGAATCTTAAAATAGTAGTTGATTATAAACTGAATATGTGTTAGCAGTGTAACTTGGCTGAATCATATGTGAGTGGATGACCATAAAAATGGAAATTACAAAAAAAATTCTTTAAAAATGAAATGTTAGGATTTATCAACAGGAGCATGATCCAAATGAAACTAAAATAATAGTTTCATTCTATTCTAAATTAGTTAGACTTCATCTTAGGTGTTATTTCCAGTTCTGTATAGCATATTTTAAGAATTCAGACAAGTGGAATGGCTCCATGGAAGGGCAATCTGAGAACAGGGGAACAGATCTTATGAGGAGAGATTGAGAAAACATGTTATAGGTAGCTTTAAGAAGGTAAACTGGATATATAAGGAAGGGTGGAAATGGGGTAATACCATTCATCTATCACATAAAATGATGTGAATCCTATTCCAGAGAATAGGATGCAAAGTGGACTTAAAACATAGAAAAATAGATTCCTTTGGGGTATTAGACTGAGTGGCTGTGGCTTCTGGTGTCCCGGTATAGTCAGCTGGCACCATCTCTGACTATTGGGGGTGAGATCTTGGCCCCCACAGAGAGGGCTCGCAACTTGGGTGTTCTCCTGGATGCACGGCTGTCTTTGGAAGAGCACATGACAGCGTGGCCAGGGGAGCTTTCTATCGGGTTCGCCTTATGCACCAGTTGTGTCTCTTTCTGGACCGGGTTGCCCTGCGCACAGTCACTCATGCCCTCGTCACATCCCATCTGGACTACTGCAACGCTCTCTACATGGGGCTCCCCTTGAAGAGCACTCAGAGGCTCCAGCTGGTCCAGAATGCGGCTGCGCGGGTGGTTATGGGTGCGACTCGGCGTGCCCATGTAACACCCCTCCTGCGCGAGCTGCACTGGTTCCCGTTGGTCTTTCGAGTGCGATTCAAGGTGTTGGTCACCACCTTTAAAGTGCTCCATGGCTTAGGACCGGGATACATACGAGACCGCCAACTGCCATCAACAACCTCCCACCGGCCAATACGCTCCCATAAAGAGGGGTTCCTCAGGGTGCCGTCAACCAAACAATTTTTTTTTTAAATTTGATTTATATGCCGCCGTTCTCCGGAAACTCAGGGCGGCTTACAATGCGCTAAGCAATAGCCTTCATACTTTTGTATATTTATACAAAGTCAGCTTATTGCCCCCACAAACTGGGTCCTCATTTCACCTACCTTAGAAAGGATGGAAGGCTGAGTCAACCTTGAGCCTTGGAGAGATTCGAACCAGCAGTAATTGCAGGCAGCTGTGTTAATAACAGGGTGCTTAGACCACTGTACCATCAAGGCTCTTGATGCCGACTGGCAACACCCAAGGGGAGAGCCTTCTCTGTGGGGGCACCAGCCCTTTGGAATGAGCTGCCCCTAGAGCTTCATCTTAGCCCCGACCTGCGTACTTTTCACCGTGCCCTAAAGACCTTCCTGTTTCAGCAAGCCGGACTGGCCTAAAATGAATTTTAAGTAGGTGTATGTGTGTTTAATTTGAGGGCCAAATTGTATATATTTGTTTTAATTGGTTTTAAATTTTATAAATTCATGTGTTTTAATGTGGCTGTACACCGCCCTGAGTCCCCTGGGAGAAGGGCAGCATAGAAATCCAATAAACTCTAAACTCTATTAGATAAAATTTTTGTTCAAATAGTTTGACAATGAGATCAACTCCCAATCAGCTGCTGTTTCCAGATATGATGTAGAGACTGATAGCTGCATAGTTACTGGGGGGATGCTTTGATTTAGATTTCTGCACTGAATAGAGATTAAATTCAGCAACATGGCCACTTTCAATGATCCTAGGGTGATTCCTTTTACATAATGATAGTATATTAATAAGACGAATCCTTATAGAACCTTATCACATATTGGACTCAGAATTTGGTTGCTTCATTGCATAACTCTCTTTGGAGAATTGTTGAATTTTTTAAGTATATTATTATGTTGACATAATATGATTTGTGATTCTTTTCATAGAATGTTCCCTTGGTTACTATGGCAATAACTGTGGCTTTCTTTGTAAGAAATGCTATGGAGGATTCAGATGTAATTCAATAACTGGAAAATGCCCAGAAAGATTGTACTGCCATGGTCAATTCAAAGGTGAAATGTGTGAATTAGGTACAGTAATAATATGGTCATCTTCATTTAAATTATTTATTATTCTTTTCTGAATATAGAATAGATTCAAATGGCATGTACTGTAAAGCTTTTGCTTGTAATGAAGGAAACAATCTGTTGGTAACTTTAAACCCTTGGTAAAAATCACAGAAAGTAAACAGTGTAATTTTTTAATAAATGAACATCATAAAGCTGATTTTAGTTGAGTTTTATATATCAAAGATTACAATGCATTACAGAATCCAAGGTAATATCTTAAATAGTTATACATGTAGTTATGCATGTTATACATGTAAGTTATACATGTGTTTTGTGTCAGTTGTGTCCCTTTATCCCCAGCACTCCCATGTTTTAAAGAAAATTTAGTTTTTGTTCATGAGTATGTTTTGTGAAATGATGCAGCTGATGAATAGATTAATTGAACCTTTATAATCACTATATAGGTAACTCTACGTATGTAACCTACATAAAATATAGAAGGTGCACATTTCAAAAGAAATTAGAAAATGATTATTAGACATATATACAGGGTTGGCTTGCCAAAGTCTTTGAATGGAATTAGCAAACAGACAAAAAGCCATGGGACCAAATTGCAACTCAGTCTCAGTCAGAACAAATCAATACCTTTGTGAGAACAAGTTTAAAATATATTAAAGACTGATAGGATTATGTGAAGTTCCAGATTTGAAAAGGAAAAAAAAGCATGAGGAGCAAACATAGATCGTATCTGTAACTTTTTAAATAGCTATGCCTTTTCCCAAAATATTGTGGCTGCCTTCCATAGAGCTTTTTGTCTTTGAATCTGAAGAATTTTCTGGCTTTGGCATTTGATCATGATTGAAAACCTAGATAGGTATGGCTTTAAGGTAAGAAAAACTATCATAGCAATAGAATGAATTTTATTAGAAGAACACTGGAAAAAAGAATATTAATCAGATGTGTATAGTAATGTAAAGTAAAAAGTTACATTAAAGAAGTATACTTTTTTATAACTTCTGTACAATTAAAAGGAATTTTTCCTGTGAAGTTTAGATAGTCATATTATCTGTAACAGCTGCAATTTTAAATTGAGTACAATGAACAGTTCAGATTCCAGGAAATGCTGCAGCTTGTACTTTGCATAGCTGAATTCCTTCAAAGTCTTTTAAGGTTATTTAAGATATTGTTTTATAAAAGAATACTGGGAAAATGAAGAGAACAAATTTGGATATTTAGTTAGTGTTAAGTTCTTTTAAAGTCTACTCCAATTTGTGTGGATTCTCTTTTTGCCTACTGATATAACCCTATTCAGGGGCAATTAGTCATAAATATATCCATAAATAAAAATGGAAACACTATGTCTTATTTCCACTGTTCAGCTTCTGTTAATCATTTAATAGTCCCCTGAGTGGCCTATTCATCTAACTAAAAATTCCTACAGAGATTAAAGAATAAAGTTGTGTGGCGAATTAACTTCTCTTTCTGGAAAACTTTGATGTTTGCTTCCGAGCAGCATCCCTTCTCTTAGAAATAGGTTCAAGGAGTTGAAGCAAACCTATCAGAATTTGCTGGTATTTATGTTTAGTAAAGCACACTGATGATTACTGCGTCTTGCTAAGAATGGATGCATTTACTTCTGTAAATGGCAAAGAATAAACAAAGAGTATAGAGGTCTTGGGGTGCAAAACTGGTTCACAACATTTCCTCACTCATAGTTTTATATAAATAGCTATTTTTTTCCAAGCTCATAAATATATAATTTTAAGAGGAAGGGGGAAGGAGGGAGGGAGGGAGAAAGAAGCCCCAGTTAACGCAAGATTCTTTTTCTGTACAGTATATAGATTTGCTTGTAAATTTTTCAATCAGCAAAATTTAGCTGTCTCTGAATTTCATTCAGCTAAATCAAATGTGGGCTTTTAATACTAAATATAATTTGAATATACATTAAAATGTTAAAATCTTGATCAGGAATAAAATTATACATTGTTAAGTTTTGCAGACAAAGGCATTGCTCTCGCTGAATATATAAGTTAGTATAGTTTTTAAAAATGTTTTTCAAATTCAGTCTGTGTTATTTTCAGGCCTCAAAAGTCCAAAATGTCCCTATAATGCACCATGGTGGTATTTTGATGGACATTGCTATTATTTTGAAAAGGAAAAAAAAGGTGACTTTGCTTGGGCAGAAAAACGATGTTCCTACTACAAGGATTCATATCTTGTCTGGATTTCAAATGAAAAAGAAAAGGTACACTAATTAAGTAGAGATGTTATTAGTTTTTATTTCTTAAATTTCTTTACTGTCACAATTGAGAGTGGTCATAAACCACTTTTGGTCATAAACAACATAAATCAAAATAATAAACATCTATGATTAGAATAGTAATACAGACACGATAAAAAATAATAAAGAAAGAAAATAAAAGATTCATTTTAAAGCAACATAACAAAATTTCATTCACATGATAGTGTTATCCCATGAAATGGCTCGGTTTAATGCAGTTCTCATAGGTCATCAGGATGAATTCTTGTAGAACCATCATGATCAATTCACATTACATATTTCAGTTAATGCGGTTCTTCTGTTTTGTATTAAATGTGATTATTTTAATATGATCAGAGGATGCTTTTAAGAGTATAGTGGTTAAGACACTGGAGGAGGTCTTGTTCTACCTTGTGCACAAAATCAGCTAGGTGACCTTGGCCAGTCTTTTACAGCCCTAGGAAGGAGATAATGGCAAGGCATTTCTGAAATCTGGTTACAGAAATTGTAGGAACTTGTCCAGGCAGTTATCAGAATAGCCATTGACTCAAAGCCCCCCCCCCAAATATGTGGCTAGTCTGAAATAAGGTATTCCTCTGAAGAACCAGTATGTGAGCTCTGTATTGTAGTTCACCAATAAAATTTTTGGTTCTGATGAGGAGCAGGAATGGATTCTTTTCTGTGCAGACTCTATCTAAATGCCATTTTTGTAGTTTATAGGTACTTTTTAAAATAAAAGTTAAAACAAATAATATTACTGTGAGAGGTTTTTTTAAAAGAGTTTTAAAAAATCTAAATTGTAATCTTAAAATAGCGATGGCAAACCATTTAGGCTTGGTGTGTCAAAAATTCAGAAAATCTGTAATTTGAGTGTTGACATGTCACCCCCACCAAACAAAAGAGAAACAATTATCTCCCCCCCCCATTTAGAATAACAGACTAACACAATAACAGAGTTGGAAGGGACCTTGGAGGTCTTCTAGTCCAACCCCTTGCTCAAGTCTAACCCTATACAACTACAGACAAATGGTTGTTCAATCTCTTCTTAAAAACCTCTAGTGTTGGAGTACCCAGAACTTCTGGAGGCAAGTCGTTCCACTGATTAATTGTTCTAATTGTCAGGAAATTTCTCCTTAGTTCTAGGTTGGTTCTCTCCTTGATTAGTTTCCATCCATTGCTTCTTGTTCTGCCCGCAGGTGCTTTGGAGAATAGATTGACCCCCTCTACTTTGTGTCAGCCCCTTAGATATTGAAACACTGCTATCATGTCACCCCTAGTCCTCCTTTTCACTAGCTAGACATACCCAATTCCTGCAACCTTTATTCATTCTCTAATCATCTTTGTCGCTCTTCTCTGCACTCCTTTTAGAGTTTCAATATCTTTTTAATATTGGGGCGACCAAAGCTGGATTCAATATTCCAAGGGCGGTCTTACCAAGACATTATAAAGTGGTATTAACACTTCATGTGATCTTGATTCTATCTCTCTATTAATGTAGCCTTGGATTATATTGGCTTTTTTGACAGCTGCAGCATACTGTTGGCTCATATATAAGTGGTTGTCCACTAGGACTACAAGATCTCTCTCACAGTTTTTTTTTTTAATTTGATTTATATGCCACCCTTCTCCGGAAACTCAGGACGGCTTACAATGCGTTAAGCAATAGCCTTCATACTTTCGTATATTTTTACAAAGTCATCTTATTGCCCCCACAAACTGGGTCCTCAATTTACCTACCTTAGAAAGGATGGAACGCTGAGTCAACCTTGAGCCTGGCAAGATTCGAACTTACTAATTGCAGACAGCTGGAGTTAAATTACAATGCATTAGTCTGCTGAGCTATCCAGGCCAGCTAGATTCCTTGAATTCCTTTTACTCTCTTGATGATATATCAATAGCACTTTTTTAAAAAATTTGATTTATATGCCGCCTTTCTCCGGAGACTCAGGGCGGCTTACAATGCGTTAAGCAATAGCCTTCATACTTTTGTATATTTTATACAAAGTCAGCTTATTGCCCCCACAAACTGGGTCCTCAATTTACCTACCTTAGAAAGGATGGAAGGCTGAGTCAACCTTGAGCTGGCAAGATTCGAACTTACTTTAATTGCAGACAGCTGGTGTTAAATTACAGTGCTTTTAGTCTGCAGAGCTAGACTTATATACCACTTCATAGTGCTTTACAGCCCTCTCTAAGCAGCTTACAGAGTCAGCATATTGCCTCCAACAATCTGGGTCCTCATTTTACCGACCTCGGAAGGATGGAAGGCTGAGTCAACCTTGAGCCTGATGAGATTCGATCGCCAAACTACTGGCAGCCAGTAATCAGCAGAAGTAGCCTGTAGTACTGCATTCTAACCACTGCGCCACCGCGGCTCTTATCTTACTATATGATATATAATTTTGTTCGTTCTTTAATCCATGTGCAGGTCTTTCTATCTTGTCTTGTAATGCCAAGCATGTATCTTTCCTTGCTCCCCCTATGCCTGAAGAGGAAAGTTTTTGATAGTGTGTGCTACCTGCTCTAACATATCCCAGTGAAACCTCACAATCAATACAAAAGCTAAATTGATTTATATTTATATAAATATATTTATATTTATATTTATTCATATGCAGGAGGTAATAATCTATCAAGAGCAGTCCTGCTACTGCTCAGGAATGGCTTCACCTTGGAGTTTAGTCTTATCATCTCCCTACTTTTAGGAAGTGGCTAAAAACTGAATTGTAGGGTATTTTCTTGATTTAATATATGGCATTATGTTAATTATTTTGTAATTTACATTTCTAATTCATCATAGATACTTTAATCACATGTTGCACATTTTGTAAGCCATTGGGAATCATTTAATTGTAGCAGGTTATAAGTTCAATAAATTCTTCCATAAATCAAAAGTGACTTTTTTGACTTATATGGGCTAAATTTCATTTTTTCATTCTAACCTTTTCCATCATCAATTCTAGGTAACTCATGAAATCTCAAGTAAAGCACTGTTACAAATGATTCTTATTTTTTTTTAAAGACATGGCTTGATGCTATGTTGGAAAAGGGGAGCTGGATTGGTTTGCGACAGAAGGAATTTAAATGGGAATTCATTCATAAGGTTGGAACAGTTCCTTTGTCAAGTTATACCTGGTAAGCAGTCAATGCCAGCTGTTATATTTCGTTCTCTTTCTCTCACATCTAACAAACAGATTAAAAGAAAGGAATGAACTTTATAAATAAACTCATTTTTTTACAGCATAAAGTAAGATAGAATAGCCATAATAGAAAACATATATCAGGTCTTTAAAAATATATTTACATTTGTTCAATAATAATTCATTAAACAACCGCCCTAGATATTTTCTTGGTTTTGTGACTCCACTATGCAGTAGATTTTTGTTCTAGTTGTACTTGTTGCTGCTACTTGAAAGGCAACGAAATTAAGAAATTGAAAGTTACATAGTTGCAACAATTTAAAAAAAGAAAGGAAGAAAGAATATTCACTGGAAAATCAAAATAGAAACAGATTATGATGTAAATGTCTATGGAGATTCTCAGTCATCCAGGTCAAGGTTGTCCCAAAGGTCTTTTTTTCAGGAGGCAACTGGACTTTCTTATTTTTCTTTGAAGACTTTTTGCTTGTCATCCAAGAAGCTTCTTCAGTTCTGACTGGATGGTGGGGAATGGAAGGATTTATATTCCTTGCAGACATCTGGTCATTTGCATTCTTTTAGAGGGTCATTGAGACTACTTGGAGGTTTATATCCTCAGGATTGCCTGAGTAGTGCAAATGGGTGTGGCTGCAGAATGTTCTCTGTGTTGTTTGTGTTGTCTGCATCTCAAATAGAAGCACAAATGGTTCCTGTAGTCTTCAATTTTTCTGGAAATCTGTTCATACTCCATTGGGATGAATACTCTTTGAATGGTGTGGGAGTATGAACGGATTTGAGATGCAGAAAACACAGACTCATACCCAACAGCCTGCACTTGTCTTCAACAGTGAAGGGACACAGGGTTCCACACCCATTTGCACTATTCAGGTGACCCTGAGGACATAGATAAACCTCCAAGTCGCCACAACAAGCCTCTAAAAGAATTCAAATGACCAGCTATCTGCAAAGATTATAAATTCTTCCGTTCCCCACCATCCAGTCAGAGCTGAAGAAGCGTCTTGGATGAGAAGCAAAACCTCTTCAAAGAAAAAACAAGAAAGTCCGATTGCTTCCTGATAAAAGCATCTTTGGAATTGTATGAACTATTATTTATTTGTTTAAATCATATCTTTTGAAGAAGCCAGAAACATGTTAGGCTCATTGTTTTCTTTGAAGTCGGAACATTATTGAATTTTACAGAAGTATAAAATAGAAAGAACTAGGGAAAAATATTTTAAAGGGGAAGGGGGGGGGGGGTAAGGAAGAAGCAAAATTAGGGGTGAAGATCAAAAGAGCAAAAGGTATAGAAAAAAGTAATTTCCCATAAACTAATGAATAACCATTAAAATATATGGTGGCATCTATAAAACAAAAGAACTCTTAAATATGTCTGGTTTTATGATTTTCTGAAGCCTAAGAAGACTTCCTTCTGTTTGTCTTAATCATTTGTTCACTGATGCTTAAAAGAGTCGTATATAACTGACAGGGAAACCTTTATCTTTAATTTTTGTTTAAAAGTGCTTCTGTATCCAGTTTTGGCAAAGGAGCTTGCCTGTCTTTTCTGGCATTTTGCTGTCAGGCCGTAGCTTTGTGCTTATCCTAGAGGAATTTGATGCTTGTTTTAAATTAGAAATTAAGGTGCATCATGGCTTTTTTCCCCCCTCAGAATATCATGTTTGGCTGTATATGATCAGGAAAGGAGAAATTAGCTTGCTAAATTCATAATGAAATCTATGCATTTCCTTTCTAATTTTATAAATCTGGACTCTCAAAAAGGTTTATTAACTATGGTTTTCATTACACCACTATAACTAGGCTTTGGGATTTCCCTTCAACGAAAAATAGATGTGCTATGATGATGAAAGGAAGAGGCCTTCAAGCATTGCAATGTACTGAACAGCATTCCTACATATGTAAAATACAAATAGGTATGTAGAAACATAATGTAAACTATAAGGTTTAAAGATGGAGATTTTAAACATCCTCTTCCAGAATCCTCTAATTCCTCTGACCACCATCTTCTGCCCCTTGGAGTAGCAATTCTCACTATTACATCTTCTAAGAGGCACTTCACCTGGCTCTCTTCTCCTAATCCTGATGCATGAGAGAGGACTCCTATAACCTGAGTTACTTTCTATTAATTACAAAGTAAAAATGACAAAAGTTGTGCCATTTGCTGGCCATAGAGCTTTGGCATGGTCAATTAGGTGTCATTCTTTCACCTTTTAGTGACAGACCAGTTTTACAAGAGATAAACAAAATGGGAATCTAAATAGAAAAGAAAACAGTAAAGAAGATAAAGAGGAAAAAACCTAACTTAATTTCATGTAAGTGAAATGGAAATACCCAAGGTTAAGAGAAAAAAAATAACTTCCAGAGCTAAAAGACAAACAGAAAATGTGAAATGTAAAACAATATAATGCTTCGCCAGACTACAAGATAGTGTCTGCAATCACTTGATCTAAGATTCAGATTATGTTATTAGGATATGAATTAATGTAAAAACAATGTCATGTCTTCCTGATTAGCCTGGAAAATAGATGGCTAGGATTCCACACAACTTATGTTGTATAGAGAAAAATACTGGTGGTCCTCCACTTACAACAGTTCACTTAGTGGCCATTCAAAGTTACAATATCACTGAAAAAACTGATATATGACCGTTACAGCATCCCCAATGGTCATGTGATCAAAATTCAGATGCTTGGTAACCGACTCATATTTATGATGATCACAGTTTCCCTGGAGCCATGTGATCACAGTTTCTCTTTCGTGACCTTCTGACAAGCAAAGTCAATGGGGGAGCCAGATTCACTTAACAATCATGTTATTATTTTAACAACTGCAGTGATTCACTTAACAACTGTGGCAGGAAACGGGGCAAAATTCACTTAACAAATGTCTCACTTAACAATAGAAATTTTGGGCTCCGTTGTGGTCGTAAGTTGAGGAACTGTGTAAGCAATATAATTAAAATACTTTAAAAAATGACTGGGGCAGTCCCTTTCTTTATTCAATCTATTTCTTAGCATTATAAAGAAAAATTGGAGGAGGGGATGTTGTGTGCATCTGTTCTAGCTCCTGAAGGAAACATGGAATACAAATTTATCAAATACTCTTTACCTATTTAGATGGAAATAACAGTGCTTTGAAATCAACTATGCCATGTTCCTACCTTGTTTTCCTGGGGATATCAGTGGTTTATCACAGCTATTAGGGAGTTGGGTATTGCAACTGAGACATAATAACTTCTTCCTCCATTTATTCTGGAGTTCTGCTTACCCATTTAAGAATGATGTCTCCTGAAGAAAGAGTCTTTGGGACAGATCTGCATTTTGCTTACAAACAGAAGCACGTGTCTTTAAAAACATCAATAAGGGTATGTCAGAGCCTGCTGGCTCAAGAGGCTGCGACTACATTCATAGCAAGTAGTGGTGGGTTGCCTCCGGTTCGGACTGGTTCACAAGAACCGGTAGTAAAACTGGCGGGAGGCTCCGCCCACTAACCCGGACGTCGTCATGGGTGATTTGCGCATGCGCAGAAGAGTGCGTGCAGGCGCGATATGAACCAGCAGTAAAGGTAAGTAGAACCCAAGCCTGATAGCAAGGTACTATTGAGAAGTTTACTATTCATGTGTACCATTTAAGGAAAGACCATGAAATGTGAGCATTCTTATTTGACTATTAAAGTATTATGTTTCCTATTCCTTTTTTACAGTTGCAAGTCTGAAACTGTTTATACTTTTTAGAGATTTACTGATCTCTGAGTCCGTATTGTAGAATTATACTTTGGTCCAGTGAAGCATCATTGGGGAAATAATTGCTACTGTACTAGATCAAGTGTTTCCATTATTAATGTATATTACATTTTATGCCATAAGTTGTCTTGACCTTGTTGCTGTCTTTGCTGGTCTTTCTCTTGTTTTGTCCCTAAATTTGTTGAAGGAAGCATCCAAATTCTATAGAGCATATTTGAAGAGATTACAGATACACAGAGAGGGAAAGGAAGTTGTTCTTGTAGCAGACATCTTTCCCTGAAGATATCTGGGAACTTGGAACTGATTTTATTACTATCTGGATTTTAATAATTTCACTACATATTTAAAAGCTTCATTTAATTTAATAAGAAAGAAAACATATGTAGCAGTCCAGGGGTAGGTTCTACTTAACTTTACTACTGGTTCGCAACAGGGCCACGCACGCACGCTTGCTTTGCTTGCGTGCGTTCTTCTGCGCAAGCGCAGAAGCATTTTCATGACATCAGGGTCAGTGGGTGGAGCCTACCGCCAGTTTTACTACCGGTTCTTGTGAACCGGTCCAAACCGGGGGCAACCCACCACTGTAGCATTCTCAGATTGAAGTAATTATTGGGAAAGAAATGAAAAGTCAGTCAGCAAAGGTGTACGAGTCAAACTGGAAAAAAGGGGTGTATAAATGTAATAAAGCAACAAGAAGGCTTTATGATAGGATTGTCGTTAGACAGTTTTGCTTACTTGATGTAAAGAACACTTCAATTTTCTGAATCAGAATATTACCTAAGTAAATGGGATAATACTTAGAATCAGTATCAGTAATAATAATTGATTTAATACACATCTGAAGGATGATATGTTTTTCCTGTTTTCATCAGATCTGGTCCCTCAGTTTAACTAGCAACTAATTTTTTTAAAAAGTTTCATAGCCTTTCAAAGACTAATATATATCAATCTGTAACTGATGATAGACAATCAGTTGAAACTGCTTGAGAGAGAACCAGTTTGGTCTAGTGGTTAAGGCACCAAGCTAGAAAACAAGAAGCTGTGAGTTCTAGTCCTCTCATAGCCTTGAAAGCCAGCTGGGAGAACCTACTCACTCCTAGTCACACTGTTTCAGCCAAATTCACCTCACAGGGTTGTTATTGTTGTGAAGAAAATAGGAAGAAGAAGGTGTGTTGCCTATATTCTCTGTCTTGAGTTAAAAATAATAAAGGCAGGATATAAACAAACAAACAAACAAACACTATATACTGTATGCTTTCATGAATAATCTGAACTTGATCAATGACAAATGTGTTAAGTATTTGATACGCTATAGAATATTTTGGGTTATTTTGCTACACAAAATTATTATGGTTATTTATCTGGGAAATGTAAATGAGTAGACTTAGTTTCCTTTATGCTTAGTCTATAATTCATGTTACATTTACATTCCATAATCTTGTTAACAGCTTTTATTTTTTATTTCAAAAAAAAGGTGCTCTTACTAAATGTTTTACTGAGTACCCTGGGAAAATAATGCTGAGTCCTTATGGTCTGGCTGAATATCAAGAACTTGAAGATGCAAGATACCATTGTATAATAAATGTGAATTGTACTGGAATAAGTAGCTGGCCACGTGAACATTTTCCTGTCACAGGAACAGAAATGGTGGAGGCTTCAGATAATCACGTAGTTTACTTAAAAACAAGTAAGGATCCATTCTATTTTTTCAGATATTGGGGGTACAACATTGCATTTAATAGACTTATTTGTGAACTGGGGAATAAAAAAGCAGATTTCTGAAACTTAAAATATTGTCATACAATAAGCATCAAAATTAAATTTGAATATCTTACAAAATGTTAGGTAGGGTCACAAATAAAATGATTAAAAATGGGCCAGATTCAGTTTTTATATGTGATTATAGTATATGACTATGCTTAGGTATAGAAAATTCAAAATTATTAAATTGGAGGTGAAGCATCAAAGCTTGGTCTGTTACTTTTAGTAAATATTCCCTTCCTATAGATAAGCTCATCTATTAACTCTGTAAAACAGCAAGGGAACAAATAGACTTCAGAAGCATTAAACTCACTCACAAAGACTGAATTGCATATACAGAACATATATTAGGACACAGAGGTAAAATGTTCCCTGACTACAGTCACTGTAAGAATTTGCTGTGATTCATTTCACTTTGGTCTGAAAAATCCAAAATAAAAGACATCTGTTGTGACGTAGGCCCAAGTAGGTATTATCAGATGCAATCAGTTCTTTGTTTACTTTGGCAACCTTCTTGGCAAAAATTCAGAAGCAGAAGACGCTGACAAAAAATAAATGTAGCAAGACAAGAAACAAATCTATCAACGTTGTTTTCTGTCAAAGAGCCCAAGAGCTGTTGCTGGTCTTTTTTTAAAGCCTTATGGGAGGGGCCAATCATCTCTTGGCCTTACTCCCGAGTCGTCCTTTTTGCTTTAGCTGCTCTTGCCTTCTGGCAGCTCTTCTCATGCACGCCTCTCTGCCTCTCTGCCTCTCTGCTGTCCGCCTCTGGAGGCTCTGGAGTCCGCACATCACTCCCAGATGGCCCTGGCCCCATCTCTGCCTCTGACGCAGAGCCCTCATCTGGGCCTTCCCCAGCCTCCAGGACTGGTCCATGTTCTTCCTCAGCCTCCTCACTGTCTGATTCTGCTGCCAGCTCCGCAGGCTGCTGACAGACCACAACAACATGTGACCAATCATTGGCCATCGAACACGTAGATATTGGGTGAGATTGCTATCTTGCTAAATTACTAAATAAATGAAATAATTGGCCAAATATAGGCAACATTACTACAATATTTATTTGCACATTACCCAGAGTCTATGAAGGAAATGGGTGTTCCTAAATATGAATAATAAAGTTAAATTAAAAAAATATTTTTAAGAACTTGGAAGAATTTTCTGTTTGTCAATAGTTTTTTAACAGCCATATGTATGCACGGAGATGGGATGAGATTATATTCTGCATATCAATCTATTATTCTGATATTTGTATAAACATTTAGTATGCCTATGAATGCAGGTAGGGAAATGAGTAGCTTTTCTAGCCACCCCAGTAAAGGCATTCCCAAATAGTTGTGGAAATCAGTAGCAAAAATGCCTCCTGTCCTACTGGAGAAGATAATGAGTGAATTAAAATAAAGGAAACTTAATAAATGTAGCTTAAAGATTTAGGATTATCCAAAGAAAAATGCCAGTGGATGTGATAGGTGGAGGAGGCAATGGTTTTATATATCAGCCCTGTAATTATGATGATGAAATTCAGCAGCAATATTACAATTTTTGGCAACATCCTGTCCTTAAATTTAAAAAGGAATTAAAAATTATAGTTTTACCCATTGCAAGAATATTTTTTCTGTATTCCCTATAGCCAGAAGAGGAGAATATGTAAGGGATGCACATAATGTCTGAAAATTTTTTTTCATCCCTACAGAAGAGAATAAAAACTGCAGCTAGGATATGTAAGAGATTTGTCACCACCTTTATTTACATTGTTAAGACATTTGTAATGATTTTCTGTCTTTCCTAGATTTTTAATTTATGGTATTGATTCATACTTTCTATTTTGGTGTTGAATGTTGAGTGTCAGTTGACTAGGATTATTTATCACAAAGGAAACTCGAGTTTCATTACTTTTACTTTAAGATGTTGTTTGAAAAAAGAAAGTCCAGTTGCCTTTTGAAAAAGCATCTTTGCGGCAACCATGACCTGGATAACTGAGAATCTCCATAAACTAAGATTACTTATTTACAGTTCAATTTTGCATTGTCTCTAAAAAGTGATGAGAATCAAAACATCTAATTCCTGACCATATTTAGGTTGTTAAATGAGGAGCGCCTGTACATATTCATATGGACAAATATATTTTGAAATATCAACATATAATGGATTAAAAATTGTGGGTGTGGATGCTTCTAAATGGATTTGAAACAAGCATTTGATCTCGCATTCAGCACTTCCCTGCTATTCATTACAGCAGTATTACTTTGTAAAGTTTCTGCAAGAGCTTGAAAAAAATATTACTGCCTAATACTCAGTTTTGTATACGGTATAACTGAATTGTATTAGCGAATTGATTTTTAAAGACCATTACATGGTTTTGTCAGGCTTATGTGAAAACCTGAATTTTTTATTGTCTCAATTTTAGGTTGCAAAGTAGGACGTTATGGATATGCATGTGAAGAAGAATGTACAGAATGCAGAAATTCCTCACTTTGTAACATGATAACTGGCTTTTGTGATGAGAATACCACCTGCGTAGATAAGAATTCTCTAGAGAGTTGTTCCGGGTGTAAGGTTTTTTTTTTAACTAAGTCATTAGGATAATATAAGCTATTAATTAATTTTCTGAGTGAAATGGCTCAGGAATATTTCTGAGTGCTTCCCTGTTTATGGTACCTTCTTAACAACAGCAGTAATATTATTATGGTATATTCTGATACACATTTTGTTTTATAGTGGTTTAGCCACTATATATCTACTAAAGTCCACAAAGTAATGCTTACATCATCCAAGCAAAAAAGCATTGGATTTTTTAAATTGCAAGTGTGTTTTTGAATGAAGAGAAAAGTTCCTGGGTTTGCCTATAAACAAATATTAAATTCTCCTTCATTGTCTGTTTATCTGTTAACTATTGTCTAATACTATTTGGGGGGAGGGAATAATATATATAGAGTGAATGGTGTGAAATTTCAAGCTTTATAATAAAAAAATGAATGAATGATGTTAATGATATAACTAATTACTCGTTTTATATCAGGATTAAATTACCTATTATGTATTTATTTTTAAAGCCTCTATCAGTGAGAGATGCCCAGATATGACTAAATGGCGCTACTGGAATAGATACTGTTATTATTTTGTAAGTTCTTTTGATACATGGGAACAGGCAAATTCTTCCTGCAGTCGGTTTAGAGCTTCTGAACTTCTATGGATTGAAGACGAAGATGATTTGGTAGGATTATTACTAAATATTCTTTCTGATGAATTTTTAAAATTATTTTAATGTTATGCTCCAAATACACAATTGTTTTCAGAAGAATACCTTGAAGGATTTGGTTCATATTCTACTGAAGTTAAGAACTATAGCAAGAATTTAAATGAATTAACAGTTTTTAAATACTAGTCATGGGTAGTACTCATGTGGTATATCAGCAAACACATGCTTTCTTCCATATATTTAAAAAAATGTATTGGTTTTAATCTGGAACCTGAAAGACAAAAAAGTAACAAATTAAAATAATTAGAAGAAATAGACTCCAATGGAAATTAACCCAAAGCGGAACCAATAAAGAAAGGGGAGGAAAGAAAGTGCATGTTGAAACAACAAATCGCAGTATAGATATTGATCAGACTTTCTATAACTTTGATAAAAAGCTATATCATATGTAGGAAATGAACATTTGTTCCATCCAGACCTTTAGATCAAAGGTATACTAATATTTCTATCAGACTAATGCAAATTCAGTTATTCTTATTTAATTTATTAATAGTATTATTAATTTTCTTTATCATTTTATCCATTTCTCTTAATACTGTATTAGCAGCTTTATGAACCATAAACTAAAACAGCACTAATGCAGAACAAGACCAGATTATATGAGTCTGTGTTCTCTTCAAAATATTACATTTCCAACATATCAAAGTGGAAACCCCACCTTTTCCATATAGTTAAGAGACAAGGGAGGAAACTGACCAATAAACACAAAAAATAAAGATTTGTTGAAGTAATAGCATCTTGAGATGATACCACATTTATATAGTATTAGCCGATTTGTTTGTGAAAACAATGTTCCAACTTGTTCCATGTTGCCTTTAAATTCCCTAAAGCTATCTAATTACAGTTTTTTAGCTATAGATATTAAGTGTAGATTTGGAAACCTCCAAAGCATTTTCTAGTTTAACTGGAAGCCCACATTGTAAAGTTACAATATGTTTCATCACTTTAGGCAACTGAACTATTTTTGAAATATTAAAAAAGTTAAAAAGTTGATTAATTCCAATCTTTTCCCATAAACTCCAAAAGAAAAATATACCAGAAATTTGAGGGCTAGGACTATATGTATTTGAGGGTATGCTGTAGTGGCAAGTGAGCATTACTATGTAGGTGTTTTCTGCCTTGCTCCATGACAAAATCCCTCCCTGAGCTCCTAGACTTGACTGCATAGCTCGAGGTGGTGTTGCCACAGCAGAATCTCAACCTCCATGCCCTTGGTAGAGAGTTTGGGTAAAATTCATAAACTCAGGCCAATTTTTAAAATGTAGTTATAATTGTACTTGGCCTAACTTACATGAACACTAACACATTAGATCTAGCCTTGATCTTGAAGCAATACTCTGAACTTGTTAAATTAGTCTCCTCATTCCTCCAAGTGCTACTCCAAGCCTCTTTCATTGTTACATGGCAGTGTTCCTAGGTGGAACAAGTGAAAAACAATGAGGGTGCCTTTCAAAATATATGATCTCTGCAGGATCACTCAAGACACAGAATAGAATAACAGAAATACAGCATGGGAGTGGACCTTGGATACTTTCTAATCCAATCCCCTGCTCAAGCAGGAGATCCTACACCATTTCAACAAGTGGTTGTCCGATCTCTTCTTAATCATTCCAGTTGCCTCACTAAAGCAAGAAAGTTCATACGGTTTATCAGGTAGAAAGACGTAGAAACATTTTGCAGGCAAATGATCACTTTAGTAATAATGTCAATGACTTCATTTCATGTTGTGCAAGAAAAGGCATTGGTAAACCACTCCTGTATCTTTCCAAAAAAAGAAACCCTATGGATAGACAAAATAAAATGATAAATGATACAGTGCTCCTAGACTGTATGACACTCAACATGCTACTGAGTAAGAATGGAAGATCTTTCAATGCACTAATGGTATTTATGATGTGGCTAGTTGAAAACCTTTCACATATGTAGTTGCTGATGTTGTCATGTAGGAAAAGAAAATTCAGAGTATTATACCGGCACATGGCAAATAAGAAGCATGAAAATTGGAAATCAATTACACATCAACATCTTAGTATCAGCAAATTGAAATGGATTGGAATTTATATGAAAAAGCATCATTTTATTTACTAAGATCACATACAAAAGATGGAGTGGTGCTGCTGAAGGACATAGCAAGGACAGTACTATGAGCCTTGGTGGCGCAGTGGTTAGAGTGCAGTACTGCAGGCTACTTCTGCTGACTGTCGGCTACCTGCAATTTCAAATCCCACCAGGCTCAAGGTTGACTCAGCCTTCCATCCTTCCATCCTTCCGAGGTGGGTAAAATGACGACCCACATTGTTGGGGGCAATATGCTGACTCTAAACTGCTTAGAAAGGGCTGTAAAGCACCTTTCTAAGGTATAAAAGTCTAAGTGCTATTGCTATTGCTACTTGAGTATAGTAAAATCAGTGACTTTCTGGGCAACCTTTTACTATTATGTTAATTACCATTGATGCAGAAGAAGAGATTGATGAGTTTTATTATCAACTGTAGTCTGAAATCAACAGAACCTGCAAGACAAGCAGGAATAAACATGAACTTTATTAGATGAAGTACAGATAAATTAGACTGGTTATATTGTTAGTACAAGATAGTGAAACACTGTAGTTCAATTATAACAGCAGAAACATGGCCATAGACTGACTGAAATAGAACACAAACAGTTCATGGGCAAGTTCCAAGTCAAGTTAAAATGGAAGAAGAAAGCCAGCCATTTCCCATAGTATAATTTTGAGCTCCACCATTTTTGTGAAGAACTTCAGGAATTTTTGAAGTCTTCTAAATATCTTTAGATTTAGTGGTACCTGGCTCAATAGAAGTGTGAGAAGGATCTTGGAATCCTAGCAGACAATCACTTAAATATGAGCCAGCAGTGTGCTGCACCTGCCAAAAAATCTAACACATTTTAGACTGCATTAACAGAGAGATAGAATCAAGATCACGTGAAGCGTTTGTACCACTTTATAATGCCTTGGTAAGGTCACACTTGCAATATTGCATCCAGTTTTGGTCACCCCAATAAAAAAAGTCACCCTCTGCATTCTAGAAAGAATGCAGAGAAGATATTTAAGGTACAAGAGGCTAAAACAGTGCCCTACGAAGAACAGATGCAGGAATTGGGTGTGCCTAGTTTAATGAAAAAAAAGGCATAAGGGTGACAGGATAGCAGTGTCCCAATATCTAAGGGTATGCCACAAAGAAGAGTGGTCAACCTATCCTCCAAAGCACCCGGAGGCAAAACAAGAAGCAATGGATGGAAACTAATCAAGGAGAGAAGCAACTTGGAATTAAAGAAAAAGTTCCTAACAGTGAGAACAATTAACCAGTGGAACAGCTTGCCTTCAGAAGTTGTAAGTGTTTCATCACTGGAGGTTTTTAAGAAGAGTCTGGACAGCCATTTGTTTGAAATTGTACATGGTCTTTTGCTTGAGCAGGGGGTGGGACTAGAAGTTCTCCAAGGTCCCTTCCAGCTATATTCTGATTGATTGATTGAAAAAGTGGGGGTGGGGGGGTGTCAGGGCATTTATTAATCCCATGTTTGGCTCTGGGACTAATTACCCTGGTTTAGAGTAGAAGATGAATCGAGGCTTATTCCAAGTTGCACTATTCTGATAAAGAAACGCGAAGGAAGGTTTCTAATAAAACTCATTTATTTGTTATAAAGAAAATAAAACACCTCACTAACTAAGAAAAGTTAATTGTTACATTTTTGAAAGTAATTCGGGCCGGCTATCTCTTAGCCGGACCTTGCTGGAAAGAGAACAAAGGAAAGAGTGTGTGAAGGAATAGCAAGTGAAGGAATGTGGATGGATGCGGAAACACGTAGCTTACTGATAAGAAGTTGGCAAAGCTACGGAGAGTCTGACAGTCCAGAAATAATGAGCTCAGCTGGTAAATAAAATAACGCAGTGACAGGGGGAGAAAAGTACAGTAAACTAATGGACTCTTGGAAGAGCTTGTTCAAACTATGGTAAGATACTTTTCACCTATTCCACCTAGTAAAAATAATAAATATGAACAGTTTTTTCTTTTTGATACCAGCTGAGCAAAGCTGTCTACAGTTTCTAGGTCAGAGAATTTCTTAATGCTGGAATCTAGAGATAAATTTTAAAGCTGGATAAAGAAAATACGTTTTCATTTCTTTGGCTTTGCTGCTAAACGTTCCTCACTTAAGGTGTTTTACTGAACTATCTGAAGGGGTAGTATATGGTAAGTCTTGAGTCCTGGTGACTGCCAGGACAAATCCCTACAGTTCAGTTGGAAAACATTTGTCATTCATCCTGAAGAGGTTGAAAGAGAGCAACTGGTTCAAAGTTGCCCAGCGTTTTGTGCAACGGTAGAACCAAAGCTCACAGTTTTTCTGTCTTTAGTTAAATGTCTTTAACCACTACACTACCATGGCTGTCAAGAGGGATAGAATGAAGAAAATCATCTTTCTTATTTCAAAGATGATTATTTGATTGTATGGACAGGATATTGTCAAACCTTAGCGATCACATAGATACTCATCATGACGATCTGCCCCAAATCTGCTCTTTCAAAGGTACACTCATTGCCACCATAACTGAATCTATCCACCTTATAGTTAACCTTCCTCTTCTCTTCACCTTTCCCAACATTAGATCTTGTTTATATAGTTAGGTTTTTGCATATGTCCAAGTAGGATAATTTGAGACTGATCATTTGTGCCTCCAATGAGAATTCTGGGTTGATTGTTCAACAATACATGTGTTTGTTTTCATGTCTATCCATGGTATTCTCCGAAGTCTCAAATTTCAAAAATGTCAATTCTGTTCCTATCATGGTTGATCCTAAAAGGTAGAAGCTATCCACCACTTTAGTATCTTCATTATTGATTCCGACAATGGTTAGTTTGGTCTTTTTAATATTTAATTTTAATCTCATTTTTTCCACCCTGCTCCTCAACTTTTATTATTAGACCTTGAAGATCCTTTGCATTTTCAAGTATCAGGACAGTGTGTGTCTTCCTCCAATTTTAGAAGCACAATTATTTTCTTTCAATTCAGTTTCTCTTAATATATGCATTCAGCATATATGGTATTTTTCCGTCTATAAAATGCCCCCATGTATAAGCGCCCCCCCCCCACTTCTCTTACTCAAAATTCAGAAATGCCACCGCATTTAGGTGCCGGTAGATGCTGGCCTTCCCTCCGGTGGGCCTGGTGCCCAGATGCCCTTGCTTCCCCCAAGCATTTCTTTGTCTACCTGGTTTCCAGCTCTGTCATGTTTCTCTGTCATGTTTCTCGCCATCGTGTGCAGGGAAACAAGTTTGTGGGTCTAAAAAAAAAAGTTCAATCAATCAATTCCAAGTTCACGAGATCTTTTTTTTTCGTGAGAAGTTGGAATTGATTGATTGAACTTTTTTTTTAGTCCCACAAAATTGTTTCCCTGCAGATGACAGCAAGAAATGCAATGGAGAAATGTGACAGAGCTGAAAAACAGGTAGGCAAAGAAATGCTTGGGGGAAGCGCGTGGCATCTGGGTGGTGGTGGTGGGGCAAGCTTTGTGGTGCAATGCTGGGTTGCAATGGGGAAACAGGGTGGCTGGAGCAAGAGAAGTTGGGTTTACTCCCGTACACTTGGGGGCTGCTGCTTCCAGACCCGCTCGCCCCTTCCTTCCTTCCTTCCCTCCTTTGCTGCCAACCATCAGTCCATTTGGGTCCTTTGTGTGTGGGTGTCTGCCAGAAGGATTTGCCTTGTCGCCACCTTGCGAGCCCTGTTGGTCCCTGCCCAGCTTCTTCACCAGTGTGGCTGATGGGGAGCCAAGATCTGGCTGCCTGAGAAATCTTTTCCGAAATCAGACCAGTTTTTGGAGTGCAGGGACTGTGGCAGTGGTGAAATCCAAATTTTTTTACTACCGGTTCTGTGGGCGTGGCTTGGTGGGTGTGGTGTGGCTTGGTGAGCATGGCAGGGGAAGAATACTGCAAAATCCCCATTCCCTCCCCACTCCTGGGGGAAGGAAATTGCAAAATCTCCATTCCCTCCCCACTCTGGGGCCACCCAGAGGTGGTATTTGCAGATTTTCTGAACTACTCAAAATTTTCGCTACCAGTTCTCTGAACTGCTCAAAATTTCCACTACCGGTTCTCCAGAACCTGTCAGAACCTGCTGGATTTCATCCTTGGACTGCGGGTTACCAGTGGGCATAGAGAGAAGCAGCTCTCTGTGGGTGGTGCTCACTACGGGACCTGGAGGCTGCAGTGAGGGATGGGGATTGGAGAGCTGTACACATGTGGAGAGATTGCTGCAGGTCAACTCCCCCCATGGGTGAGGTCTGTGCTTTTAGGACTGTTGCTATGGGGCTGATTTGGCTGTCTCCGAAAACAGCAAGGGGCGAGTTCAATGACTTATTTGGAGTGATCAAGTTGCTTTCAAAACCGCCACCGTTTTTACAGAAAGGCCCTTCCCTCCTCCCCTGACATCTAAAGCAGACAGTTAGGTGGGAGTAGCTCCAATTTATGCAACTGTAATCTATGAAACTTGTTCTTGGCGATTTCCCTGCCCCATTTTGGTCGCTGTGTGATATGTTCCAAATGGCCATATAAAATCTGTAATACCAACAGAAGAAAATACCGGTAACTATAACCCTGTTACAGGGCATCTGGGTTGTGGTGGGTGGGGTAAGCTCCATGCCATGGTGCTGCACTACAATGGAGAAATGGGAAATGGAGCGGCTGGCATGAGGGAAGGAGGAGGCCACTTTCCCTCTGTCTTCTCCCTGCTCCTCCTTCCCTTATGCTGGCTGCTCCATTTCCTGTTCCTCCATTGCAGCGCAGCACCCAGGATCCACTTTGATAGCGGGGGGGGGGTTAATTTAACAACCAGTTTACCCAGGATCAGGTTGGCCATCGTGGGAGACTCATCTGGCATGTGCGGCGGAGCTGGAGGATGGGGATGGGCCACGCCTTCTCCTCTTGGCCCCCCTGTGTATAAGATGCGCCTCCATTTTCAAGTAAATATTTTAAAGAAAACATAGCATCTTATACATGGAAAAATACGATAGATTGAATAAATAAGGGAAGAATCTACAATCTTGCCAATCTGGAACTAGTGTGTTTCACCATATATGGCTTCCTGATCTGTACCTAGGTTTCTCACAAGGACAATGGGTTGGTCTGGTATTCTAATTCCTTTGAGGCAGGGGTGAAATGCTCCCGGTTCGAACCGGATCGCCAGAGAACCGGTAGCAAAAATCTCTGCGCCCCCCACCATGCTCAGCTGAGCCGCACGATCATCAGAGGCTTTTTTTTCTTTTAAAAGCATTTTTTCTACAACCTCTTCCGATGAAAAAATGCTTTTAAAAGTAAAAAAAAAAAGCCTCTGATGATCGCGTGGCTCAGCTGGGATCCTCAGAGGCTTTTCAAAGCATTTTTTTCTGCAACCTCTTGGCCAAAGAGGTGGTAAAAAAATTGCTTTGAAAAGTCTCTGACGATCCCAGCTGAGTTGCCTGATCGGCAGAGAGGCTTTTCAAAGCATTTTTTAAAAAGCCTCTCTGACGATCCCAGCTGACTTGCCTGATCGTCAGAGAGATTTTTCAAAGCATTTTTAAAAATGCCTCTCTGACGATCCCAGCTGAGTTGCCTGATCGCCAGAGGCTTTTCAAAGCATTAGAAAAAATGCTTTGAAAAGTTAAAAAAAAAGATGGCCACGCCCACCCAGTCATATTACTCCCCCCACCAAGCCATGCCTACAGAACCTGTAGTAACACATTTTACATTTCACCCCTGCTTTGAGGACATTCCACAGTTATTATGATTGACACAATCAAGCATATCTAATGAAATATTATCATATGCTATGGTTCTGGGAAACTGGTCCACAACCAGGGTGGGATAGTGTGGTGATTTACTGTAACTTTCATGTTTACATGTATTTTATAAATCAACATTTTTTGTTTATTACAGTACATAGAATCTTTGTAGGAATAAATGAAACAGCATACACTATAAACAGGAACAGGATATTTAAGCACCTATATTTAAGTAATAAGGTTTTTTTTATAGTGATCACTTTGAACAAAAACAATAGAGGAAGAAAAGCAGTGAATTGAAATTAGTGGAATATGGCATGGAAAAAAATGGAGTTTAAGATATTTTTAATGCAAGCCTTGGAGAACATGTATTATGATTTAAAAGGCATATAGCAAGGATGGAAATACAAGTGTCAATCCTCTCTTCTAAATTGTTATATACTGTACATATGGCAATTTTATAAATTTCAACAATTCTAATGAAAATTCTAATTATTTGTTTAAAATAATCCATATTAGCTTTTGTATCAGAGTATTTATTTTGTTTTATGAAAACAGAAAATGTTTCAGCAGAGAAAAAAAGCAAAAAATGATAATCTTCCCAATATTTGCAAAATATCTGTAACTTTAAACATATTTAAAGCTATATCGCTGTTTAATGTTTCATCTTAATTTTAATTGAAGAAATGGTTGAAAATGTTTATCATACAGCCAATATGGGTAGGATTGCAAGAATTAAATCATGATGGAATCTGGGCTTGGTCTCATGAAGATAGTGCACAACATTCATTGAAATGGTACGTATAATGATATTTTACTGTTTCTTAGATATCTGATTATACTCTATAATTGGCATTTCAAACACTGTCTTCAGTCTGGCCACATACTGATGTAAAGTCAAAAGTCAAGCTTGATTCTGAGTTGCTACATGGATACATCCAGATTGTTTTCTTGGCAACAATATGGAAATGATTTGCCATTGATTTCTTATAGGATAGATTTTCCCCCCCACCTGTATAGCATCCAAGTAATAACCAAGTCCTATCCTGCTTAACTTTACAAGATTAACCAAGGTCAACTAGATACTGTTATCACCAATTGTGATATAGTTTTACATTATATGCTCATAAATAGCCAGAAAAAAGCTCAGCATAGATAAAGTACCTAAAAATAAGGTGATTCAGATATTTAATATGATCTTAGATTTACAAAATACTTAAAGCAAACCAGCGAAATATTAGGAGAGAAGTAGAGGTAAATTTTGGGAAATTGCAGATATTTTCATATATGGAAAGATTTTTTTTCTACACAGGTGATGAAGACTATTAAGATAAAAATCCATTTTCACCTATAATAGCTGAATCTTTACTATGCATCAAAAACATCTCATAAACCACCAACAGATGTTACCACCATATGGCATCACTGTAGCACACAAACCAGCTAAAGCTCTCCAAAACATCATAAGTAAATCAAAAGACCCAGCTGCCCCAGAAGAAAAAAACAGACGTCATCTACAATATATAGTGTAAGGAATATAACAGTCACTACTGGAGAAACAGGCAGATGACTAGCAGAGTACATCCCTGAACACCAATTAGCAGCCAGAAGATATGATGAAAACTCCTTAATTTCACAACACATGAGTAGACTTAACCATAGTTTCAACAGGGAAACTGAGAATCCTAGGCCAAATCAAGTTCAAAAAGTGCTAGATAATTCATGGAAGCCTAGCACTCAGACAAATTAGCCATCAACAGGCATATAAAGATAAACAACATCTACATAGAGTTTAAAAGAGACAGTCAGAAAGCCCAAAAGGAAACAGACACTTCATGACCAGAAATCAACACCCAAATGAACAGAGGTTAACACCAAGATTAATACTAGATCAACGATCAAGAAGTAAACAGAACCTCAATCAAGGAACTACCGACTCAGACAAATATGCTGACAGCATATTTCAAGGAGTCACTAACATTGACAAGGACAAAACATTAGTACATGAAAAGAGCATACCCCACTCCCTCCTAACATTGATAATGTTACCTATTTTGGTTAAGAAATGTTTGCAAAAAAGCAACCAAGCTTAGAGATCACCAAGTTGAATCTCTTTTTACATTTGAATATTGCTTTCGATAATGGCTTAGGCCTAAAAAGAAGTTTACACGAGTAAACCAAATATGTTTTTCCTATCTGTTTCGTTTGGATTAGCTGGTTAATGCTGATATTCCCAATATTCTTGCTAGGTTCCTGTCATGTATATTAAATCCTGTTCTGGATTTTTGTTAGATTTTTGGGTTTGTGATTGTGCTTCATTTTTCACTGTGATTTTTATGGCCATACTTAGTGGGTCAAATGTGTAATTTGGCATTTGGGGCTTAGATACAACTTCTGTTTTATACATAATGGATTGACAGTATTGAAAAAGTCCTGTAGTATTCTGAACAAAGTATGTTAGTTCAGACTCAAGAATCAATAAAACAGAATTCTATTTATTTAGAATAAGTGATTTAAGTATAAATCTGTTCATCCTCACTTCCTTGATGTAATCTTTTACTATTTCTTGATAGGATGAATCTTCACCTAAGCCTTAGGTGGAAAGGATGTGTAGAACTTTCACATGGAGGTGATTTCAGTGCAGATCACTGTTATGAAAAGAAAAAGTCAGCATGCAAAAGACCAGCTGAACGAGGTTTGCCGTTTGTCTTGTTACAGCAGTTTTATGTAGAAAAAATACAGATGAACATATATCTATTTTTATAAAAAAGAAAGAAAGAAAATAAATAAATAAATGGGTTTCATGTTAAGAGATACAACCTTTCCATTTTTTCCCACTCTTTCATCTCTTCTTTTCCCCAGACTTGCTGGGAGTCAGGAAGCATGTAAAAACAACAACAACAATTTTCTCACTCTTTGAATGTATTTTTTACTGATCACATTTTAATTTATCCATGCTTGATGTTATCTGGGTACTTTATGAAATCAAGCATGGACAAGTTAAAAATATGCATTCAAAAAATGAGAAGATTGTTAAAGACAAAATTGAAAAACACAAACAGAATGCTGGCAAATAAAAGCATTGCATGGTCAATGTTTACAAAAGAATGAGGGAAAAGGGCATAAAGATAAACCTGGCAATGACTTATGACTGGAGCATTGAAAAAAAGAAACGGAAGGTTTGATTTTGATTTCTCAGGGGTAAGGAATTTGTACGAATGCAAATAAGGATAGAGTTGAAAAATTGTCAAATGATTCGAAGTGCAGATTTGCAAAGAGGCCGAAGAAACAATAGCTCATTTACCTGGTTCATGTTAGGACAGGGGTGTCAAACTTGATTTCATTGAGGGCTGCATCAGGGTTGTGTTTGACCTTGGGGGGCCGGGGTAGGCATGGCCAAGCTGGCTGTGGCCAGCTTGACGTCACTTAGGTTGGGGTGCCTGTGGAGGCCTGAACGCTCTGCCAGCGAAAACAGACTCCCAAGCTCCGTTTTCAGCTGCAACCGGGGGTGGGTTGCTCCTGTTCGTCCCGGTTTGGGTGAACTAGTAGTGGTGGTGGCAGGAGGCTCCACCCACCCGCCCAGATGTCACCAAAAATGCTCTGCGCATGCGCAGAAGCTTCTGCACATACACAGAAGCGCCACACGCTCACATAGCGAGTGAGCGCGCCCATGAGCTACTGATAGTGAACCATTAGCGCCAGGATTTGACTACCACCACTGGCTGCAACGGCTTCCTGCAACCCTCTGCCAGTGAAAATGGAGCTTGGCAGGGCCCCCTGTAGCCCCCCGAGCTCTGTTTTCCCTAGTAGAGGCACCACAGGCTGGTCCTTTGCTGTTTCCAGGGCAGCCCTGAGGGCCAGACCTAAGCACCCCATGGGTCAAATCCAGCCCACGGGCCTTGAGATTGACACCCCTGTGTTAGAAGATTGCATAAACTGAGTATAAAAAGGAACATTTGTCTGCTCACTAACCATGAGAAATGATTTTATTGGCTTAAACATTTATTTATTTATTTTATTTTATACTAAATTTATATAAAGGGCACCAGGAGGCTCCAACTGGTCCAGAATGCAGCCGTGCGGGGAGTTACAGGAGCTGCTTGGCGCTCCCATACAACACCTCTCCTGCATGAGCTGCACTGGCTCCCAGAGGTCTTCCGGGTGCGCTTCAAGGTGTTGGTTATCACCTTTAAAGTGCTCCATGGCATAGGACCTAGATATCTTCGAGACTGCCTGCTGCTACCGACGGCCTCCCATCGACCTGTGTGCTCCCACAGAGAGGGTGTCAGGTTTCGATGCTATCTCAAAAGAAATGAATTTCCAAACTGCCGATCTTTAAGGAAATTTTCTCTTTATTCAAGCACAGCAATCTGATCCTGACTCGTTCGTGGTCAGTACTGACCTTTGCCCCCCAATCCCTCCCTTTCCAATCCCCAATTCTCTGCTTCTCATTGGCTATCTTCCAAGTCACTTTCCTGATTCCTTCTTCGTCAGATCGCAGGAATGTCTCCCCCCTCCCCAACTCTGAGGAGACAGAATCTTCAAAGAGATTTAGTAGGCAAAAGTTCAGGCTTCTCCTCTTTTTATTATATGTCAGTGCTGGGACGCTGACAGAGGGCCTCCTCGGGGTGCCATCAGCCAAACAATGTAGGCTGGTGACCTCCAGGGGGAGGGCCTTCTCTATGGGGGCACCTACCCTCTGGAACCAGCTGCCCCCAGAGATAAGGAGAATCCAAACCTCGGTGCCTTCCGCCGTGCCCTTAAAACTTTCTTTTTTCAGCAAGCTGGGCTAGCCTAACATTTTTTAAAAATGTTTTTAATTGTTTTGTCATTGCTTTTAATTATGGGGCCGAATATATATATATCTTTTTAATTGTATTTTAATGTTTGTAGTTTATGTTTTTACTTTGGCTGTACACTGCCCTGAGTCCTCAGGGAGAAGGGCGGTATATTTATTTATTTATTTATTTTTATTTAATTTGTATACCGCCCTTCTCCAACAGGACTCAGGGCGGTGAACAGCCATGATAAAACATAACATATAAAATTTAAAAGCAATTTAAAGAACATTAAATAATTTTGGCTATCCATTTAAAACAACCTGGGTTAAAACCAATTACAAATTAAAATCGAAGGGATGGGATCAAGCCAGCCCGGCTAGGTGAAAAAGATGTGTTTTCAGGGCCCGACAAAAAGTCCGGAGGTCTGGTATCGTGCGTATCTCTGGGGGTAGGTCGTTCCAGAGGGCAGGTGCCGCCACAGAGAAGGCTCTCCCCCTGGGGGTCACCAGCCGACATTGTCTGGCCGACGGCACCCTGAGGAATCCCTCTCTGTGGGAGCATACTGGCCGGTGGGAGGCTATTGGCGGCAGAAGGTGGTCTCGTAAATACCCCGGCCCTAAGCCATGGATTGCTTTAAAGGTGGTCACCAACACCTTGAAGCGCACCCTGAAGACCACAGGAAGCCAGTGCAGCTCGCGCAGGAGAGGTGTCACATGGGAGCGCCCTGTCGCTCCCATAATCCCCCGCACGGCCGCATTCTGGACCAACTGGAGCCTCCGGGTGCACCCCAAGGGGAGCCCCATGTAGAGAGCATTGCAGTAGTCCAGGCGAGAGGTGACGAGGGCGTGAGTGACTGTGCACAGGGAATCCCGATCAAGAAAGGGCCGCAACTGGCAGATCAGGCGAACCTGACAAACCTGGGCATTATAAATTGATGTGATAAATTAAATTCCAGATTTGGTCCAATTTTGCATTACCCTCTATCAACGTCTCCTTCACCCTGAAGGATATGGTTGTATTATATATTTTTTATATAATGATAGATTTGACAAATAGTCTTACAACATCTGTTTCTTTCCAAGCAGACCTTGATATATTTTCCGGCTTTTGGGATTCTGTGGTAATCTCAACAACATTAAGTTTATCAGCCAATTCTTCTTACAATGATTCAAAGGATGAATGTATTAAAGACCCTGGTTGTCCTGGCTATGGCTTATGGCAAAATGGATATTTCCAATTAAATGGCTATACCTTGGTTGGTGGAGGGTTTGGCCCAAGTGTACTGTTTTTAAAATCAGGTAACTATTTTAAATATATTCCTTCAAATATTCAAAATTATTGAATGAATGTTAAAATTAATCAAAGAATCTTCACTATTAAATTGCAAGTCATTAGGGTATTTTAAAAAAATATTTAGTATTTCAAACGAGCTTTGCATTCTTAGTTTTATGTATATAAGGATTATAAACTGGAAAGGTGTTTTAAATGATACATGTTCTTCATATATGCTGTTTCTTTGCGATCTCACCTTCTGATTAATTGTTCTTTAAAAAAATTAAGTTGTATAAAATTAAATATGGGAAGTGACTGCAGAAACTGTATTATTGTGTATAATGAAAATGTTTCTATTAGCTAAAAGCTATAAAAAGATGGAGGGGGTTTGAGAAAAGTAAACATAAGTATTTTCTTGTTGGAAACTTCACACTTATAATTAAGTTGTTTTACATCAGGGGTCCCCAACCTTTCGGGCCTCAGGGACCACTAAATTCATAATTTTAAATCCCACGGACCACTAATATGATCTGCTTAATGACCGGCTGGGTGGGCGTGGCTAGGTGGTCATGTAACTGGGTGGGCATGACCAACTCGATGTCACTCACATCAAGGGGTGCCTCGCTGGCCTCTATTCACCCCTCTCCTGCCAGCCACTCCTCGCCTCGGCCTCCTTAGGGCCCCAACAGGAAGCAGTTGTTGGAGCTAAGCAGCCACCATGAGAAAGAGTTGGCAAAACAGCTGACTCAGTTCAAATTGGATCTGACTGAGAAGGAGGCTCAGCAGAAGCACCTCACTCAGGACTAGGAGCATAGGCTTTCCAAGCAGAGGGAAGACTTGGAGGAGTGCAAGGCCAGGTACCGGCGCCTGGAGGCTCAGCAGGCTGAGATGGTCAGCCAGTTCCAGGCCATAATACAGTCCCACTGGAACAAGACCGTCCGGCTCTGTGCCACCAACAGCACTTCCCTCCAGCCTTTGCCCAAAGCCCCACACCAGGAGGCTGAAGCAGACCCCAAGTTGGAATTTCTGCCACCCCTCCAACCCACACCCCTCCAACCAGCCCAAAAAAACCCTGAAGGGGAAGACTCTCTGCAGCAACACAAACGTTCATTGCACATATCTGGCCTAGGGGCCATAATTTGAGGACCCTTGATTTAGTGCAATATAAAAAAATGCAAATAATTTTTCTGCGGACCACCAAAATTTTCTCACGGACCACCAGTGGTCCACAGACTACCAATTTGTGACTGCTGTTTTACATAATTAAAAAACAACACAATTATATTGCACTTTACATTGAGAATTGCCATTTCTCTTCTGGAAACTCAGTAACTGGATTTAGGTAAATTCCTCCAGGCTACAAAAACAATTCATATGTACGTACATAATTATGATCATCATTTTTATACAATTGTTATAAGATTGAAATAATATACATAAGGTATTCTAAGGTACTATATAATCATATATTATTATTGTTATTATTCTTTTGAAGTATGTGATCATGGATATTATGGAGAAGACTGTAATTTTAATTGCCCAAGTTGCCATTGGGGGAAGTTATGCCACCCTGTAAGTGGAACATGTGAGAAACCCATTATTTGTGCTGCACCAGAAAGTGTAGGCACATGTTCTTTGGGTGAGTGGAGTTCTTTTAAAAAAAATACATATCTACTTCCTTTCTAATTTTAATTGCAACCTCTAATTACCATATTTTTTGAAGTATAAGACACTCCGGACTATAAGACGCACCTACCTTTTTTGGTGAGGAAAACAAGAAAAAGAAATCTGCCTCTGCCTCTGCCTCCCAGCAATTTTGCCTCATTGCAGCAAACAGCAAAAAGCCTGCTTTACTTTCATTTTCGTTTTCAGCATAGCTTGATTAGCACAAGAAAAAAAAATCTGCTCCCAGCAATTTACCTCCTTGCAGCAATCAGCAGAGGTCCGCGCAAAACAGCTGAGAGTCAGGAGCAGATCCAAGGGACAATCAACTTGTGCTAATTAGGTTGTGCTGAAGCTGAAATGGGCTGTTTCTTCTTGCTGCTTGCTGCAAGGAGGTAAATTGCTGGGAGGCAGAGGCCAAAGGGTGGGAGCCAGTGGGTGGGCAGGGCTACATTCAGTGTATAAGACACACCTAAATTTTCACTCCCTTTTAGGGGAGAGAAAAGGTGCATTTTATACTCCGAAAAATACGGTACTCAATTTAAGCTGTTCAATGTAGGTTTGAAGTTACAGGAGCACTGACAGCTACTGGTCACACAAGGCTTTCTTTCCCAGGTGGTGCACTACAGTTTCCTCACAAGACCTGCAGAAGATGGCCCCATGTGGCCAGCAGGTGCCAGGGCAGGCATGCCTTGTCAACAAGTGACAAGGGAGGTGTAGCAAGGCTTGGCAGGGCTTGCATTAATAGTGCAGAAAGCAGAGAGGCTCAGGGACAGTGTGCAGGGATGTGCAATGGGGGCCATATTGAGACTTGGGGGGGTGCAAAAGATTGTGAGGGAAGCATGGTGAGGCACAGAATGGGTCACAAATGGCAGGAGAGGTGGCAAAGCTCAGGATGTGATGGGATGTGCAAGAGTACAAAAGAGGTGCAGCAAGACTCAGGGGATGATATAGATGCGTGACATTGCAAGAGAGGCATGGTGAGATGGGGGTACAGGTGACAGGCAAGGTATGGCAAGGCTCAGGGAGGGTGTGCAGGGGTTTGTGAGGGTCTGAGGAAGGCTCTGGATGCAGGAGTGGTGGTCGAGGCACAGTGAGGCTCACAGAAGATGTGCACAATGGTTTGGAAGTGACACAGCAAGACTCAGGATGTGTGGGGATGAACTAATGGCTGGCACAGCGTGAGGGTGGGGCTGGGGAGGATGCGCAGGTGGAGAAAACACCCCAGTGATTTGTGGCTATGTTGACTTTCCCATTGACTTTTCAGGAAATGTAAAAGGGAAGATTGTAAATGACAATTAAGTGATGGCAGGATGCTACAACTGGTTGTATGTGTGAGCTGGTTGCCAGGTGCCCAGATTGTAATTACATGAGCACAGGTAGTGCTGGGACACTGGAATTCCAATGAGTTCTTAACCACCATTCATACAGTGCCATTATAACTTCAAATAGTCACTGAATAAATTATCATAAATCAAGGACTACGTCTACATTACTTGCCTGCTGATAGAGGAGGGATGGCAATGTGGTTATTCCCTGTTCTCAATCCCAAAATTCCTGTGTCTGCCTATGATTGGACAGACTATGGTGGGTGAAAAGGAACAGTGGGAAAGAACACAAATGGAAAATAAATTCATGTCTATTTAATTGATAACATTTTCTTTCCTTTTGATGATATCAGGTTTATACAGCTTAAAATGTTCCCTGGGCGCTGGCTGGTGGTATTGGCGAGGAACATGTTATTGGATAGAAAAAGATAAAAAAGTGACGTGGGAAGAAGCTTTGCTGTTGTGTAGTCATTTTAAAAACACTAGTCTACTTCAACTGGATAGTCGTAGGGAAAAGGTTGGAATATTTATTTTAAATACTTCACAGAAATTTTACTTTATGGAATAAGTTAATTTGTGGAACTTGTTGCTACTTTTGTTTTTTAGAAATATTAAGTGGCAGATGATCTTTACATATAATATATGCTTATAATAAGATAATTGTTTATTAAATAAAAATACGAATATTTACAAGAGTACAATATAGACTGATCTTCCTCCCTAATTTTTGTTTTTGGGTGGAATAATTTTTGAATCAAATAGGGGGAAATGAGTGAATGGCTTTTCATTCTAATTCATCCTCTGCAGAAGCATCTTGTATTTTATTTATCTTTAATTGAAAGAAAGAATTGAAGAAAAACTAATCCTTCTGGAAGAGGCAGCTCCATTCATAGAGTATATTAAGATTATTTCCCCAAGGTTTTACAATGTTGTGTTAATTAGCTATTTTATGTCTTTTCTTGCCTTTCAGGTGTGGCTTCAAGAGATGATAAATCAACCAATGTGGGTAGGACTGAAATGGCATGAAGAAATAATGGAGTGGCTATGGGGAGATGGGACATCAACAAATACTAGTAGAAAATGGTAGGGTTTCCAAAAATATGGTTGTTTTATTTTTTATGATTTCTTAAAGTCCTGCAGTTTATAGCATTTTGATTATTGAAAATAAATTGTCACGATGAGGTGTGAAAAATATAGCGACCTGAAGGAAATAGTGATTATATGAAACAATCTATATCAGGTAATAATATTGGGAGAAACCTTCAATGATTGGATGAGAAATGGATAGAATACCTTGGAAGATGTAATGCATGTCTTGAGCAACAACACCTACACATCTACATTTAGATGTTTATAGATGTAATGATCTATAAAGCCTTACATGGCATGAAGCCAGGTAATTTGAAGGACCACCTCTCCTTAGTTACATCTACTAGTCCCATCAAGCCCGGAGAAAGAGGCAAGTTATGGATTTTGTCTATTAAGGAGTTCTTCATAATGGAACCCAGAAGGAGAGCCTTTTCTCCTGCAAAACCTGCCCTTTGGCACCACATCCCACTGGAGGTTAGATCGGCCCCAACTCTGCTAGCCTTTCAAAAGGCTATGAAGCAGGGGTGAAATCTACTTACCTTCCTTACCGGTTCAGAAGTGCATGCCAGAAGGTAATAAACACATTACTTCCTGGTTAAAACCAAGAAGTAACGACACCCAGGCGGGTGGGTGGAGCTTTGCTCCACCATCCCTACCAGATCGCCGAACCAGCTGCCATGATCGCTACCAGATCACCCGATCCAGTGAAAACTGGGAGCATTTAACCCCTGCTATGAAGCCGTGGCTTTCATATCATGCCTGGGGATATATCTAGCTGTGGTTTGGAACTGCTAGATGGTTATATTGATTGACTCTTGCATTTGCCTGCTTATTATTATTTGTTTTAATATGGTTTAAATTTGTTTTATGGAGTTATTGTTTTATTAATATCTGATTTTGTTTATTTTGTGATTGTTTTAATGATAAGAGCCAAACAAAGTTACAAATGTAAGATGGGCAGCTATCATATTAAGAAACAAAGAAAATAAATAAAAATATTGCCTTATTGTTAAGCGGGGCTGGATACAGACTGCATATTGTTGGTTAATGCAGTCCAAAGGTTACAATTTTCCAATACTGACTACATTTAGGAGAGAGGGGGGGTGATAGTTTCATCCAGAAGTTACATTTTCTTTTCAGCCTCCCAGGCTAAAACAATAGTACTATGGGTCATTTTTCTTAGTTTTGTGACAGGTTTTTTTCCCCCAAGAAAACATTTTTTAAAACCCCTTTAACTCTTACGGAGTTTTGTTATCTCTATTTGTAGTACTTAAAAAGAATTAAAATTATCCTAAAATTTTTCTGCCAGATCTTCATGTATTTTCCTCATTATTTGACACCCCTGATGGGGCAGAGATGGCAAAGAGCCCTGTGAAGGTGCATGTAGTATGCCTGTACTAATTTAAAATATAGGATATTTGGAAAAGTAAATAAGACCAGTGGGAATTACACTTTTTCATAAATGCCTGTATTGAGATCATTATAATTTTGATACTTTGTATAATTGTTTTGCACTGAAATGAGGTCTATAGGTTTTAGATCTGGTGTTCTCTGGCCAAATGGTAGAAGGAAAAAAAGTGCATATACCAATAAAAGACATCAGGGAAAAAAAGACATTTAGAGTCTTAATAGTAGGACCAAATACTTAATAGTGGGACCATATAGTGGGATTCAAACCAGGGGTGGGTTCCACTTACCTTTAATACCGGTTCGCAGCGGGATTGTGCACGCGCTCGCTTTGCTCGCGTGCACTTTTCTGCACATGCACAGAAGCTTCTGCTCATGCGCAGATCACCAATGATAACGTCGTGCCTCTGCGCACGATCACTCTGTGGGTGGGCGGAGCCTCCTGCTAGTTTTACTACAGGTTCTATAGAACAGGACAGAACCTGGAGCAACCCACCACTGATTCAAACTCTAGCAGAAGTATTTTTTTCAGGAAATTAGATTTCTGCATCTTGCTGCTTTTTTGCACCTTGCTGTTTGATAAATAATTTTTTAGAGGACAGCCTTTACAAGTTGTCAAGCTAGAGTAAAATAAAAGAAAATTAGTGGGGCCTGCCTGTATAGAATTCTTTCAAAGGCACCAGATAGAAGTATGAGATTTTTGTCTCTTATCCTATTTTTGGAGGAGTGTTTCTTAATTAGTAGATTAGTAAACTGGATTATAATGGGTTATATTTTCTAATTTAATTTATAATTTATTTCTATTCAGGTTACAGATACAAGGAAACAAGCTTGGTAGCTGTGGCACACTTATCCAAAGATCATTAGCACTGCGATCTGCAAAATGCAATGTCAAGCTCAACTTCATATGTAAAAGAAATGAAGGCAAGTATCAGCTTTTTATTCTTATCTATTCCTACCTCTCAATAGGGGTAGGAAATAAACATGTGAGAAATATCCTCATGTAATATTACTGAAGAAAAGAACCTTTCCTTTATTCTATGTGCTGATGACAAAATGATTAGGATTCTTTTCTAAATTTTTTAAAATTATAAATGCTAATTCATCTATTTATAATTTATTTAATCTTTCAGTTGCTTGCTCAGAAAGGGAAAAAATGCCATTCCAGTTTTCTCAGAAACTGTTGCTATATGGTTTCATACCTCAACTGTAGGTTGTATTTATTTTGGTTGAGCACAGTTATATCTATAGTCATTGTTGGCTTTCATTACAGTATTTTCTTCAGACCTTTTGAGAGCTTCCTTTATTGTACAGAGACATTCTGATTTTTCATTTTAGAGAGATCTTTTGTAAATTATTTATCTGTGTCTGCATAATTGTTAGTATAAAATGCCTTCGTATATAACTTTATAAATTGAAAATATTGATTTCAGTCTTTGTTAAATGATTTCCAGATTGAAAAACTATTCAAGCATATATGCTCTTAATATAAATTTTAACATAACAAAATTACTTATTTAAGGATACTTACCAGTGAGTATTAGGAGGTTGGGAGATTATTTTAAATAAATAAAAAACTAAGAACCCTAAATGTTGCCAATGTAGCCAAGAAAACAGTCCAGTTTTATACTGATTTTTGATGTAAATCAACTGTCACTTTTATGATCTTAAATCTGTGGCTTTGAAAATTGATAACACTGATGGGGTTCTAATCTAGGGGTCTTCCTGAATTTAGAACTCTGTTCAATGAGCTAGTGGCAGCTGTGACCAAGAAGACCTTTGCACAACTTCATCTGGTGCACCAGTTGCACCCTTTTCTACTGTAGATGAGGAAGTTCTTAAGATAGTTTTTAAAGCTTTACTATTGCAATATCTCTACTTGAAGCTGCTCTTAAAGACACTCTGAAAACTTTTAACGGTTCACAATGAAGGCCTCAGCATTCCTATGTTAACACCTCTGCTTTGTGAGCTGCACTGTTTTCCAGTTGCTTCCTGGTGTGATTTCAAGGTGCTGATTGTTCCCAAAAAGCACCACATGGCATAGAACCTGGTTACTTGAGGGATGGCTGAGGACCCTGACTGGTTTGATCTGGCAGGATTGGCAGAGTATGGGCTCCTGTGATTAAATAATGTCATCTATTGGGAACACCCTTCCTTTGTAGGAACACCTGCTTTTTGGAATAAGGTTCCAGCTGAAATCCAGATAGTTCCCACCCACCTGGTGTTTTGAAAGGCCTGCTCTTTGCCCAGGCCTTTGGTAAGGGCGGTTTGTATGGATTTGCTTCTTTATTATTCTTATCTGCTTTTTGTGATCTTGCCTTCTTTTATTCTTTTATTTTTGTTTCTTATTTCATTTTTCCTGTTGTTTTTAATGTTTTTACTTGTGAACTGCCCAGAATTTCAGGACATCAAAATTTAATTAATAATGTTAATAACAATGGTTTATAATTCTTTTTTGTGCAGATGTGAATATATTTGAGAAATATGAAGGCCACATAATACCACAAAGGGAAATGGTACTGCCTAAGAGTTTCCTTAATTTGCAATCCGCTGAGGAAGAATGCATTTTTGAAAGAACTATTTGTACTGGTGTAGTCTTCTCAAAGAAGCACTACCATGTGGTCAGTGGAACAGAGATATTCAAAAGTCTTAAGGCAAAGGATATATTATACTTGAAGTCTGGTGAGTTATTTAAAGCAACTGATCTACTGTATGCACATCAGGGATGGGTTCTACTTACCAACGGGGCCGCGCGCACCCAAATTTGCCCCTTGTCTTTTCTGACTGAGAATGGACTTAAATGTGTTTTTGGTCCTAGTTCAGCACCTTAACCACTATACCACAATAGCTACAGTTGATAGCTTGCAGCTTCCTTAGAAAGACATAAATATTCTGTTTGTAATTTGTTGGCTGCATGTTGTCTGAGAATGAAATTTATGTAACTAAATATTTCAGTTACATGACTATAATAAGAAATACAGTGATTACATGCTTTGTTTATTTTGATAAACAAGTAGAAGATGCTTGATTAACATTTATTTTTTATTTCTCCTTTTTTATTTTTATTAAAATTAATATTCAGCGGTGAACATACTAATACTCCTACATCAAAGTGACTCTTTTAGATATTTCTCAGACAGTTGTGGATCTTCTCATCTGTTGGAAGATACATTATTAGGATTTATATATCTTTTTGCTATCCTACAAAATAAATGTGAAATATTTAGGAAAAGCACTTACCATTTGCTAAGGTTACAGTTCTTTTAATGGTAAACTATGAGGGAACAGAGTCAGCCTCTATATAAGTAGGCACAAGTTAGTACAAATGGCTCCCATTATGCAGAATTCCATTACCCATAATTTTAGGTATTTATTGCTGAAAAATACCAACACATGAAGAACAAAATAGTTTTCAATGGTTTTTATATTCTCTGTTAAAAGAAAGGTTTAATATAGATAAAAAGATCACTGTAATTGAGAAACGCACAAAATAGCGTTTGTAATTGAACTATCAAATTGAATGTTTGAAATACATGCAAATGTTGAACATCGGTAGTAAAAATGTATAAACTTCTGTTAAGATTTGAAACTGAAGAAGTTCAAATTAAAGATTGCATTGCAAAATGGGCTATTAATGTTGGATATAATATACAGATGGACTCTTGGGAAAGAAGGTGGATAACTACCATAATTTCAAATTTACAAATTTACACTGTGTTATAACTGAAAGCAAATGATTTTTAAATTGATGCATTATTGGTATAGGACACAAGGAAATTTTCAAAAATGTAGAGAAGTATTTCAAACCAGTACTGAAAATGTGAAAAGCATGATGGGACATTTTATAATGCATGGGGGACTTGTGATAAAAGCTAAGAAATTTTGGATACAAATCATATAATAGTGCAAAAGATTTTAAAGATAAATATTATGAAGAACTTTTTTTATTGGGACGTATGGATAATGAATTAGGAAAGAGACATATCAGATTGATTTTGTATATGGTAACTGCAGAAAGATTATTGTATGCTTAAAGATGGAAGAAAAGTGAAATTCCTACAATGGGAGAATGGCATGTGAAAATGTCAGAATTTATCAAGCTGACCTGTTTTGTCAGAGAAACAACAAAAACTTTCTGAAAGACTGAAAGCCTTATATGGATGTTTTACTGAAAAAGGAATAAAATGATATGGTGATTTATGGGTTCAAGGATTAAAAAAGATTTGCATAACATAATTCTCAATAAATATGAATTAATAAGTAAAAGAAAATACAGACCAAACCTTGTTATCTATAGGAAAGTATTTTATTTATTTAAGGTTTTGATTCTTGGTTCTGATTTACAAGTTTTTCTACTTGTTTTATTTATAGTAAAACTACAAAAATGGTAGATGAGCTTTGCACATTCAAATAATGATTTCATTATTCACAATTTCATTAGCCATGATTGTTAGGCTGGTACAAAACCCTTGTGAATACTGAAGACCATCTGTTCTCATAATCATGACCATGTTCTGATTTTACTGTATTTTGTAAAGTACTTAGGAACTCAAACAGTTCTTAGAAGAAGCATGGAAAAATAGCGTACATATTAATCTTCTAGCTTTTTCTGAAGATGTTTAATTTTAAACTTTCCTTTTAGTTTGTAGTGCTGGATTTTATGGCACAAGCTGTCAATCCAAATGCCCAAAGTGTAAAGATGACCTTCCCTGCAATCCTATCACTGGCAAATGTATAGCTCCTACTCTAACAAAATGTGGCTTAGACTCACCAGATCCAAAATGTATTATTCCAGGTAAAATATACTACTTTAAACACTGATAACTTTTTGCTTTCCCATTTTTCTTGCCTTTTTTAAATACTCAGTTTGTTTTTATTTTTTTTTAATTTGAGTTTTATTGGGTTTTAACAATTAAACAATTCTTATTCAACTCTTGTGCATGACTGTGACCATTTACATATCATCACACCAATGTTCTCCTATATTCTATATAATTTTACAAAATCTACTATCTGTTATTTCCCCTTTTTTCTATCTTCTATACAATTTCTCCCATATTACGTAAAAGTCTGAATCTATCAGTCCTTTCAGTTCCAATGTCATTTTATCCATCTCAGCGCAATCTAATATCTTTCTAATTATTAAATCTTCAGAGGGTATGTTTGAACTTCTCCAACATTGCGCAAATGCCAATCTTGCCACCATTATCATATGTAGAATAATATATGTTGTTGTTGTTTCATATTTATTTTTCATTATTCCTAGAAGAAACAATTCTGGTGTATATTCTATCTGGAAGCCTTTTACTTGTGTATCCAACTATGTATTTTCATCCAATATTTTTTTGTTTTGGAGCATAACCACTATGTGTGAAAGAAGGTACCTTGCTTTTGTCCACATTTCCAATAATTGGGGTTTAAATTTGGATATATTTTTGTCAGTCTAAAGGGTGCCAAGTACCAACGGTAAAACATTTTATATTGATTCTCTTTCTTATTGTATTGTTAAATTTTTGACTATCATTTTTGTTTTTGTCTTGTTAATTTTAAGGCCCGCTACTTCCCCATATTTTTCTATTTCCCGTAATAATATTGGTCCTGTTTCCTTTGGGTCTTCCAAAAAAAATACCAAATCATCCACAAATGCCATTAATTTATATTCTTCCATTCTAATTTTGGTTCCATTAATCTCTGGTTTGCTCTAATTTTCATCAATAGTGATTCTAAAGTCAAAATAAAAAGCAGAAGTGACAGTGGGCATCCCTGGTGGACTCCTTTCTTTATTTTGAATGTTTTTGTAATTTCTCCGTTTATTATTATATTTGCTTTTTGAGATGAATAAATTGCTTTAATCATTTGTTCAAATTTGTCACTGAATTTCATTTCTCTAATTTGACTAATCATATATTTCTAATTTAAACTATCAAATGCTTTTTTCACATCCAGAAAAACAAGGGCAATTTGTTTCTTTGGATGCGCCTCGTAATACTCTAAGATGTTCAATACTATTCTTGTGTTATCTCTAATTTGTCTAGAAGGGAGGAAACCATTTTGGTCAGAGTGAATAATCTCATTCAGTATTTTTTTCATCCTTCCTGCTGTGATAGCCATAAAAATCTTATAGTCTACATTCAGAAATGAAATTGGCCCGTACTTTTGAATTTGATTTGGGTCGGTACCTTCTTTCATAATCACTGTGATATATGCTTCTCTCCATGAAACAGGGATTTTTGCTTCTAACAGGACCTTGTTATACAGTTCTAAAAGAATGGGTTCTAATAGCTCCCCCATGTTTTTGTAAAATTCTGGTAAACCATCTGGTCCTGGGGTCTTATTATTTTTTTGTTTTTGAATTGCTTCTTTTAGCTCTGTTGATGTTATTTCCCTATTTAGCAGCGTTCTCATATCTTCCTCTATGATGGGCATCTTTTTCTCTTTTAAATAGTCATTTATTTTTTCTATCTCAGTTTCCTCCTGTATATATAAATTCTCAAAATATTTTAATGCAATCCTTTTAATTTCTTCTTCCTTATTTTGTAAATCCCCTACCTCGTCCTGCAGTTGGTGTATTATTCTATTTTACTTTTCTTTTCTTAATTTGTATGATAACCACCTCCCTGACTTATTTGCGTTTTCAAATTGGTATTGTTTCACGTATTTAACGTTTTTTAACATGTTCTGTTTGTTCTATTAGGTTTAATTTATGTTTTACTAATGTTAATTCTTCAATTAGTTGTACATCACCTGGCCTTATTTGAAATTTTTTTCTAGCTGTTCTAATTCTTTCACTAATATATCCTGCTGTTTCCGTTTTTCCTTATTTCTTTTTGTCATATATGCTGCAGTTATTCCTCTTGTATATGCTTTTATTGTGACCCATAGGTTCTGCAAAGAAGTGTGTTGTTTATTATTTACCTCTAGAAATAAGGTCAATTCCTGATTAATCTTTTGTATGTATTCCTTCTCTTGTAGTATCTGTGGGTTTAATGTCCATCTTCTGATTTTCTTTTTTTTGACCTTTTCATATTATTTTCAGGGGGTTATGATCTGCCCAAATGTTTGGGAGAATCTCTACATTTTCTACTTCCTTACTTAGTTCTTTATTTGCCCATATCATATCTATTCTTGAGAAGGACTTATGCAGGTTGGAATAAAAAGTAAATTTTTTCTCTTTGGGGTTTAGTGTTCACCATATATCATTCAAGTTTAATTCTTCCGCCATATCGAAAAAAGTTTTCGGTAATACATTCCTTTCCCCCCCTTTTTCTTCTCATTAATATAATCCTTTTTTCTATCTATTATCCCATTGTAGTCCCCCACAATGCAGATATTTTTATAACCTGTTTCAATTATTTTTCCATGTATTTTTTTGTAAAACCCCCTCTGGTTTTTATTGGGAGCGTATAAATTAACTAATAGCATTTTAGTTCCCCTATTATTAATCCCAATAATAATATTCTTCCCTTCGTATCTTCATATATTACACTTATTTTTATTTCTTTTCTCACATATGTCACAACCTCTCTCTCTTTTTTCTCTGCCAGTGCGGCATATAAATTCCCCAACATATTATATTCCAAATATTTCTGATCCTGTTTTTTGATATGTACCTCTTGGAGGCATATAATATCTATATTCTGTTTTGTTAATTTTGTAAGTATTTTTTTCTTTTTCACCTGGTCATTCAATCCATTTAAGTTTATTGACAGTAATTTAATTTCTCTCTCTATTTTCTTAATTGTCTGCTGGTCTCTGGTTTTTGTTTGCTCTTGTAATTCTTTCAGGTCTGGTACTCATACTCCTTTCTTCATTTCGATTCCCCTTCTTTGTTTTGGCTCCTTCTTCGACATCTTCATCCCCAGATTCTTGTCTTTGTTCTTCTAAACTGGGTGTTTCCAATCTCGCTTTACTGCTCGAATCTTCCTCCATCCCCATCAGTTGATCATATAGTTCTTGGGCTTTATCTAGATCATCGATTTTAATTTGTTTGGCCTGCCAAGTTACTGACATTCCCTTCGAAATAATATTTTTCTTCTGTTTAGTAGAGATGCTAAGAACCGGCAATCCTTCCTTTGTTCTCGGATCCACCTGAGGACTTGCTTCAATGTTATTATATCTCTTTCATGATATATCATTGGTTCATCTCTTGTGATTTTATAGATAATATCTCGCACATTCTTGCATGCAAATCTGATATGTACTTCCCTTGGTAAATGGTGGCGCTTTGCATAATTAGTTTGCACTCTATACTTCGTCCATCTCGTTTATAATCTCTTATTTATTTATTTATTTATTTATTGAATTTCTATACCGCCCTTCTCCTGAAGGACTCAGGGCGGTGAACAGAATAAGATTTCATATACATATAATATTTTTTTTTTATAAACAGTAAATAATAAATTGAGTCAACTTAGTGTATCTGCTAAGATACAGATAAGAGATAATTTTATCTCTCTGGAGGGTTTCCGCAATCAGTCCTGCTATTATCACTCCTAGGTCATCTTCTTTTGTTTCCGACACATTTTGAAACCTCAGGTAAAAAGAGGCTCGATCAATTTCCAAATGCATTAATGAGCTTTCCAAGTCTTTGTTTACTGTCATCATTTTTTGGTCTATCTGCTCTAATTTTTTTTCAGTTTGTTTTTATTTTTCTTATTGTTTTTCTTATTTATTTTTATTTGCATGCCACTACTTACCTATACATAGATTATGGAATCAATTGACCTTTAGGATTGTAAGGATCACACAGTAACATTTCAAACTATATAATTATTACATTTTAGAAGGTACAGTATGTTCAAATTAATCAAATTTGTAAGGCCATACATCTTGAATCATACCCACTCCTATGTTTGCTATATATCTTTTTCTGTGGTATGGTTTTAAAAATGTCCTACTATGCAGATCAATTGTCTACTAGAAAACCAATAAAACCTACATGGTTTATTAGTAAAAATAGTTGCTTTCAGTATAACTAAACTCAAAGCTTTTATTAATACTAATGTTCAATTATGTTATCACGTGTGAGATTAACATGCTAATAACATTTGTGACTCAGAGTAGGCACATTTATGCAACCAAGAAGAGAAAATCATTTCAATATTATTAATGCCAGTTTTCAGTTTTTTGGGCTATAAGTGTCAAGGAGAAAATTTTTATTAGAATAATAGGAAGAATAGAAGATGCGACAGTTTAAAAATATATCTATTGAATTTCTAGGGATGGTGAATTTGCATTTTCTTTTACTGGAAAATTTACCAAAGGTCTAGAGCTGGAGTTTCAAACTCACATTGTCCTGGCATCATCATGTGATGTATCCCTTCGCTAAACTGGGCGTGGCCAGCATGCGATGCATCTGGCCCGTGGGCCACGTGTTTGATGGCTCTGGTCTAGAAGAAGTAGAATATGGTCTAATCTCTCAGGTTACTTTACAATGGAATCAGACTTTCATGCTTATTTTAAAATAGCATTCTTCCTGAGAAAAATCATCTTTGTGTACTAGTTTTAGATTTATGTCTGGTTTGGTATAATGTGCTCTGTCCCTAAGATAGATGCTATTGGGTTTGACTTTAGCAATGCAGTAGGAATTGATTTTTTTAATCCAGTGTATCAAGTTATGGGTATCCTTTATTTATGTATGTATTTATTTATGTACAACCAAAGACAAACACCATCCCCATTCAAAAGGACGTGAAACTTTTTGAATTGGGTCTTTAATAGCTGCCTGAACATCAATAGGGTTCGAGCCATCTTGATCTCTGGGGAAATCTCATTGCACAGGGCAGGCATCACAAGAGAAAAGCACACTTCTGAGTCACACTAGATAGCACTGTCTACTGATGACATGCAAAGTATGCCCACTCTGCCAAAATTCACTAAAGAGACAGAAACAGCTAGAGTCAGGCAGTCCCTTGAATAACTAGGCCCTATGCTATGGAGGGATTTTATTAGGTGGTAACTAGCATCTTGAATGGCATCCAGAAGCAAAACTGTGAACTCAAAGAACAGTAGAGTGTCTTAAAAATAATGAAACATGACCACCATCATTGCCCACATTGCTGCATTCTAAACCTTTCAAGATGTCTTCAAGCATAACTCCCATGTGGGGCACATGGCAGTAAATCTATTTGTAGGGTGATCAATGTATATGTGAACATTTGAAAGGTCTTCTGTTTCAGGAAAGGGTACAACCTGTGCATTAGATATACTGTATCTGTGAAAAGATCCTGTTAGCCACAGTGGCCACTTGTTCATTCAATAGGAGATATGAGTTCAAGACAATCCAGAAATTGTGCACCAATCTTGAAGTATATTCTTGTTTGACCTCTGTTCCCACATGTAACCATGTGAAGGATTGCTTCATTACAACTGATCTTTTTTTTAAAGTTTTCACAGGCATATGTCCAAAACTACCCCAGTGGTATTATTTTTCCAAAGCATGTTATTATGTGGAAAACATTGAAAAAGATACATGGGATAATGCAAGGATTGCTTGCCAAGGATTTAAGAAAACAGACTTAGTTAAAATTACAAACAGCCGTGAAAAGGTATCATTATTTGTTTTACTATTTTCGTATTGTAAATTAAATTTCATTTTATGGAGGTTTTTGGAGATAGGCATGTGCATGTTACAGAAATGATTGGGAAGAAATGCACTGGGCTTAACATAAAAATAACCCTTTTCTGCTTCTAATCTTTTTTCCTATTTCTTTTTAGTATTATTGTTATTGTTGTTGTTGTTGTTGTATTATTATATTTTCTATAGTTTTTGGATTTTTTTAAGTTTGGTGGGGCCAAAACTGAATAATTAAATTAATCAGATGCCAGCACTTTTTTCAAGCATCTATGAAGCATTGAAAAAAATTAAGGCTGGTTTGATGAAGCAGCCATATCATTTTCAGGCTCCTTTTTTTTCTTTGTACTTTGATAGCAAAGATATGCTTTGCTGACACAGGATTTGAATCATTTATTTCAAATACAACTTCCACTTTATTTAATTTCTGATATTTTACATGCTTCGGAAATCAGTAATCTCCAATACATCAGTTATGATAAATAAAATGAAATAATCTGCATATAAAAATCAATCTGCATATTTAGTTTCTGTTTTGTTCGTTTTGTTCTAGCCCCCTCCTCCACTAGTATTAAAATCTCATGACCAGAAAGTTTTTGCTTGCCATTAACATAATCAATCGGTACAATATTCTTATGATTACAGTGTATTGGTAGGTACATCAATTCCCAAAGGTTACTGTCAAGCATCAATTGGTATCCTAATTCTAACTGATTTGGCAGGTAAAATGTGCAAGTCAGCTAAAATAAACACAGTTGGTGCACAAAATTCACTCTCAGGCAAAAAAAAGGAAGAAGAGCCTCATGCTGTCTCTTTCATTTAATTTACATAATATATATATAAAATTGGATTTATGTACTGCCTTTCTCCCAGGAGCTCAGAATATTTAATTTTCTTAATGTAACAAAATCTCAATATTGTTTCACCATTCTTTTATTATTAATAGTAATAATTTTCTCATAGGTTTCCAACCAAAATGTGAATTTAAATGAAAATGTGTATTTTTCAAAAGTACATTGTCAGATTTCCCTAATTGATTTGATGTTCTACCCTAGAAATCTGTTCAGCTGGCAAAACATATTAAGTTAGCGAAGAGGCCTCTCTAATCATAGTTGTTAGTTGTGTATTATATACAATAATTCTGACATGACTGAGAATAAGTTTCAAAGTAGATGTTGCCTGTTAAATGTTGCTACAGTTAACACTGGTGTTAGAATATAATGTGCACATATTTTTAGAAGTTCACTTTAAAGGAATGTACGTATAACCAAAGCCCTGGGCATCTTTTATGAGGAATATATAATTGAAGAATAAATATATTAGAAGTTCTTGAACTGAAACTTCTATTTTAGAGTATAGGATCTTATGTTGGATATAAATCTTAATGCTTGCTCCAACATAGACTTTAGAAATTTCCCTCTAGTTAAATATTAATTTTCAAATGGAATGAATTTTTTTCATTCCATTTGAAAATGGGATGTCAGTTGTTATTTTGACCAAACTTTCTTTCCAGACTCATGTTAATACATAGTTCAGATTACTGTTTTGTTTTCAGATGTGGGTACAATATAAAGGAGATGACAGCTGGGTTGGTTTCATCTTCTACAAGCGAACCTCTCAGTATCTTTGGGTTGATAATTCATCTTCAGTTTTTCAAAATGCATGGTGAGACTGTTTCTGAAATAAATCAGTTTGGTTGTTATTCAGTCAGTGTACGAGCTTAAGCTGCCATAGAAAGAAAGAAAGAAAGAAAGAGAAAGAAAGAAAGAAAGAAAGAAAACATAGTGATCTGTCAACTTGTTCTGCTCATTTCTTTTACAGCTGCATAAAATGTAATCATTGTGAATTGCTTTTTATTTTTTACTAAAACGTAAAATGCTTAAAATAAAGTGGTATAATAAGTAAAATGTACTTATTTTCAGAAATTTGGTAGAGAATTTTTTGGTGTCAGTCAGTCCATGGGTTTGTCAATTTGGACAGTCAAAATAGCCTTGCTTATCATACTGCATTTTAATAACAAAAAATAAGATGCAATACAAACAAATATTTTTCCTACGTGGCAAGTCCTTTCCTTTTTTCCTGAAAAGTGAGAAATCAAACCGCCATATTTTTAACTAGTTTCCCAATCAAGCCAAACTGAGAAACTAGTTATCAACTGTGTAACAACCAAGAATATTAAATCAACTTCAAATTTTGGTTTAAATACCTTGGTTTGTTTCAGGGTTAGTAACCACAGCTGTTCAATTAAGATTAAATTAATCTGATTGGGCAATTTAGTAAAGAAGATTGAGTTGTATTACAATTAAAAAAAGATCTGTTCATGTGCTAATTACACTTGGTATGTGATAAATAGAACTAGGCCAGTAACTTTTAGGAACAGAAACAACAATTTCAGAATGGTTGTCTTTTTTTATATAGCTTCAGAACTTTTGAGTTTTCTATGTGGGATGCCACTATTCATTGAGCCAGAATGACCTTTCATTAATCTTATATCATTGTTTGAAGATCATTATCAAACTTATTTTATATTATTAAACTGTGATAGGGTTTAAGAATAACATTTGACAATACTTCTTCTTTATAATTATTGACAGGGTGATTAGGCGAAATAGAAGATACATACCCTCTTATTATGACTGTGGAGTTGCTTTCAAAGATTATCTTTCTGTGGTAGATTGTTCCCATCACAGAAAATGGATCTGCAAAAGAGAAGAAGGTGAATGAAATAATTCATCATAATTTGTTTTTCAAAAAGCAGACTGACAGCTTCTTAATGATTGCAAATTATTGTTTTTCATGATAAATAAAGTGGTATAGAATTATATGTTTTATATGTATAGTTATAATGGCTTTTAATAGGGATTCAAAGTATAGGTCATTGAACAGTATACCGTTAAGTATACATAGCTGAATCATATGTGTGCTAAATTGAATGCTAATGTGTTTCAGTTACTCATTAGTAAATAGGTGTAGAATATTTTGTTATTTATTATTTTACTCATTTCAGTCAAATAATTTTCCAACAAAATATAGGAATCAGAGCTCACAACTACATATAATAAAATAGAAAAATAAAAACCATTTAAAAACTGCAGTTAAAGCTTGTCCTTGAAACAAAATTAGGAAAAGTCTGGCTGGAGTAAAACCTTCTTTACTGCCTATACAGATACCATAGATGTATATTGTCCCATATACTCCTGTGCAGATACGGATATCCTCAGAGGCAGGGGTGAAATGCTACTAGTTAGGTCCCGTTCGCCCGAACTGATAGTAAAAATGCTACTGGTTCGCCAAATTGGTAGTAAAAAATCTTTTTAAAAAAGTTCCGACGATCAGTTGAGCGACCCACGGTCGTCAGAACTTTTTTTTTTTTTTACTTTTTAGGCATTTTTTTACTACCAGCTCGAGTGAATAGGTAGTAAAAAATGCTTTTAAAAAGTAAAAAAAAAGGCTCCAATGATCACAGCTGTGCTCAAAAGTATTACCAAGGCTGATAATGTTCTAGTTCCGTTTATCTTCTAAAACAAACCACGTTCTTCCCACAAGGAACTTCATCTTAGAAAAAAGTAGAACTTCTGGTCTTTCCCTTCCACTAAAGGTGACAAACAGGCAAGTGCTGGAAGATATAAAACAGACATATAGCTGGAAGGCAAAAATCACAAAATTCTGACATACTTATTTTGATCATGTAATGCATTCACACTCACTGGAAAAGGCAGTTGTGCCTGGAATGGTTGGTGGTAAAAGAAAACAGGGCCTCCAGAAACCAAAGTGGTTAGCCACCATCGAAGCAATATGTACTAGAGCATAAAAGAAAGAAGCAGTACAGATTGGAAAATATGGAGGGAGATGGTTCATAGAATTGCTAAGAATCTGATATAATTGGATATCATCATCATCATTAGCAGCAGCAGCAGCAGCATCAGACTGGTTCTAGGCCATTGTAAAAAAAATGTATGATAATCTAATGAGTATCAGTAACCAGTGCAAACTTTAGGAGCATGCTTTCATTTCTTAAATCATGCTAAAGAATAAATAAGTTACCAAGTGATATATTAAAAATAAATTTTCTCTGTATATACATGTATCTATAAAAAAAATTAACTATGTTTGTTTTCCCTTCCCCACCCCCAATTATAAGGTTATTATGCACAGACTATATCTATCCATGCATGAATTGTATGTTGCATATTAACCAGCTGCAAGTTAATTTATTTTCATATTTTATAAAGATGGTTTTATTTAATGGTTGCTTTTATTTTCAACAGTTGTTGATCTCTTTACGGAACATGATGGAAGAGCATTTTATTTTCCTGATGGAGAAACGTCTAAGTATTCTTCCTTGACTGAAGCTAAGCAGGCCTGTTTAGCCTGGGAAACATGTACTGGAGTGACACATTTTGAAAAATATTTCCTCCTGCACAAAAGTATAGACCTATATAATACTAGAGACAAAACAGTCAGAACCTCGATCAAATCAAGTATGCAGTGAAAATATGTATAGGATTCTTTACTATTTGTTTTTGTCTGCAGAGATTAACATAGGCAAGAGATTACTGTATGCTTTCTCTAAATCTGTTGTATGTCACTTACAGCCTACCAAGATTTCCTGTCAGTCTAGGACTGACTTTCCCAAAATAACATAGAGCCTTATTATTATTATAATGGTTTTTTATATTTTTTGCCTCTCTTAGAGAATTGCCAGAATAAATATTGAATGCTTTCGGGATGTAAGCAGCCTGCTGTTCTACCAACAATATTTTAGTAACTTCAGCTATATCAGAAGTGGGGCTAAAAGAGGCAGAGTGGGAGAGGCTGCTCTGGACAAAGGGCAATTCTCAGTAATGAGGATAGGGGAAATGTTAAAGCTTTTCCTTTCTGGCTGTTATTGTGTGAGTGCTCTTTAAATGGATGTATCTATGTGATGTAAGTGAAAATATGTGAGTGCATGTATCATGACTCCGTGTGTGTGTGTGTGTGTGTGTGTGTGTGTGTGTGTGTGTGTGTGTGTGTTTCTACAGAATATGTCTCATCCCAAAGAAGTTTACTATTGCAGGTTTCATATGGAAGAGAAAGCAGAGCATCAAGTAACAAAAAATGAAAATGATCATAGCAAACACTACAGCATAATGCCAGATCTATGTGTTAATGATTCAAACAGATTTTATTCTACAATAATTTTATTAAGCAGATTCCTTGAAAAATGTACTCTGATATAACATATTTTTTTTTAATAGTTTGTTCTGCTGGAAGATATGGGGAGACATGTGAGCGTGTGTGTCCCAAGTGTGATGATGATGTACCATGTAACCCACATACCGGGTTGTGTAGTGATAGCGTGTTCTGCAGCAAAAATGATCATTCATTCACTTGCAAAACAGGTGATTTAAGAACTAGCTTTTCTCTTTTCACATCCTTTCTGAATATGATCATAAGACTCCGAATATCCTTAGAACTACGATGTAATTCCTATGATGTAGGAATTTCCTACCTGCAGTTTTGATATTTTTCTGATTTGAACTGAAATTAACAGCTAGAGAAAGTGGCTAAACATACAGAGCAAAATTAAAAGCAGAAAGTTGAAAATGGTTAATGTTTTGTAAAGCCATTAAAACCTGCCTATTCTAAGCCATTTTGGGAACAGATATGGATCCTTAAAAAATAGATCCTGTGTACTTTTGTTTGTTTTTGTTCTTGGACTGATTGTTTTAATTTTCTATATTCAAGAATGGAAGCCATTCAGCATTCTGCTTGGATTGGATTGGAAGGCTCACTTGAAGTAAGATCACTTTGAGTAAGGACATAGTGAACTGAAGGATGTTTCTGAAGAAAGGTGGACAATTGTCCTGCTTTAGGTTTCAACTACACACTCAAACACAGTTTTTATGGAGATCATATACTGTAACCAAGTCTGATTTTAACTGTGTGTTTATATTTTAGGAACCTTGATTGGTGGAAGGTGTCCTGTTGAAGATAATTGGCTATATTGGCGTGGCAGCTGTTACTACATCCATAAAGGAGAAAATAAAAAATGGCGACAGGCAAGATATATGTGCAGGCAGTATAGCAATACAGACCTTCTCTGGATAACCAGTAAAGCTGAAAAGGTAAACTGATGGCTTTTGTTTTGTAACAGTGGGTTTTCTAGGAAATTATTTCATTGGGAAATAACACATTTTGAGGTTTTTTTAAATTAATATTCAGTGTTTCAAAAAAATAAATGTTCTCCAATTTCTATCTCTTGTAAGAAATTCCTTCTATCTATATTGCCCAGTGGAACTTATTGGATTGGTCTTAATGGGATTAAATTTTGTACCCATGTGCGATGGTCATACACTGATGTTTCAGATTTAGATATAGAATGGTAAGTTACATGCTTATGTCATAATAGTCCTTAATCAAATAGTTTTTCTAAATAATTTAATTTAAATTTCAGTGAACTCTAATTTATACTCCTTGGTTTATTGAGAACATATTTCCCCTCTGTGTTTATATATTATCCTTTTATTATACTTTTAATATATACCTTTATATATATTATATACTGCTCTAAAAAATAAAGGGAACACAAGCAGAAGACATCCAAGATCTGAATGAATGAAATAGGCTTATTAAATACTTTGTTCTTTACATACAGTAGTTTATACACTGCTCAAACAACTAAGGGAACACAAATCTACTGTATGTAATGAACAAAGTATTCAATAGGGCTGTTTCATTCATTCAGATCTCGGATGTCTTCTGCTTGTGTTCCCTTTATTTTTTTGAGCAGTGTATTTTCATGAGTGAAAATTTAGAAGACTGCAATTTTCCTTGTTGAATCACAAGCTTGAGGTTTTTCTGAGCTGTTTTATTTTATTCTCTATTGCTTTGAAAATCAAGGTTATATAAGAATTCATGGTCAATCTTTTGGAAGTGCTGTGTATATCTCACCGTTCCTAAAGGTTCACTGATAGGAACTGGATGCATCTGGAACAATTTATGGATTTGCAAAAGAAGAGAAGAAGGTAAGGTGATTTGTCTCCAGTGCAGAAGCTCTCAGTATACATACAAACAAGTGATAGGTCATAGATCATAAATCAGACTAACAAATATATTTGAAGACAATTTTCTTTAAATTGTTATGCTCAGTTTGAGCTGTGTATACTTTCTTCCTTTTCCACTCATACAAGTTTGTGAGCCTATATTGGGATTTTTTTATCCCACCCCACCCCAATACCTTGGAACACTACCAAGTAGTTGTCCTTTTCATGTGTTCATCCTATGTCAATCAAAATAAAAACAGCTTGAGCCCTTAATCCACCCTACTTTGAGTAAATTTATTTGTTTTATTTTTATTTTTATTTGATTTATATGCCGCCCTTCTCCGGAGACTCAGGGTGGCTTACAATGCGCTAAGCAATAGCCTTCATCCTTTTGTATATTTATACAAAGTCAGCTTATTGCCCCCACAAACTGGGTCCTCAATTTACCTACCTTAGAAAGGATGGAAGGCTGAGTCAACCTTGAGCCTGGTGAGATTCGAACCTGCAGTAATTGCAGGCAACTGGTCTTAATAACAGGGTGCTTTAGACCACTGTACTACCAAGGCTCTTGGTAAATGTCTGATCTTCCTAGTATATTCAAATTAAGGTGGTCTTTGCTTACTGACTGCCTCATTTAACAATTGTTCAAAATTACGGCAGCATGTAAAAATAGTTTTTTCAATCCTTTATGACTGTTGCAGCATCCTGGGGTCACATGATCACCTTTCAGTGCTTTGTAATGTCCGTGCATTTATGAACATTGCAGTGTACCACAATCATGTGATTGTCATTTGTGTCTTTCATAACTGGTTTGCAACAAGCAGAAATAATAGTCAAGGTAGAAGTAAAATCTTAAGTCATGGTCACATGATGTTTAACTTAACAAACTGGAAGGGAAGTGAGGTTGTAAGCCCATCACACTTGTGTGATTTTTCATGTAGTGACTGCAGTGCTTAACAATTAAGTCTTGATCCCTCCCAGTTGCTAAGAGAGGATTGATGCCAGGTTCTCATCCATCATTGCAAATTCCTTTCCTGTTATTTGTCACAAAATGCTTATTGTTTACCATACCCTGTTACTCAAGTTTTTACATTAATATTGTTAATGGTGGTTGTGATTTTATTTGCTTTTTTCCATTTTCTTTTCTTTCATCATGGTGTTTAAGAAACCATCTTTCCTCATTATTCTCTTAATCTAGAATCCAATTTCATTCTTAATTTGTAAATAGTAGCAGAGAACACTTTTTCTCTCATCTCACTATAACTTGACTCAAGTTTATATCTTTGTATCTAGTATTCAGCTTTGAGCCCCTTTTATTTTAAAAATTAAATAGTGCCAACATATTTATGAATTTCTTCTTCCTTTTGCAATTTGGCATACAGACATTTTGAAGATGAAATAATCATGATTGCAATTTTTGTGCCAGAAGAAGTTCAAATGTTTGAATTTCTGTTTCTATTATTGTTATTAAAATCACAAGTTTGATCATAGGTTTTCATCAAAACCATATGCCTCTCTAGATATAATCTTAACATCTAATTTGCCATGATTGTTTAAATCTTATCCCTAAAATCATCTTGCCTTAGAGTAATTGTAATATTCCTAAAATGTGTGATAAAAGTAATCCAAAATTAAAATATTTAAGGAATAACTTACTTAACTAAAATTTGCTATAGGCAACATGGATAATTTTCCAAATCAATTTTGTTCATATTGTAGAAACAAAGGATTTTCGTAAATTTGATGGCTATTTTCTTGGCTTTACCAAAGACAGTAAATTAGTCAACTACACATCATTAAGTGAAGCCTTTCAACATTGTAGAACTGAAGGAAAACATTGTACCGGAATTCAGAGAATAAGAACTATTTATATAACATTACTTGCAAAACGATTGGTGCTTATCATTGGTAACGATGCAACTCTCTATACAGCGTATTTGAAAAGTGGTATGTGTGTCACATTGGATATTTACTTCGGATTTTCTTTTGAGCATTAATATACTATCACAACATGAATCATAATTTGTATAACATACAGTAAGCCCAAGTCGTTGCTGTGGCAAAAAATATGCCCATTTTCCTAGAGATTTTAAAATCTTGATCATTTAATAAGAAGCACATGTTTGCCTGCTGAGACAGGTCCAAGTAATTTGTGATTAGATGAGAGATTATTTTTGCCTTCCAAGGGTAATAGGGCATTTGAAAAGTACATATGCAATTGATTCAATTTCAGTGCTAAATTTTTTTTTTAATTTTTTATTTTATTTCAAATTTATATACCGCACCTTCTCCCAAGGGACTCAAGGCAGTGTACAGCCAGATAAAAACATACAATACAAACATTAAGAACAATTAAAAAAATATGTATTAATTTGGCCCCAGTTTAAAATGACAAACCAATTAAAAAATTAAAAATTTAAAAATATGTTAAGCCAGCCCGGCTTGATGAAAAAAGAAAGTTTTAAGGGCACAGCGGAAGGCACCAAGGTCTTGGATTCTCCTTATCTCAGGGGGCAGCTGGTTCCATAGGGTAGGTGCCCCCACAGAGAAGGCCCTCTCCCTGGGGGTCACCAGCCTACATTGTTTGGCTGATGGCACCCCGAGGAGGCCCTCTCTGTGGGAGCGCACGGGTCGATGGAAGGTTATCGGTAGCAGCAGGTGGTCTCGAAGATAACTAGGTCCTATGCCATGGAATGCTTTAAAGGTGGTAACCAACACCTTGAAGCGCACCCGGAAGACCACTGGGAGCCAGTGCAGCTCGCGCAGGAGCGGTGTTATGTGGGAGCGCCATGCAGCTCCTGTAATTACCCGCGCGGCCGCATTCTGGACCAGTTGGAGCCTCCGGGTGCTCTTCAATTTCAGTGCTAAATGCTCGGGACAGAGGATATTATTGAATTTCCGAATCAATACCATTGATGGTAAAGAGTGCCAGCATGAGCATCCCTACAACTATGTATTAGAAGTTTTTGGATATAGTGAAAGGCTGATAGATGAGCTAGTTTTAGCAGAAAAAAGAGGTCAAAAATTCTCTGCTTGGCTTCATGCTAAGTTTTGTCGTAGTTTATACAGATTTTGGGAGGAAGGCCGCAATGGACCATTTTGGATGTTATACATGAAGAATTGATGTAGCAGTCAGTTAGTGCAAGTTTAGACTAGGGACTCACTCAACTCAAATGTTATGGAGAAGATGGAAATAGATTTAAGATATTTAGGACTACATGATCACAAATCAATTTTCACAATTGCTTTTTTCTAGAACTACATTGTGACAATAGTCTTCCACTTCTTGTTTCAACATTGATCTAGCATACCGTCTATTGCTACTAATTTATGTGTCAGTGCTTAATTTAGAATTGCAGGACAGGTACCGAACTATGAGAATACCAGGAGATACATCAGGACATCAGCAAACTTTAAATAATGTTTATTAATAAAATATTCCCAAGTATATTCACAGCACCGGGGTGGGTGTGGGTGGGGGGCTTCCTCGCTGCAATGCACTCAAGTAACAAGAACAGTTCCAGAATTCAACTCATAAATCAGAGTTGTAGGGCAGATCTTGTAGCCCTTTACCTCATTCTTCCATCCATTGGAATGCTCACCCTGGTATTGGATTGAGTAACCAGAAGGAAATAAATGGTTTTAGAGGATGGGATTACAAATCAGTAAACAGGCACATGAGGAAGATTCTCATTGAAAGGAATGCAACAACAACAGCTGTTTGTTTACTCTATGGGCCCCTCAGGAGTTGAAAGATGGGACCATCAACTTATTAAAGTCAAGGGCAGGATTTTTTCAATTGCAGGCACCAGGTTAAGCCAAACTAATTTAATTACATAAAGTCACAGAGTAGAGCCTATTAACTGGGGTTAGCACTTATAGAGAAGTTCTGTGCCGTGGAGAAAAGTCATGTACAATAGATCCTTTAAACAATTTCTAGGACAGTCTCCACTTGTGGCTAGCTTCATGAAAATGGAAATTTATGATGATTCAAGAGTTTTTCCTTTCACTCTGAGTATTTTGTTGTCTATGTCTGTTATAAAACTTGTGGGGAGAGAGTATAACACTATAATTATAATTCTGGGAGAATTAATTTTTAAAAATTTTCTGGCAGCATGTGCACTGCGTTATTATGGTGCAGAGTGTGGCATGGCTTGCAGTTGCAATGGAAGTGAAAGTTGCAATCCATTAAATGGAGAGTGTGCAGAAAATGAGCAGTGTAATGAAAACCACATAAAAAACTATTGTCAACAAGGTACGCAATTTAATTTTTTTCTCTCCCTTCTATAAATATATCAGAAGGGGGAACCCTGAGCTACAAATATTCCCTTTCGTTGGTATTCTTGTTGCATTCTTTGTTTCTACTTTATGCCAGTTTGATCTTGCTGCTGTTTTTTGTATACCTTTTTGAGCTTCATATAATCTACCACCTGTCCCCATGAAATTGGCATTAATTCAGTAAAAGAAGTGAAAAGGGTTCAACTGCAACACTTCTGCTTATTTTGATGGTGTTAATTATACACGTTGTTTCAGGCTTCTAAGACACTGTCTTAAACTGCTTTTTCTGATGTAGCTGAACCAGGGGTGAAATGCTCCCGGTTCGGACCGGATCGTCCATCTGGTAGCGATGGCAGCGGGTGGTTCGGAGAACCGGTAGCAAAAATCCCTGAGCCCCCCCCCCCCACCATGCCCAGCTGAGCCGCATGATCATCAGAGCCTTTTTTTTTTACTTTTCAAAGCATTTTTTCTACAACCTCTTCCACCGAAAAAATGCTTTTAAAAGTTTAAAAAAAAGCCTCTGATGATCGCATGGCTCAGCTGAGATCTCAGAGGCTTTTCAAAGCATTTTTTTCTGCAACCTCTTCCGGGGAAGAGGTGATTAAAAAAATGCTTTGAAAAGGCTCTGACAATCAGGCAACACAGCTGGGATCATCAGAGGCTTTTCAAAGCATTTTTTTAACCACCTCTTCCCTGGAAGAGAGTGCAGAAAAAAGTGCTTTAAAAGTCTCTCTGACGGTCCCAGCTGAGTTGCCTAATCGTCAGAGAGACTTTTCAAAGCATTTTTTAAAACGATCAGGCAACTCAGCTGGGATCATCAGAGAGACTTTTAAAGCATTTTTTTCTGCAACCTCTTCAGCGGAAGAAGTGGTTAAAAAAATGCTTTGAAAAGACTCTGACGATCCCAGCTGTGTTCCTGATCGGCAGAGGCTTTTCAAAGCATTTTTTTTGCATTTGCAGAAAAAATGCTTTGAAAAGTTAAAATAAAAAAAAAATGGCCATGCCCACCCAGTCACATTACCCCCCATCACCCACCAAGCCATGCCCACAGAACCGGTAGTAACAAATTTTACATTTCACCCCTGAGCTGAACTTTTATTTCACAGAGGAAAACACTTTTCTTTGACATTGCTTTTGATCTTTAGTTATTTTCTGGAAAACTCCCTTATAGTGATCTCAACAAAACCACTGGCTTTCAAGAGCACTAATGTTCTGACACTTAGTTCTGTCTTTATATTCCAGAATCCCACTTGGGTTTCCAAATGCCTGATCACTACTTTTCTTGTATATGCTTTTCTATCTCAAGCTTAGTAAATCTACACAAAACATTTTTCTTCACAAACCGTCTATCTTCTCCTTATTTCCCTTTATGTTGCTTTCACACTATTCAAATATTGAATTCTTTTGTTTACTAATTCTTTTGGTTTGTTCCCCACATGCCAGTATATTGCATTTCTTGTTCCCGCTTTGATATTGCATTCTTTTTCTATGTGGCCTCAATTCTCAGCCTTTCACTTTTCTTAACATTTAAACATCAGTCTGCCATCAAAAAAAGGGAAAAGAAACACGTATTCTTTAGCAATAAACTCTCTACTATACTATTGTTTATAAATATTAAAAATAACAAGGAAAAACAAAAAAAGGAAAAAAAGAAATCTCTTAAAACAAAATAGATACTTTATTTGATTTTTTTTAAAGTTCCCCTTTCTTTGATCTCAATTCATATGTAAGCTTTAGAAACCATGCTCTTAATATTTGTATTGGTCTTGTTGCATAATGTGTAATGTACATGAAAACCATTCTTGCATGAATTTAGTTAAACTTTTTATTTTGCCATTGCTGCATATTATCCAGGTTTATGTTCCAAGTTGGATGTTAGTACCTTAAAAGATGACAGACAGAAGACAGACAGACGACTTCGGGCCACTGCTATCTCTCAGCCCAACCTCACAGGGTTGTTGTGGGGAAAATAGAATGTCACCAATGCATGGTGGTGACACTCACCACCTTGTGTTGATATGGACACAGAAACATAGATACATAGGCAAGATAAAAATAAACAATCTTATTGAAAAATATCTCTGTTTTAAAGAAAAGAAAAATCCTTCCACCATCCTTTGCTTCTATCACTTTAAGAGCCTGAAAGTTTCTTATACTTTAAATTATTATTGTCTGTTGCACAGTCAGCCAGTTATTCAGACTGGATTTGGTATTTTTGTCCACTTATCGAGTCCTTTCCAAGGACCTGGGATAGTATTACTCTGAACAGTCACTGTCTCCATCCCCACCCATTTTTGCATACTGCTGCTTCAGATTTGTATTAGATTCTTTTCATAGAAACATTCTGGGAATCCAGTTTAAAGTACAGTGGGGCACTGCTGACAAATATCCAGTGTAATGTTTTATTTTAATATTATTGTGATATTCCAGTTTATCAAAACACTAAAATCTGCACCGAAGTATGACTGAGGAAGAATCAATAGTTGAAGTGGGACTCTGACAACTTCCTGTCTAATGGCAATTACTTTTCTTCCCTTTATATAACCCCTATGGAGAATTTCATTTAAGTAACCAGTTCGGTAGTAAGTTATTTACTATCCTGCTTTCTTAAGTTGACTTTAACGACCCAAATACAATAATATATTAACCACTGAAGGCTACAAAATGCCTCATGAAGCTAGGAAAACTGCATCCCTTCCACCACAATTTTATCTCTAATCTAGTGGACAAGGAGGCATGAGTCCTGGAGTGATGGAGAACCTACTGAATTTTACTGAATCTTTTGAATTTGCTGAAATTGATAGATCAATAATGACTCCAGACCTATATCTCTATACTCTTGTGCAAGAAGAAATAATGGGCTTTGAGATGCTTGATTGATTCACTGACTTGAAATACCATTACAAGTCAGTATTTACTCTTAGCAACCACAAGGACAGAGTTTCTTCAGGATGATCTATCCCCAACCAGGTCCAACAAGTCTTCCAGCGATGAACCCGCTAACTCTGTAATGGAGTTCATTCACTTTGTTCCTAGTAAATCTCCTTCTTCCCTTTCCTTCCACCTTTCTCAATTTTGTAGACTGTTTCAAAGAATTAGTTTTCCGTATAATGTGTTTGAAGTATTATAATTTCAGTCTTTGGATTTTAAAGAAGTCTGAATTGACTTCTCACTTAAATGCTTCATGAAACTAAGAAAACTGCATCCCTTCCACCTCAGTTCTACCTCTAAGCTAGTGGACAAGGAGGCATGAGTCCCGGAATGATGGAGAACTTACTGGATTTTTGTCCAATGATCCATTTATTTCCTTGACTATTATGTGTTATTTTTCAACAAGCTTTGAAATGAGTAATGGTTAAAATGAAATCAAATGTGTAAAGATTTTGAGAATAATTTAAGGTCGTGATGGTGAACCTATGGCACGCGTGCCACAGGTGGCACGCGGAGCCATATTAGTGGGCACGCCAGCTCAGCTCTGGGGTGCATGCGCATGCCGGCCAGCTGATTTTTGGGCCTTCTGGGCCCACCAGAAGTAGGGAAACAGGCTGTTTCCTGCTTCTGGAGGGCCTGGGGGCGGAGTGGGGAAGGTCCATTTTTCTTTCTTACCTGGCTCCAGATCCTCTCTGTGTATCTGGGAAGGGCGAAAACAGCCTTTCCCACTCCCTTGGAGGCCCTACGGAGGCTGAAAGGGCCCATTACCCGACTCCCGATGGGACAGGAAGTGACGTTTTTTCCTGTCCCCAGCCTCCAGAGACTCCTAGAGAGGCTCCTAGAGACTCCTAGAGAGGTTCTGGAGGCTGTGGACAGCAAAAAATGTCACTTCCTGTCCCACCGAGAGTTGGAAAATGGGCCCTTTCAGCCTCCATAGGGCCTCCAAAGGAGTGGGAAAGGCTGTTTTTGCCCTTCCCAGATACACAGAGAGGATCTGGAATCAGGTAAGAAAGAAAAACGGGCCTACCAGGCCATCATGTGCCAGGAGCGGGGAGGAGGGGGAGGGGGTTGCGCACGCATGCACGTGGGCACGTGACCCTCCCCCGCCCCCCCTCCTGGCACGCAATGGCAAAAAGGTTAGCCATTACTGATTTAAGGTTTTCAAACTGGGATAACTATTTTCTTTTAGGAAACTTTTTGCAGTATTCAGAAGCAAAAGAGCAAAGGGATCCTTGGTACTTTCTGATCTTTGTGGTATTGCCAAACTCAGAAGGCACTAAGGGCCCCACAGTTCCACCCTGAGCTACAAATATTCTTTTCTATTGGTACAAAAGAGCAATCTCATGGCAAACTAGTTACAGATTCAAAAACTGATTCAGTCAAGAACAACTCACCAGAAATCATTTAAAACTCATTAATTTCTATATATAAGAAAACAAAATTCTGTGCTATTACATGTGGGGCAGGGGCGGGTTCCAAATCCCGTCGATACCGGTTCGCTCGTGTGTGCACACGCACTCATATGCGGCACTTCTGCGCATGAACAGAAGCTTCTGCGCATGCGCAGAAGCGTCTGAGCGGATGGGTGGAGCCTCCCACTGCCGCTACCAGTTCATCTGATCCGGTGCGAACTGGTAGCAATCCACCACTGATATGGGGAATTGTTTAACAAGAATTACTTCCATCTGATTTTAGACATGAAATATAAGATACCTATAGATTACCACTATGTAGCAATTCATCACATAGATTAGCCCCAATTGTAATTATACTGCTGATGTCTTCCATGTATCAGGTTTTATAGCTTTCAAGATAGATTTCCTGACTTTCAATATAAAGGAATTAAACACTCTACATTGTTTTTATATTGATATTGGTTAACTTAAGCAAAAATATTTTTAAAAGTTGACTTCTTTCAGTTATGACTTTATTGTTGAGTTATTGGATGCACAATTTTATTGTGTTACTGGCTGGTTAAGGACAATTTATTGTACTAGTATTTATAAAACAACAGCAGCAAAACTCCGTAAATCTTGTCTTATTGCTTAGTTGTTTAAATATACTATAGCTGTTTATTTTTCAGATGTAATTCATCTTAAATGTCCACAAGATCGTGGATGGTGGTATTGGAATAACAGCTGTTATTATATAGAACCAGCAAAACTCTTGACATGGGAAGAAGCAAAAAAATTCTGCATGGCTTATCATGAAACTAAACTACTACCAAATCCAAGTGATGAGGAAAAGGTAATGTGTTCTTGGATGTACAACTGGAAGGGCATTTTTACATTTTATAAATCACTGTATTTCATCGAGAAGAACAGATGTATGAAATACAGTGGATTTTTCTTTGAAGAAAGTAGAACTACCAGCGAGAATGAGCCCTGCCCATGGGATAATAGGGAAGCCTTTTACAGCTTCCTGAAGTAATTTCATCTGCTTCTGGAGATTGAATTAGGCTGACCTAATAAACTATGAGCGTCTTGATCTCTTGTAGGAACAAGAAATTAAGAACTTTATGGGAAGTAGAAACAGATAATTTCAGAGTATTCTTAACTATCTTTATTTGGGTTTTACAGCCAGAAAACTCAGAATACATCAAACATCTTAGATATACACAGAAATAGATAAACCTCAAATATATAGGTGCAAATAAAAAGTAAGCATAACATATAATAAATAACAATAATAGAAAGCAAAGATAACAGCAACAGTAATAGACACCTTTAATAGGTACAGTCTCAAAACAACTGGAGACCACTTAAATGCCCACCAGCATTGACAAAATCACAATCAGTCAATTGCAAAAGGTAGATTTACTTGGATCAACTTAATATCAACACCAACAACAATAATGACAGTCACAAAGATTAATATTGTGGGATTCAGAATTTAATATCCTGGAAGCTGTTCAGTCCAAGTTTGTAAGAGCAATCCTGAGATGTATCAGGAATGAAGTCTTATGTTTAGAGTCAGGTTTATTTTTCATGGGTGCCAGAACTTGGTACTATCATTAGTTTCTGGCTCGTCATCCCCCCATCTTCACTGCTTCTCAGAGACTATTTTAAATTAACTTGACTCTGAAGAGCTAATGGCAAACTCCATCTTAATCGAATCGAACAGAACAGAACAGAACAGAACAGAATGTTGACATATTGAAGTTATGCTGATGCTATGCAAATTATTTGTAAAAGAAATAACTTTCTTAATCTGCAGGTGTGGCTAATTACTATGTTAAAGAATGATACATGGATTGAGTCTAAAAGGAGAAAAATGGATATGACAAATAGGTAAGAGAAATTATAATTGTTTACTAATGGAATGCTGGCCAGGTTTACATTTCTGATGAAGGACTAAGACCAGGAAAATGTAATTTCAGGTACACACAAACTCAATAGATTAATTTGGGCTTCTCAGCTTTATCTACCTCTGGGATGTCAAACTTTCGTCACCATGGCAGTGTCACGTGATGTATTGGGACTTTTCCCCCTGTGCTAAACCGGGCATTGACAGCCCTGATCTACCTCATAGGCTTGTTGTTCTTGGAATAACATTTAATAAAGGAATATTTTAAGGGCCTTTTTAAACTCCTACAGCTGGATGTAAAAGCTGGATATTTTATAAAAGAATCCTGTTATTAATTTCTGATAATACTACAAAAAGCCATCTGTTCCAACCATTTATCCTAAAACAGATTCATCTGTTAACAGCTGTATAATTTAGTGCACTAAGATAAAAAAACAAATCCCTAAAATGCTTTGAATTTAGTTGAACTAATTTTAATTTATTGTAAGGCTACATTTACAGAATCTTGAAAATCTGAAGGCACATATTTCCCACTGCCACTTTCAACTCCTTGATCCATAAATTTCCCTAATCCATAAAAAGGTTTCCATAATCTCTTGAGTTATAGTAACTATTTTATGGTTTTCCATATTGAGTTTTGGGCTATTTCCACTTCAAGATACCTTGTCATTTCTAAATCATATGCAGAGTTATGTCAGAAGGTTTTCCCTCCAAAAAGGAGCAGCTGAGCATACTGTTCAGGAGATTTTGCTTCAGCCTCTTTACAATTTATACTTTTACTTTTTTCCAAAACTACTCTTTCTTCAAAAACCTTTCATTTAAGTCAAGATGTATTATTGCTGACTATTTTTCCCAGTTCCTCAATAGTATTGAAAACATCAATATTTTTTAAATGTCTGTTGTATTCACATGCTTTAAAGCTGAACTATACAACATTATATTATTTTAATTTTCAAATGCCTTCCAAAACTTTCTAAAGGATGCAGTGTTTTCATCGGGAACTGTTTTCTTTTGTTCAACACTAAATCTGCAAGAGAGATTGCAGCATTGGCAGCTTTCTCTAGGATACAGTATTGTCATTTACATTTTGCCAAATGACTACCTGAATTTTACTCTTCTTGCAGTAGTACAGACCGAATCATTATTCCCATAGCAATGAAACCTGACAAAAGGATTATTCTCTGTTTGGTTACTTTAAAACAATCAGGCCTTACCCAGCTAAGAAGCATGTTCTCAGTTGTGCATATAAAACATGGAGAGTACAATGAAGAACTAGTTATTTACTGTATTTTTCGGAGTATAAAACATACTCCCCCCTCCAAAGAGGGTGGAAATGTTGGTGCGTCTTATACACCGAATACAGCCATTTTTGGCCTCCTGAAGCGTGCCCCGCTCATCTAATTTTTGCAAAAATTGGGCCCATTTTCTGCAAAAACAGGGTGCGCAGAGGGTTTGGGAGGCCTGCAGAGTGCTTCTGGGGGCCAGGGAGGACAAAAACCTTTTTTTTCTTACTTACCTCTTCGAAATCTTGAATAGGATTTCATGCTAATCAATCTCCTTTTTGATTTTCATACATACGCATACCAGAGTAATGTACTAATCAAGAAGGAACTTGGATCAGAGGTGGTATTCAGCAGGTTCTGACCAGTTCTGGAGAACCAGTAGCGGAAATTTTGAGTAATTCAGAGAACCGATAAATACCACCTCTGACTGGCCCCGCCCCCATCTATTCTCTGCCTCCCAAGTCCCAGCTGATTGGGAGGAAATGGGGATTTTGCAGTAATCTTCCCCTGGAGTGAGGAGGGAATGGAGTTTTTCCCTGCCATGCCTACCAAGCCACGCCCACATAACTGGTAGTAAAAAAATTTGAATTCCACCACTGACTTGAACCCATGTTGAGGTCTACATGGAAAACCTGTGTATGATTTTGAGTTAGTCACACTCTCAGTCGAAACAGTTTTGATGAGAAATATTTGATATTTAATGTTTAATTCAATAAAAAACATTTTGAAATATTTGTGTTTCTGACAAAATATAATTGATATAACTTTTTTGTTGATCATTTATCGGATAGATGGTATGGCACTAAATATATAAACTTTAAAATCACTAAAATCACTTTTCATATGAAATTTAAAGTCAGTATGTTGTCAAATTTCAACATAAAAATGAAACTTAAAAAACTAGAAATTCCATTACTGTATTTTGTTCTGCAAACATTGCTTCAGTCCCATTGAATTTGTTTTTGTGTTTTTTAATATGTATTATTTTGTTTTTAGCCTACTGCTGTTTAAACATTGCTCATCCTTGTTTATCTTATACTTCTAAATTGTAGTAAAGATTCCTATAAACAAGTTCTTTCCACCTGCACCCGAATGAAACAGAAAGGTACTTTTGAAACTGTTACTTGTTCATCCTTGGCCAGCTGGGTTTGTAAAAGAAGCGTAGGTAGGTAAGACGAAGTCAGTTCAATTTTCAATTGTAAATTGAGTTCTTGCTAGAATTAATTTTTGGAGGCTTTGGGATACAAACTGATTTTGATCAAGAAAACGTAGACTAATGTGCAGATGAAAACCAATCCATCAATATTTATAGTTTCCAAATGTCTGGCACAACTCTCAATTTAAAACTGAAACCAAAACAGATTTTAAATGTGTATTTTGAGAGAAAAATATATTTAAATTTTAATCTGAAAACTGGACTTGTTCTAATTTTTCTCTTAATACTGAAGATTTGATTTGTTCAAATTCTTTAAAATGGAAAAGGTAAATATTTCAAAGCAACAGCAAAGATTGAAGAGGAGAGTAGCATTCAAGCATTCTGAGTAAAGTTTTTTACTTTCTCCCTTTAGTCCTATTGCTCAAACAAACAAACAAAATCTCAACTCACTTATAGGATCTTTTTGAAAAGTCTGAACATTGAGGCACTGTTCCTTCCTTAGTGTATGCTATACTTATTCTCAACAGCAGCCATCATCTCAGAAGTGCTGCAGAACACTAGTAGTAGACCCACACGCTGCACAACCAATAACAGCATTGTGTGGATTGCAGTTTATACTCCACTATTGTAATATTTTTATTCTGTTGCCATGCCCAATAGGATAGCAGTAGCAGCAATGACCCCTTCTCCTAGTTGTGTTCCTTTCTCAATGTTCATCTTCCTGCGCCTACAGATTGGATTTGCCTAGATTGCCTAGTCTATCATGAACAACATGGAAAGAATGCCTTTCCAGTTAGCATTAAATCTACTGCTTATTTGATTGTCTCAGTGTGAGAACAACAATATGAATAATTCTGGAAGTGACTTGCCACATTGCAGTACATAGGAGTACTTTGAGTAAACTTACTCAAAGTGTTCCTTTCTGTTTTATATGTGTTGCTCAGTGTAAAATGAGTATTGGCTACTGCAGTATCAGCATTAGACAGTTCAGGAAAGCCTTCTCTGCTCTAGCCTCTGCTTAATGGAATATTCCTTCCTTGGAGATTAAAATGACCCCAACCCTATTGGCTTTTTGTAAGGCTTTAAAAACTTGGCTACGTACCTGGGCCTGAGACTCGGAATGTATTAAAAGCCCCATTACTTGGCTTTAGTGTTAACTGATTAATCAGATGCTGTTTCTATTTATTTATTGTATGAAAGTTTTACTGCTTTAATGTTTTTTAATTGTTTTATAATTCTAGAATTGTAAGCAGCCCAGAGTTACTTGATTGAGTTGGGCGTCTTTAGAAATTGAATAAATAAATGAATAAATAAAATGTGCAATTTTATATTGATGGTTCACATATCTATGAAGTAATATGTATTTTCATAGAAACACTATGAAAGAGAGAAACATTGTTCTAAGAAAAAAAAAAAGAAATCACTTGAATTGTGTGTTTTTTTAAAAAAATATTTTAGATGCCAACATGTTTTGGGAATACTCTAAAAAAATACTTCTCTTTCCATTGAGCAAAAGAACCTATAAAAATAAGGAATATGCAATGTCAGCCTGTCTTTTAGAAAAAGAATGCACTGGAATTAGTTATTGGAAAAAGAGATATCGACCAGTCAGTGGTAAAGAACTGGTTTCAACTAAATCAAAAGGGGATACTGCATACATAAAAACGGGTAAATGTTCAGTTAATGTAATATATATTATGGTATATATTGTAGTATGATCAAGCAATATAATCTAATCAGACCTATATAACCTGTTATCAGTGTCTCTTTAAGAGGGACAAAATAAAGCTACAATATATAGAAATTGAGAGAAGATAAAATTTATGTCATAATCAAAAGAGACTGAAATCTTCAAAATGGGTGATCAAGTTCTGCCATCTGTCTATGATGTCCTGGAAAAAAAGTGTATTAAAGAAGCAAGAACATAGGAGTAGCGATTAAACCAGTCCACGTCCACAACAAAGCAATTGATCTCAAACTCAGCAGCAATTGGAGTCTGCGACTGCCATGATGGTTGATGATTGAAAATACTTGGCCATTTCAGAATTTTCACCTTCTGCTGGTGGAGATGTTCTCATTCTGAATATGGATTATATTGTACTGATTTGTGCTTACCAAGCTGGAATTATGGTTTGAAAAAATATTGTAATTATTGTTTTATTATCAATCATGAAGGACGTCTTAAATGTTGCACAGCCATGCCTTGAGCCTTGTTATTCTTAGTGAGTTATAAATAATATGAACAAGGATATAGAAGGGGTTTCTTATTACATATTTTGAAGGAATAGCCAGCATGATAGAAAAGCCCTGGTTTCTGATTATTGTTGTTTAATGCTAGATCAGCCCATAATAAGGATGCCCTCATCTGTGATTTGATCACAGATGAGAAGATTGACTGGGCATGTGCTGAAACCTGAAATCTGGCTGGTCCATGGAGGGGAAAGGGTTTGCCACTTAGAAGTGTCCACAGATGGGTTTCAGATGTGACTTCATATATGCTGAAGTCATATTTTCTGCAATCAAGTTTGGATCGGTCGAGAATTGGTCTAGCAAATGTTTTGTATGCTCTGGTTAGTAGTGCAATATTACCAGAGAAGAAGCTACGCAAGATTAGGTTTACAACTCTTAATGCCTTTTTGGTGATGTTATTACAGTGGGCTTTGGCACTTAGATCATTTGATATGAGTACTCTATTAATGAACTCTATGAAGTTTCAGAGAGAGTTTTAGGTTGTCCCTAATAGTCTCTGCATGGTGCAAAGGAAGCATTAATTGTCACCTGGAATGAACGGGTGTTAGAGCAGATTGTGCCCATGTGGCTTCTTTCTGCCCATGGTTAAGTACCTATCTGCCCCCTGGTTTACAGAGGAATTGAGGGAGATGAAGTGAATGAAAAAAAAGCCTAAAGTGTCCCTGGAAGTCAACAAAGAACTAACTTGACATATAAAGGCTTACATGGCATGGGGACAGACTATTTGAGGGATTGCTTCTCCCCAGTCACAACTAATAAGCCCATCAGGTCTGCAAAAAAGGCAGGTTGTGAGTCACATCTAATAAGCCCATCAGGTCTGCAAAAAAGGCAGGTTGTGAGTCCTAAGGCACCAAGTAATGTCATCCAATAAAAGCAAAGCGAAGGAGAGGCTTTTCTGCAGTAACACCTGCTGTCTAGAATATCATTTGTTTTGAAGTCCGGCTGACTCCAATTTACTGGCTTTCTGGGAAGGTTCTGAAGACATGCCTTTGCCATCTAGTTGGGATATTTGGTAGTAGTGGTGTGTAGCTTGTAGAAAACCCATACTGTTAGTGAGATTGATTACACTCTCTTGCGGAATATTTTTTTATGATTTTAAAAGTTATTTTTATAATGACTTTGGGGCTTTTAATTCTATAAACTGCCCAGTATGTGGGATTGAGATATAAATTGCACAAATAAGTCAACAAATAAATCAACAAATAAATAAAACAGAATCAAGATTCAAAAGGCAAAGACCTCGATGAAAGAATTTGATGGAGGTTGTACAAAAATGTGCATTTAAAGTTTTTAAAAAATAAAAGGCACAGGTATTGGTGGAAATCTGATGTGGTCACATACATAAGATCTAAGGATGTTAGTGGACCTTAGTACAATCTAGCAGTATTGCCACTGCTAAAAATGCTAATACAGTCTTATACAGTATTAACAGGTGTCTTATGTCTTGATCACAAAAAGCAGTATTTCCCTTTTATTCTGCTTTAAGCCAGTTTAGTAGTAAAGTAAAATTTTGGGCATAATAGTTTAATAGAATGTTTCAAATAGTGATGTATTCAGAGAAATCAAAAAGATGGTTAAGGGTTTGACATCTTTGGAATAAAGCTTGAATTGTCCTTAAATTACAAGTATTTGTAGCAGCAGGAGCAAAGTGAATTAGTATTTCTAATACTATTATTGTCCCTTTCAATTTTAGTCAAAGGTATATGAACCATAGACCACTGCATGCCTTAATTATTTTGAAAATTAGTAGAGCAGTCACCTTTTTGAAAAGAAAAATCTGTAGAGATCTAGACTTATCTATCAATATCAGTTTGTGTTTTTGTGTATGTTTTCAGCCTGTAGTGAAGGACATTATGGAGACTATTGTCAGAAAATATGTCCTGAATGCCCAGCAGATAGACCATGCAACCGATTAACAGGAGAATGTGCTGATGAATTGACATGTGCAGAAAAAAAGAATATGCATCTCTGTAAATTCAGTGAGTACTACTATTTTGGTAAATGGTCCCTTTTATATATTCTGATTTTGTAATCTGTATATAATTATAATTCCCTATTATCAGCTTTCGTTTAATAGTAAATTGTTCCATTGATATTTCACCACGTGAACTTGTCAAGGCTACCTATATTTTTTTTTTAAGTAAATGGTGCTTGTGGTTTATCTTTCTTTCCAAAATAATGTAGTTTCCTGATTGGTTTCTGACTCTTAATTGTACTATTGCTTACCAAACTTTATTGCCACACGAGTTGCTTCTTTTACTTTATTTTGAACTCCAGGTCAGCTATGAGAAGACTTCTTCCTGAGCAAGCTACTATGACCTAGGTCATAGTAGCAAACATTATGGTTAGGCAGCATACAGGCTTTGTGCACAAAATTTCTCCAACAATAGTGAGGGCCTGTTGCCTACTCCAACTATTGAGTCACGGGGCAGGTATAGCCTCTATTATTTATCTTGCCTTTCTTCAGATGCATCTTTTAAAAGCAAGGTTTCTAAGCACATCTTGTACCAAGTGATTCCTTCAGTGGATCCTTATTATATCATGGTTTACTCCCCTTTTTGGTCTTGTTGCTGGAACTGTTCTTAACTTCTGAACTGCCCTATTCTTCTTTCTGCCCATCAGGTACTGATGTACATTTGAGCTTCAGTTTCTTGCATCTCACTTCTTGCAGGATTTGACCCCTTCTTTCCTCATGGCCAAAGTAAAAGGGATACTCTTTATTTCTCAGAAACCATCCATGAGAACTACTTAAGCTATTAGGTAAAATTCTTTCCAGATTGAATCCCCTGCAGTGCCAGGTTACCTGTGTTTTGGCATTCCTTTCACACTCCAAATACCAAGTTGTGGCTGTTAGATTGGCGCAAGGAACAAGAATACGCGAGCAACGAGTGGTCCATTCAGCACTTTTATTAAGAGAATCAGAACAGCCAACTGTGCTGCCGGGCTCGCCTTATAAAGGGAGTCGGCAGGCAAGCAGGCCAATGACAGATCTTCAAATCTCCCGCCGGTGGACTAGCCAATCCGTCGGGGATGCCCATATAAGGACATAACAGTGGCACTATCATCCTTAATGTTATATGTAACAGCCATCTTTGCCCACTGCCTTTAGTGAATGTCATCCTTATTTTTTTTAATTTAATGAAGTGAAGTGCTTTATGAAAGGTTTGGTTCATCTTTATCTGCTGGTATTCATGCTGATACTGTTACACAAGTGTGCTCTCAGATTCAGTTTATGGTCACTCACACACTCACTGACCTGGAAAATTGCCACACTCAATCTCAAATTAACTGAACATTGAGGCAGTTCTTTAAAATACAAAGAGACCCAGTGAATTTCAAATAACAGCAAACTTTTACTGATATATTTTTGCTCTTACACACACTCATCCATACTTACCCAGCATCTACTACTAGGCTGCCAGACACTAGCAAGAGGGACAGAAACCTCCAGGTCTGAGGACTGGGCTGGCTTCAGGACTTCTTTTATCCCCCAGAGATGGTGGGGAGGGGCTTCCCATGCAGGCCCATCTCCTTTGTTGGTGAGACTTGGGGAGGGCCTTGCCATGTGCTCAGACCCAATTTTGGTGCTTTTGTTCCCTTTTTAACAACTGCTGGCTCCTTTCCCTGAGGGAAATTTTTTTGGGCTTTTGTCCATCCTGCTTACATGCCTTTGCAACTTTTAGTTGTAGTGGCTTTGGTCTAGTCTCACACATTCCTTCCCCTGGCATCGACTTAAACAGAAGATGCCACAAAATGGGGTTCACTCATCACCTGCTCAGAGCATTGAAGATTTTTGTATATATTCTTGCCAATAGGTTTGCTGTCTAATTGGTATGGAGGTACAATATTTTAGGAAAACAAATCTAATACATTGAAAGACGGAGGAGATAAATGCAAAGGCAAATAATACAAACAGAAACATTTGGACAATTTTTCTTCCCCAGGATCTCAAATCAGGTAACCAAGATGTGAGCCAGAATCAGTTCCATCCCTCCAGATCTTGGAAGATGTGATATGCTAGAGTCTTAAGCTTGGCTAGTTTTGCTTCAGTGTAATTCTCATTATTGGTTAGGTTAAAACAACATTGCTGCAAACTAGCAATCTCATGCCATCTTAAATCTTGGGGCCTTCTTCTCTTCAATAGCTATATTCTTTCAGAATAACAGCATCTCATCAGCATTGAAAACCTGATTTATATTCCTTCTCCTCAATATTTTTTGAGTTTTGCAGTTAGGCTTAGCCTCATCATCAGCTAATGTTTACACTACAGATGGAATAATGTCTCTTGAATTTCTGGAACCAGCCTTTGCTAGCAATGAAAGTGTTTTCTGCTGAGCTATTGGACCAGGGGGTGTGTTGCTTAAATTTGTTGTAAAGAAATTACAACATACCAATATTCATACATTTTTAATGGTCTTTGATCGAAATGAGCAACTCATTCTCTGTTTTTAGCATCACTTTATCACGTACAAATTCTCACAATATGGTACTTTTACATATGCCACATATGTGAGCCCTTCACAAGATTTATCTGAAATCTGCACTTTCTCATTCAAAGTTCTAAGTTTCTTTTGACCCTTTTAAGATTTTGTCCATCACTGGCTGCACTTCATTTAGAATCCATGGGTATTCATATAAACACAGCAGTATTTTAAGAACAAGTAGCCTAACACAGGCACACCATCCTAACCAGTGATGCTCACAGTCTCGTGAGATTGAAGATACCCATGCCTCACCTAATTTAGTGAGGAACAACCAAATCTTTTAGCATTATTCTTAGTATAATAAGTTATACTACTGGCATTGTGAAAAAAATAATCTAAGAACAAAGATCCCACAAATATGGAGATTCAAATACAATCCATATGTGTGAACACTTTAGAGACAAAAAACAACAACCCATAAATCCAAATTGTCACAAGTAAATGCCTTATTCTCTAATGTGTAAATAGTATATGAACGGGATGTCAGGGGTTAATTTATTCTTCACTTCTTAATGTATTCATACTTCACCACTCCCATATCTAGCTCCACCCATTGTATATATAAGGAGCTACACACACTCTCTTCTTTGCTTCTATCTGTGAATATTCAGTGAATATAGAATGCCTTATGTAAATAAAAGAAAATATATTTGAACTCTTAACTCTCTCATAACTTATTGAGTCTGATCCTGAAAATATTGCAACAAGCTGGTAGCAGAGGATGGTTAAATTGACTCAATAAAAACTTAAATATGTCTAAGAGAGATAGGCCCAACACCAGGGCATACAGCAAAGAAATGGAAACGGATCAAGAAATAATAGATGAGTCCACAAATGCAATTTCGAGAGAATCCGAAGAATACACAACTGAAGATGAAGAAATAATAGATGAAGATGGTGACCGAGAGGAAATTAAAATAGAAAACAACGAACTCAGGTCAGAAATATTAAAACTGTTAAAGAGCCAGAAAAACGATGAAAGCCTCATCGCGAACCTCCAAGACATGTTGAAAAACAGCGGAGCAGCGAGAGAGAAGCACATCGCCACCGAAAAGTCAAAAGACTCCAAAATAGTAAGTGATACGACTAAAGAAAAGAACGCTATAAAGAAGAAAAACGGTGATCCCGCGCAAAATTTTGAATGGCAGCCATCTTGGTTCCAACAGACCTCCAGAATGAGCGAAGCAGAGCCAATCAGAAAACTTGATTCAAAATTTCTGGCGCGAAAGGCACTACTGGATAACGAAAACGAAAAAGAAAAATCAAACACCTCAGAAGAATCAGAATCAGAAAGTGAAGGTGATTCAACAGATACTCAAATAAAGTCAGCAATGAAAACGCTTTTTGCTGCATTTGGACCAAAACTAAAAATTACCAAAAAGTCAACCAGAAAACGAACGAGCAAGCCAACGCCTCAAAATCTACCCGCTCCCATCCTGACGACGAGAGCACCGACGCATGAACCAAGAGAGCCCTGCAAATACCGTCCCACACCGCAGACCGATGAAAGCACCAACGCACTCAAGAGAAGAAAAAGAACAAGCACCATCGTCAGAACCCCTAAGATCGAGCCGGAGACCGATTCATCTGAGGAGGAGCTGAACGAGCGAGCCGCAACGACGAGAACCTCTCACGACGACTCCAGGATCGAAATGAGCAACGCGCATGCGCGAGACTACGCAGATGACCCGGGAAGACATGAGTTGCCGAAAGGACCCTGCAGACTCGTCGCGAGCATTCCCACGCCGTTTTGTAATTTTCACCATCTACGAGACCACGGACTACCTCCGGTTGTAAGTAATGGACCTAATAATGTCGGAAATTTGCCCAGTGACTTCCCAAAGCTGAGAATAGATGGCATTAATTTACAAGAATGGTATCAGCAGCTCCAGGTGGTCTTTATGAAAGAAAACTTACTGTTTTTCATCACTAATCCCCCAAAAAGACCTTGGACTTTAAAGTTAGACTGCTTACACCATAGAGCATTTTTCTTATTAATTTCTAGTGTGTCTCCTGCCATGTATCACAGTATTAAGCAAAATCTGACTGTCTCAGAAATTATTCAATGCATGTTCAATTTGTTTCACAGTGATAGTGTAGCTACCACCACAAGAATGTCTAAAGATTTCTTTTCTTCTAGGATAAAACCAGGGGTTTCCATAAGTGAACATTTAATATCTTTAAACAAAATAAGAGCTGAGCTACATTTAAGGGGGGAGGTGATTTCAGACCAAACAATGAAAAGTGTTATCATAAACTCACTTGACCCATCATGGGACAATTATATGTCACATTTAGACACAATCAATCTTGGATATTTATCCATAGAAAGTCTATCCAATAAGTTAATAGCTGAAGACAATTCAAGGAAGAGCCGCTCTAACAATCACATTGAACATAAACCATATAGAAAAGTGGTTTTCCAAGAAAGATATAATGAAACATTCAGATGCCACAATTGTGGATCCAGGGAATGCAATAGAAGAGATTGTCCCAAAATTACAAAAGAAAGACATAGGTCAGAACACAGAAACAAATACATCCATAGACAGTCTTCCATTGATAGACATAGATATAGAAGCCCACCAAATTACAAAGAATATAGAGGGGGTAGAGATAATTCAAAGGACAGAAAATCTGGTTCACTAAATGGACTAAACAAGCAAGACAACACTAACATACAGCAAACTGAGGATAATAATTGGCTTATTGATTCTGGAGCAACCAATCATACTACTAATAATAAAAACATACTATCTTCATTTATAGAAGATAAATTTGTAATAAAGGTAGCCAACCAAGAAAAGGTCCAAGTATTAGGAAGAGGAAATGTAACCTTGCCTGGTATAGGAAAAATAGAGGGGGTATTACTGATACCTGAGATACCTCATAACATATTAAGTGCCATAAAACTAAGCAGAGATTCTGATATTAATATTGTGTTCTCAAAAGAAAAAGCAACTTTGGAGAAAAATAAAACAGATATAGGTACAGTAATGATTAAAGGAGGCCTACCTTATTTAATAACTAAAGAGAAATGGTTACACAACATTGATTCAAATATGGAAGATTGTATTGAACTAGGTAATGAAAACATTAGCAACAGTGACAATGATGAATGTAAAATAGCTCATGATAACAAGGATGCACATAATGAGAAAAAACCAAAAATAGGTAAGCCAATTCATGATGAGTGTGCTCATGTCTTACATAGGAAGTTAGGACATGCCAGTTTTCCTGTAGTACAGAAAATGACTGAACACGCAGAAGGTGTCAAAATAAAAAATTGTGAAAACTATTTGGAATGCTCAGTATGTAAATCTACAAAACTAAAAACTAGTCCCAGGCCTAGAAAATCTACAAGGTCAACTAACAAGATTTTTGATTTAGTACACATGGACCTGGTTGGTCCACTGACTCCATCAATCATTTATAAAAAACATTACTTCTTAACTATTGTGGATGACTATAGTCGCTATGGATTTGTTTACACATTAAAACACAAAGATGAAACCTTTCAAAAATTTAAAGAGTTTTACAAACGCATAGAAACACAACACAATATCAAAATAAAACAAATAATGACAGATAGGGGATGTGAATTCATGTCTAAGGAATTCTCCCAATGGTTGAAGGACAGAGGAATGTTACATTACACATCTAGCCCATTTTCCGCGTTCCAGAACGGAATTGTAGAGAGGAAGAACTCAACATTACAAACCATGATTAGATGCACATTGGAAGATGCTGGCTTAAGCAAACAATTCTGGTCAGAAGCCCTACAATATTCCAATTACACACAAAATAGAACTTGGTCCAGCATTGTGAATAAGACACCATATGAAGTGATGTATAATAGAAAACCAAAACTAGCACACATGCACATTTTTGGAGTCACCGCAGACGTACACATACCTAAACAATTAAGAAGAAAGGGAGAAAATGTGTCTAGAAGACTTAGATTTATGGGATATGAGACAGGTACAAAAGGATACAGATTCATTGATAATAATAACAAATTTATAGTTTCCAGAACAGCTGTGTTTCATGAACAGGCCAACTGGTCTAGAATACATCTTAATGAAATATTCCCAAACAACAACACAGATACTAAATCCCAAGAGAAAAGAACTGTAGAAAAGCAAAAGGACAACAAATATAAAAACAAAACCAAAACATGGACAAACAGTCAACACAAAATAAAGACAGATACATTAACAAAAAAGGAAGCAAGATATTTGCATGACAATAATAGCAAACCCGAAAAGCCAATTAGAAACACTAGAAACCAAATGCCAAATAAATATAAAGATTATATAATGCATATGGATGGAGAAACTATGACACCTAGCACATATGAGGAAGTGTTAAAACTTCCTCCTAAAGAAAAAGAAAAGTGGGAATTAGCAATGACAAAAGAGATGGAAAGCTTACAAGGATTAAATGTATTTACACCTGCGATTGCACCAAAGGACAAAACAATTATTGGTACTAGGTGGATATATAAAATTAAAAATGTAGAGGGAGGCAATACTCTATATAAGGCTAGATTAGTTGCACAAGGTTATGCACAGAAATATCCAGAGGACTATACTGACACTTACTCCCCCACAGTAAGAACTGAAAGTGTAAAAACGGCTCTAGTTGTAGCATCAGCACTCAATCTCGATGTATTCCAGTATGACATACAGACTGCGTATTTACACGCAAAATTAGATAAGGAAATATATGTAAGAGCACCTCACAGTCAATATACAAATAAGAATGAGATTTGGTTATTAAACAAAAGTCTATATGGGCTAAAACAATCTGGTAAACGATGGTATGATTGTTTAGTAAAAGTACTAAGAACTATGGAATTCAATGCTACCACTGCTGATAATTGTTTCTTTGTTAAAAAGGGTAATGATTACATAGAATTTGTATTGATCTATGTGGACGACATTTTATATATAGGTAATCACAAAGAAAGAAGAGAAACATTTGTAACAAAGTTAAATGAACATTTCTCATTGAAATCCTTAGGTAAAGTAAATAAGTATCTTGGTGTTCAAATTAGTAAGACTAAAAGGGGATTCAAGCTTTCTCAGAAAGATAAGATCACAGAACTTTTGAACAAATGTAACCTAAATGATGCTAAACCCTGTGACACTCCAATGCAAACTGATTTCCTAAGAAATGCTGATGAATCATCCCCTGAATTCAAAGATAACACGTTCTATAGATCAATCATAGGTTCACTTCTTTACATTTCTAATTGGACAAGACCTGACATCGCTTTACCCCTTAATTTATTGTCCAGACATGTCAGCAAACCAACTATGTATCATTGGGAAGCTGTTAAAAGAATATTAAGATATTTAAAAAACACATTAGACTTTTGCTTAATGTTAGAACCTAATAATGTCAAGGAACCGAAACTCACATGTTACGCAGATGCAGATTGGGCTGGAGACACTTCATGCAGAAAAAGTACATCTGGTTACTTATTTCTCCTAAACGATTGTCCAGTTTACTGGTACACTGGCAAACAAGATTTAGTGGCCACTTCAACAACAGAAGCGGAATATGTTTGTTTATCTAAAGCAGCAAATAACCTTGTATGGTTTAATGATCTGATTTCTGATGTTTGGAAAAAACCTGCACTACCTTTTGTCATGCACGAAGACAATAAAGCAGCCATTGAAATATCTAGATCCGACGCCATTGGACAGAGATCTAGACATATAGACATAAAATTTAAACATGTGAGACAATTATCTCAAGATGGATTTATTAAGGCAGTGCATTGTGAGACATCGGAACAGTTAGCTGACATATTGACAAAGCCTTTGCCATCTAAGCAACATAAATATTTGACTTCCAAATTATATGTATTATATTGTTCTGAATCTGAATGTAATAAATGTAGCATATCGAATCGGCATTTAGAGGGGGATTTGTCACAAGTAAATGCCTTATTCTCTAATGTGTAAATAGTATATGAACGGGATGTCAGGGGTTAATTTATTCTTCACTTCTTAATGTATTCATACTTCACCACTCCCATATCTAGCTCCACCCATTGTATATATAAGGAGCTACACACACTCTCTTCTTTGCTTCTATCTGTGAATATTCAGTGAATATAGAATGCCTTATGTAAATAAAAGAAAATATATTTGAACTCTTAACTCTCTCATAACTTATTGAGTCTGATCCTGAAAATATTGCAACACAAATATAGGGAAGTAACTTGTTCTTATACATAAGGGCAGTGTGGCCTGCTATGTTTCTGTGTCAACAGACCCCAGTATCAGAAAAAGAGAGAACATCATATTATTTTCTCCTAGTGATTTAATTTTGCAATACCAACTCACCAATATATTTTAGAGAATATGGCTTTGTTTTATATCTTATCCAGTATTGTTTGCAACCAGGATCCCCCACTTTCATTTTAAGAAGTTGTTTTCATCTCCAAAAACCATTGTGATCATGGCAAGTGACAAGGATATCATGGAAGTAAATGGGTAGATGTTTTCATTCTTTTGCTGGTGGTGGTGTTTTTTTGGATTTCACTTGTTTTAGAAAGAAAAAGAAAATGTTCCGTGAAAAATCAGAATTTATCCCACAAAGTTTCAGTTGCAAACTCATTGCATACTTGGAAGAATCTGGCATACCCACTCTTAAATTAAATCCAGACAAATAAGTTGGTTTAGTATTATACAGTATCATATTTCAATCAAGAAATTATATAAAGAAAAATGTAACAGATACAGTTAATCATACACGGTAAATTCCTTTCCCTGATACTTCAATAATATGTTAATTTAATGCTTTATTTTAAACAGATATTCTATGAATGTTGATCAGGTATGTATTGTTTTTTTTCTTTTTTAAGAACTGAAAAGCAAGTTTTGTTACCATTCCTGGATATACTTCAATAAACACTGTTATTATATTCCTAAATTTGGGGTGATCAGTAAAGATGACGCAGAATATATGTGCGGGCAATTTAAAGGAGCCGAACTGATAAGCTTGGCTACCATTCAAGAAAAGGTAAATGATTTAGGCATATGTCACAAAGTTTTTTTTAAAAAAGAGAATAATAATTATCCTGTTTTTAACATTTGTTTCTAATACTTTTTAAACTTATTTCTAATGCTTTACTGTATACAATATAAGTAAAATATATTGTTTTGATGAATGGGAACACCTCATGAGTTTTATATATTTTATGGTGGTTTTTGGATGCTTTTCTTGTTTTAAAATTATTTAAAATTCTTTTTGCTGTTTTTCTGTTTGTTTTAACTATTTGTCTCCCAGAGTCATATGGGTGACTATATAAATTTGAATAATAAATAAGTAGGAATAAAATAAATTGAAATAATTAAATAACACTTGTTTCCACAATCTATATTATGTGAAGAAAATAATAAAAAAAGTAGAGTGCTGTACAGTGCATCCATTCATACTTATTTGGGAAACATTCTGTTTTTATACAGCTGTTTATATTTTAATTTCACACTGCTTCTGCATTAATTGGAATTAACTTTTAAACTGCCACACACACATCCTTCCGCCTTAAGTTACCAAACTCTATCATCATCAGATATATTGCAAATAACTGTAAAGTACCCTTAGGGAACGGAAAGTTTATTTTCTATACAAGATCTAATATCCATCTGTTTATTTCTTCTTTCCTTTTTCCTTGGTTTGCTTTAGTGATTTGACATGCAAACACTTGAATGACAACTGGTATTGCTTTTTTTTTTTTTTGCTTTTGGCAGATTTTGGAAAAGAGTTCTTCTTTATTTCCAGTAACAATTGGGGAATACCAATTAATTGTAATCGGGTAATGTCTAACTTTTGAATGCAGATCTGGAATTTCTGGAGCCACCTAGTGGAGATGTTTGGGGGAAAATAAATGAAGTGCTGTGCAAGTATTTTTTCCCCTTCAGTCCATTTTCCAACGTAAATCATATCTTCTCAAAGATATTTTGTGAAAGGGAAATTATGGAACTTTAAACCTCTTGCATATTACTACATAGTTTAATTCTTGATTAACTATGATAAGATATACTCAAAGTTCATTTAATTCCAAGCTGCCTTTGTGTCATTATTCCTTATGGGCATTTTCCTTTCATTCTCTTAGGAGGTTAATCTATCCTTGAGTAAGTTTTTCTTACTAGACTTGTGCTTTCTCTTTCTGAGGCTATTCTATTTTTCACTTTATTTCCTTTGTCCCATACCCATTTTATTAATTCTTGACACTATCAAAAAATGATGCATCACATAATCAGAATCTTTGTTTTCTTCATTAATTTTCTCAGTCTTTCTTCATGAACACATTCATTCTTTTTCCATGTATGTGTATAAATAAACTTGCTTAAATCATGTCTTCAAAATAATTTCTAATCAGTTACTCACCAAGCAATCTCTATGTCCACTCATTCTTGGATCTCCCAGTTCCCCACAGTTACTGTCCTATCTTATTATTACAGATCTATTCATGTCACCTAGGAGACAATGCCCTAGATCACATTCAGAATATTAAACAGTTTTGCTGTAAATTTATCCCCTTCACTAACACTAGTCACTATAGCATCACATACAATTAATAACAACCTATGAATTCTTACATTCCTTTGCATCTACAGTAACCTAGATGATATCAATTCATACTTTCTGGCAAACAGCTTTGCTTTTCATTTATAATTAAAGTTATATCTTCCATGAACATGTATTCCACTCTCCTTCACAAGACCAGGCCATGTTCATTCAAATATATCTGTCCTCTCTTATTTTCAAAAACATGCAATATCTATTTTTCTTTCATTTAATTTATTAATTCATGGTGTGTACCATATACTCTTCTTATATTCCATATTACAATCTATTATATGTTGCCACTGTCAACAGACCCATAGGTATTGGCCATTTCTCTTATAGCTTTAACTAATTGAGGTTTTCATATAAACCTTTTTGATAAAGTAGAAAAGAAATAAACTAGATTGCTAACCTTTCTGCTAATGATAAGAGGATGATACTGTCATTTTGATTAGTATGATGCATATCCAACCATTTTTTATCTCAAACATGTTCATGCTATTCAGTGGAAGCTAGGATCTCTACATTGTAAGACCAACATACAGCTGCTATATTGCAAGACCAATAGATAGCTGCCACATCCCACAATTAGTAACATGCTGCAGTGTACTAACATACTGAGATTATTGGAGTGACTAATTAAGCAATTGCAATTAACATATTTCATATGGGTAATTCTGGTCATGCTATACAAGACTGAATGAGCTCTTGGTCCAGAAATAGTTATTCGGTGCCCTTTTAACTGATTGGTAAGTACCCATTTACACCATGTACAGTTTATTGGCTGAAAAATGTCTGTGGCTGGAATTAACCTTTTATGGCTTGCTGGACTGATGGAGGCTTCTAGACATCATGACTTTTCCTATTGACTCTGTTCATTAACTGCAGAATTGGCTTGCTAAAATAATCACTGAAAAAATTTGGCTTAATTCAGTTGGCCCAGCTTTCTTCCCTAAAAGAATGCTGTCAACAATGGAAAAAAAGATAACAGAAAGGTAAATCTAACCAATTTTCTTCATATGGGCTGTGTGTTTTCATTTAAATGTTCTCATGTACAGAAATTAGGGTATGTTAATTACTTTTAGGACTCTCTTGAATAAGAAAAGGCTACATCCAGGCCAATCTGGCTTGCTAAGATTAAATCAAAGCATTTTTGTCCCCAAATCCAGTCCCTAATAGCCTGCAGTGACTGGGAAGAGTCAAGATACTGATCATACATAGCTGTATGATACAAGTTGACATGCTTCTGTAGTGACTTTGGGTACATGTTTTATAGGAGTGTTTACATAAAACTCTGTAAAATACCACAACAGATAGCTAGATTTTTCTCCCCAGTCCGACTGGAACTATCTTCTCTATATTCTCCCCACTCTTCCCTCCAACCTTTAGAACACCATGGTCCAAGGTATCAAGGGCAGCTGAAAAATTAAGCCTATGACCGAGACAAAGCAGTCACGTTCTCCTGTCTGAGTCGTACCACAGATAATTCACAAAAGCAATCACAGCAAACGCCCAGGCTGGATTTAATGTGAAAACGGTCAATGATCTGTTTCTTACAGGGCTCTCCACAACTGCAGACCTAGCATCTTCTTAACCTTCTCCCAAAAGGAAATTGATTTATGCTTGACTAAAACTAGTTAGGCTCTCCCCATCATTCTACTTCCTATAAAAAAGAACTTTGTTCCTTCCATCATGTATACAAAAGATTCAGAAGTCCAAGCTTTTCATCTTAATATGGAGCTTCCTTAATAAAACCCCAAACAAAATAATCTATTGATAGGTCCCCTCAAATGGTTTGTTTGTTTGTTTGGGGTTTTATTAAGGAAGTTCCATATTAAGATGAAGAGCCTAGACTTCTGAGCTTGGTTGTTTTCTTGCAGATGTTTCATTACCCAAATTAGATAACATAACAGTGCTAGTAAGGAGTGGGGTTTGTTGTCAGTTTATATTCTACTGGCTTGTCTGTCCATGGTGGTGGGGGGTGGTCTTAGAGGTTCTTTGGTTGGGCTGTTTACTGTTAGCTTGTTTGGCAGTTCTTTGATTGGGGTATTGTTTACTTCTTGATTGTTGGTTGTATGCTAATCTTGAAGTTAATTTGTGCTTATCTGGATACTGATTGCTGATGGGGAGGTGTTTTGGTCTTTTTTGTTTGTCAGTCAAACTTCAGAGGACTAAAGGGAGAGGGATATTTGAAAAATCTTCCAGTGCTAAATGTTAAATTATAGTATTATGTTTGATGATGCAGAGTTCATTTTATATGTAAAGTCATGTAAGACTGATAAAAATTCATTTCGTCATTTTGTGTTTCAGGGTTATAACAGACACTGAGCAGCTGTGCCTTCAGATGCTGCCTGGAGAAGGTCATTTGGTGGCAGTTCCCTGTTCCTATAATGCTTCATGGATCTGCAAAACCCCTTTAGGTGGTTTACTTCCTTATTCCTAATTGCATATTTTTAATCTTCATTAATACATTCAAGTTTCTCGAACAACATCAACAAAAAGTAGCAATAACTGAGCAATTTTCTCAGGGGAGATAAGTAAGGAGAAGAGTTTCTCAAAGATCTCTATTGGGATCATGCTTAACTTGTCTGTACATGCAGAAGATATTATTCAGGAAGGTAAAAGCAAAAGTGATTGCAAAGAGCTCCAGAAGCATCTCTTTAAGCTAGCTAAATGATCAAGTAATTGGTAAATGCATTTTTTTTTAGCAAATGATGCAAATTGAAGCAAAAATTCCTAAATTCACACATACATCCACTGGGGTCCAAACTATCTGTAACTAAGCAGGAAAATTGCTTTTTCATAGATAACACAATGAAAATGTTAAATCAGTGTTTGGAATTTATGAAAATGGCAATTTTCATACCTGAAATCATTAGATTTTAATCTAATTTTAATTTTTAAAATAAGAATGACAATATTGTATACAAATGTATAGAACTCTACAATACATCTGCATTGGAGCAATATGTATAATTCTAGATCCTGCATTTAAAAAAGATTATTATACATGCAGTATTATAGAAAAAGTGCAGATAAAATTAATCAAAATACGTAATTCAGGGAGCTCAATACTTTTCTGATAAGTGGAATCTAGAATACTGCTGGTACTTAGTCTGGAAAAAAGGCATTTGAGAGAGAACATGATAAAAAATAAAATCCTGCATGGAATGCAGAAAATGGCTAGAGGATAATTTCTCTCCCTCTCAAAACACTTAGGACCCTCAGTCATCTAATATAACTGATTGGAGGACATGTAGAAAATATAAAATAAAGTAATTTTTTCACCCAGTTCACCTTACCCCATGAATTCATTACTACAAGTCATGACAATTCCAATTAATGTGGCTTTGAAAAACTAGTTACAGGATAACAGTTTTAGATGGGAGGTATGTCTCCATGCTTGTAAGCACCCTGGAGAACTCTGAAAACAAGTGCTGAACTGAGATCTTGGCCTGATCTAGCACAATTATTCTTAAGTTCTTACTTCCATTAATTAATTATTTTCTTTATCAGGGTATTCTTATGTTTACAAATTGGTTTCAATGTCTAAATTACAGGCCAACACCACATATTATGGCAACACATTCCACAGGTTGATTATAGGATTTGTGAATAAAATTTTCCTCCTTTCAGTTTTAAAAATCAATAGATGTATGACATGGGAATACAATCATCAAAATTAATAAGAAATAAATTTAATGGTAGCCCAAGTAGGAGACAATTGGATATCCAAGTAGGAGACAACTGGATATCTCACATGAGAACATGATAGTAAAGATTTCTGTAGGCTTAACTCCTAATAAGTGGTGATGCAATTAAACAAATCATTTCTGAATTTATTCTTCAATGTGCTATTGTTTATTCCATTTTCTCCTTGCTTGTCGTTTCAGCTTCTACACAAGTAGATGCTCCAGAAAAATGGTGGATGTCATTGGTCACATCCACTATAGCAACCATTATTGTATTGATTGTGACTGTGTTTGTAACATTTAAATATGGAGTCTGAATTTCATACATTACAGACGAAGTGAATCCCGCACTGCTTTAGTGAGATGTCAAGAGCAGAAACTTGTGGAAATATATTTTCATCTAAAAAAAAGGGCAAAATCTAATGTGGATAGTTGATAGACTAATTTATTGAGTTTTTATTGTTATATTATTAAATATTTGTGAATGGGTGGATAAAGTTTTGTCACAGAAATAGAAGAAAAAATGCTAAAGATTAAACAATTGTTCATCTGTTTTAATAAACTTTGGAAAATAACAGCATCATCTTAGATGAATTTACTGGCTTCCAGAATTTATAAAACTGAAACAGTTCAACTGTTCAATAGCAATCTTTTAAATATAATTCTTTGAACAATTTTATAGTCTTTAGAAGAACTCCCAGTTCTATTTTCTGCTTATGAAATTAATAAATAAACTTGTAGGGGGGAAAAACCTTCTTTGTATTCCATTGTATTCTATTTCTGCTGGCATATTTCCCATATTCTTATAGTTTTTGTATTGGAGGATTCAGGAAAGAATACTGCAACTGTCATCTTCATGGATCTGGCATGCTTCATGGAACTCTCTCATTCAGCTGCAGTTTCCACCATTGTTTGTACAACTCACCATGGATACTAATGTCCCTCTTAGGAGAAAGATGTATCCTTTTACCCACTCCATTCCAGCTTTCATAATGTTAGGTGTCCTGGTGTGGTTGAAGTTATTAATGTGGAGACCAATCACAACTGCATGATTTGGGGAGTTCATTATAGCGCGCTTTCCGCAGCCTGTTCTTTAGTTATTTCTGGGAGCTTCCAGCCTTAAAATCAAAATAGGGCTCCTTGGCCTCTTGCTGCCTCTTACAGCACTCAAGGTTGATGCTAATTCATGTTTAACAAGCCTTTGATCAATGATTCATCATGCCTTTGAAGGATGGTGCTGACTTGCTTTCATCGTGCAATCATTGATTTGTAAACCTGAACTAGCAAAACTAGTCCACCTTTACTTTCTGCATGCATCTCTCAGAGAAGGATTTGAGAGGAACATAAAGAAGCTCTCTCCTGCTTTACTTTGTACTCCCACTCTGTGCTTATGACTGGTTAGCTGGACTGCTTTTGAATACAGGTTTAGCACTATTTCAAGACAGCCCAGTTGACATGTAGCAAACAAAGAGCAGTTGGGAGGATTGTGGGTAACCTTTGTCCTGCTTTCTCATACTGCCTGTTAATACATAGCCCTCATTAGTTATACAATTTGACTAGCTAAATTAGCTATTATGAACATACAGTATGTCTAAACCATCTCTACCCCATGTTAGATTGATGGTGGTTTCTGTGAGGTGGTGGTGCTTGTGACGAAAAAGAATAAAAGCTGGGAAGCTCAACCAGTTCCTTTAATTTGGCCTCCATTAAGGACACCACTTGGCCTTGTTACTAGAATAAGACTTTTATACATTTAACTGTTTAGATTTGTCAAATACAATAGTTGCTTATAGAAAATAGATAACACAATGCTATTTTCTTATTGTGAAGGAAAGTACAAATTAGCTGCTCTTCCTACTCACTTCAGTAATCAAAGGTAATGCTACTCAGACATCTGTGAATTTTTCTGCATGAGAAAAAAAAATCTCCAAGTTTCTATCATCTGCAGAACCCAGCTGTATTATTTTTTCTTCATCTTTTATTTTTGTTTAAGTAATTGCTTACTTCCATCAGGTTAACTGTCTGTCTAGGCAATTTCTTAGTTGGAAGTTCAAGAATTAATTTCCAAAAACATTCTTATTAGGTAACATTCTTACCATAATACTAGGGTCTGTTCTCCCTAGTATTAACCTGTTTAAGTTCTAAGTTCAGACAATGTCAGTTAAGTGTTGTCTCTGCTGAAGCAATCACTAAAGTATATCTTGAACTGAGTGCTAAATCACAGAAGAAATTCAGAGCAATAATGATCTGAAAGTGAATACCAAAAATTATTATTTTCTTAGAAGAGCAATCAAACCCTGTCTGATAATGTTTATTCTGCTGGGAGAAGTTTAGGATAGGATATGAGCCATAGTGGTGCATTGGCTGGAATGCAATATTGCAGGCTAATTTTGCTAATTGCCGACTGTCAGTAGTTCGGCATTTCAAATCTCACCAGCTCAAGGTTGACTCATCCTTCCATCCTTCCAAAGTCAATAAAATGAGGACCCAGATTGTTGGGGGCAATAGGCAATAGGCTGACTCTGTAAATCGCTTAGAGAGGGTTATAAAGCACTGTGAACTGCTATATAAGTCTAAGTGCTATTGCTATTGCTATATAGAAACGGAGAGGGTTAGAGAATTTAGCATGTCCAAACAAATTCATGTCTCCAGAGCCAAATGGTTTATCTCCCAGGGTATGGAAGGAACTGGCAGAGGTAATTGCAGGAGCCCTCTCAATAATCTCTGAAGATACTTGGAGGACTAGTGAGGTCCAAGAAAATTTAAGGAAATCAATCCCCATCTTAAAAAATGGGAAGAAGGGAGCTTTAGAAAAGTCAGCCTGTCAGCCTGATGAGCAAGGTCCTCAAGTAGAATATCCTCTGGCTGAAAAAAATGATAGGCATAACTATAGAACAAGGAGATTGTCTTTTTTTTCTTTATTATTTCTTTATTCTTTATTATTTATTTATTTGTCAAGCATGTATAAGATAACAGATATAAGTATAAACATTATTATGAATACAGGAAATGGATATGAATAAATATGGACAGTAGGACAGGGACAGTAGGCATGTTTGGTTTTTTTTTTTTTAAATTTGATTTATATGCCGCCCTTCTCCGGAGACTCAGGGCGGCTTACAATGCGTTAAGCAATAGCCTTCATACTTTTGTATATTTATACAAAGTCAGTTTATTGCCCCCACAAACTGGGTCCTCAATTTACCTACCTTAGAAAGGATGGAAGGCTGAGTCAACCTTGAGCCTGGTGAGATTCAAACTCGGTTGCTGAAGTCGTATTTTCTGCAATTGAGTTTGGAGCTGTTTACCTTAAGTTTGTATCTATTGTGTCCTCATGTATTATTGCGGTTGAAGCTGAAGTAGTCATTGACAGTAGGATGTTGTAGCAGATAATTTTGTGTAGTAACCTTAGGTCAGACTGAAGGCAAAGTTCTAAGTTGTCTAAGCCCAAAATTTCAAGCCTGGTGGCATAAGATATTCTGTTGTGAGCAGAGGAGTGGAGGACTTTTCTCATGAAATATCTCTGGACTCATTCAATTGTATTAATATCCAATATGCAGTGCGGGTTCCAGACAGATGAGCTGTATTCAATAATTGGTCTAGCAAAGGTTTTGTATGCCCTAGTTTGCAGTACAATATTACTGGAGAAGAAGCTTGGCAAGATTAGGTTTACAACTCTTAATGCCATTTTGGCAATGCTGTTACAGTGAGCTCTGGCATTTAGATGATTAGCGATGAGTACTCCAAAGTCCTTGAGGATTGACCTAGAATGAGGGTTGTCTACAAGGTCATATCCGCCCAGCTTGTGTTTAGTGTTCTGATTTTTTTTTTTGCCAATGTATAAGACAGAGCATTTGTTGTTTGAGATTTGGAGTTGCCAATTGTTTGATCATTTTGACACATAGTCAAGGTCTCTTTGTAGGGCAGCAGCATTGTCGGTGGTGTTGAATAGTTTTACATCATCAGCAAAGAGAATGCAGTTGCTTATAATATGATCGCAAAGGTCATTTATGTAAAGTATAAAGAGTGTGAGGCCTAAAACGCTGCCTTGGGGGACACCACTGTTAACAGGTGCAGGGTTTGATAGGGCGCTCCCTATTTTGACTAATTATTGCCTGTTTGACAGGAACGCAGCTATCCACTTATGCAGGGATCTGGAAATGCCATAAGATTTTAGTTTTAGAAGTAGTTTGTCATGTACCACTGAATCAAAGGCTTTACAGAAGTCTATGTAAATTTTGTCTATTGCTTTGCCCTGGTCGAGTTGTGTAGTCCATAAGTTTTTGCAATGTAGGAGTTGCAGATTACGGGACAAATTTTTCCTGAAACCAAATTGTTTGTTAGAGAGTAGATTGTTTGTCTCTAAGTGGAGGATAATGGATTGGTTTATGGTTGATTCCATGATTTAGCAGATGACGCAACATAAAGAGATTGGTCTGTAATTTTCAACTAAGATGAGGTCACCCTTTTTGAAGATAGGGATGACTGTGGCTAGTGAGCATAGGTTGGGCAAGGAACTGGTCCTGAAAGATTTTTCATAGATTATGCTTAGAGGTTCTGCTATGGCAGGGGAAAGCTTTTTTAAGAAGTAGGCACATAATCTATCAGGTCCAATAGATAGAGATGGTTTTAGGCTTCATAGTGCCTTTTCAGCGTTATCGTCTGTAAAATCGATATATAGTAGATCGTTGCAATTAGTTGTGGTACGACTAGGAAATGTGGGGCATGAGCCATTGCTGTTTACAAAGCATATAATTTTATTAAAAAATTATAAAGTCTTAATAATGATTCATGTGAGAGAAATCTGGGCGACCAGATAATAGTGAGGAAATATAATAGAATTCTTCATATATCTGAAGGGTGTCAAATGGAAGAATTAAAAGATTTAAACTTAGTTGAGTGAAAGGTCAGGACTACTAGAAGCAAGGTTTAAAATAACAAAGAAGGAGATTGAGGCTAAACATCAGGAAGAGCTATCAGGTTGTGAAATAGCCACAGAACGTGTTGAGTCCTTGCACTGGAAGTCTTGAAACAGGCTGGATGGTAAACTATTACATATATTCTAGTGGACTCTGCAATAAACAGTAGATTGGACTAGATAACCTTTAATGATCCCTTCACTTCTATGATTTTATGATTCTATGCAGTAATTCCTAATGTTTTGAACAGCAGGTCTCTTTAGATGCACTGCAGTAATTTAAAGGAATGGAACCATGCACATCAATAGAATTTTAATGTAATATGAACATTTATTTAATTATGTCAGTATCGCTTTATAATACTCAGTATAATAACTCAAAACCTCCAATAAAGTTACTAGCATCAGAAATATTAGAAAAAGGAAAAACTGTTGTAGCAGTCAATATTTAGTATATTGACTGGATAAAACATAATTTAATGATCGGCAGCAGATGCTTTTGTTGTGTGACATACTGTTATACAGTAAAGCCATTAGAGGGCAGCAAATATATTTCACAAGACTGTTATTACTTTAAGACTTTAAAAAACAGTTTGGAATAGAAATTCTTAAAACTTTGTTCTGTGGTATTTTAATTGGAGATTTTGTTTCAGCGTTTATTC